ATTAAACAATGGCAATGCTCATTATCTATGAATACTGTAGGATAAAATAGTGAGATTGTTGCTTGAGTGGATATGGGATGGTTTAAATTGAACTAACCATATTAGGGAAATTAACTCAGATATTCAGAATGAAAAATCCCGATTGGAGATGAATCAAGAGCCAAGAAGAAAGTAAAGGAATACTTTTACTTTGGAAAAATACTTTTACTTTGGAATACCATTGTGCCAAATTGGTATTATAAAATCTGAGTACTAAAGATGCTCACTCACATCAAACTTACTTAGCACATTTTTCCAAACCTAAAAGAGACAAAAGCAACAAATTTCATACCTGAAATCATGAGCTGAGAGTCAATTCTGAAAATAAGTTTGATCTATACTTGGACAAGTAATCTATTTTATTGCCTTACAATTAATTAATTGAAAATATTTTCTTAATACTTCTTATTATAGAGACAGTGAAAATCAATGGCAAGCAAACCTTTTTTACCTACTCTCTCTACATTATTATTATTGTAGGGAAGACTTCTGAGTTCTGCTGGTCACCTCTTATTAACACTTTCTTAAAAAGAGTATCTGCTCAATAAATAAATGGTATAAAGTTTGTTAATGCATATTAGTAAATTGCTCTACTTAAATCTTATAAATGTTTGATTTTACTGGCAACATTTCTGTTACTTAGCTGACCACACATTCACTAACATTGAGAATTGAACTTGGACAACTTGAAGAGCATTTAATTTGGATATTTTTATTTTGTTTTAAAGAAATGCCAATTTTTATTTAGGCACTGTGCCTTAAAATGTTATTGGTAATAGAGTTTCAGGCAGTCAACATTTCAAATCCACATTCACTGCAGATATCAATGTCCCTCCATCAATATCTCCAGGTCTGCTGTACCTTGAATTGACATCTGTGAATGGCTTGATATATGGATGACTGAAACTTTTTTTAAATATGTCACTCCTGTTTTCCCAGCACCTTTTGTTGAAAAGGCCCTCCTTTCTCCACTTTATTCTCTCAGGTTCTTTGTCATAGATTGTCTACAAATCTGAGGATGGAGTGATAGCACAGCGGTAGGGCGTTTGCCTTGCACGCAGCCAACATGGCCAACCCGAATTCGATTCCTCCGTCCCTCTCAGAGAGCCCGGCAAGCTACCGAGAGTATCTCACCCACTCGGCAGAGCCCGGCAAGCTACCTGTGATGTATTCGATATGCCAAACACAGTAACAGTAAAGTCTCCAATGGAGACGTTACTGGGCCCGCTCGAGCAAATCGATGAACAACGGGAGGACAGTGACAGTGACATAATATTCTATTAGTCTGAGAGAATTAAATATTTAAAATGACCATTTAAAATGACCATGTTTCTCATGGACTGGAGTGATAGCAGAGCAGTAGGGTGTTTGCCTTGAACACGACTGGCCTGGCCGAGCCAGGTTCGATTCCTGTGTCCCTCTCAGAGAGCCCGGCAAGCTACTGAGAGAATCTTGGCCACATGGCAAAGCTTGGAAAGCTACCCATGACATATTCAATATGCCAAACACAGTAACAAGTCTCACAATGGAGACATTACTGGGCCTGCTTGAGCAAATTGATGAACAACGGGATGACAATGCTACAGTGCTACAATGCATGTTTCTCAAATAATTATGCTAACTAAATTAAATTCTCATCAAAATTCTGATGACAGTCTTCAAGGACTTAGAATAAAATCTTAGAATAAAAATTTATATGGAATCATGAAACTTCCCCCAAATAATCAAGGTCATTCTGAGAAAAAAAGTCATGTATTTTATGACTTTGCATTACTCTTTAAATATATTATAATCAAAACTGCATGGTATAGAAATAAAGTTAAACTCCTAAACCATTGGAATACTTAGATAATATTCACATTTTCTATGTGAAAAAAATTTATGTATATCTCATTTCATTAAATGAATATATATATATAAAGTTTCTCACTGTTTTTAAAATTATTCACTGATGAAGGTTTGTTAAGCTGAGATAATTACAATGAGAAGACAAGGGGTGGGGCATATAGCCTAGTGTTAAATCATTTGCTATGCATGTGTTGAGGCTCTGGCTTCAATTGCTGGCATATGTCTGTGCACATACATGAGAGAGCAATTCCACTTTTGGTGTCTACCCCAGGACAGAAAAACATTCATTCAAAACAGCACATGCACACCAGTATTTATCAAAAATTCAGCACTCAGTACAATAGCTAAGATTCAGAATCTACCTAGATACGCAGCAACAGATTAGTGGATCATGAAGATGAATATATTTGCAATGGAATGCTACACAGCTGTAAGGAATGATGAAATCGTGCAATTTACTACAACATAAATAGAACTGGAAGTTTTCATGTTAAATGAAGCCAGAAGAAGAATAAACACAAGATGATTTCACTTTTATGTGGTAACCTGGAAATACTTGGTCAAGGGAAGTAGACACTGGTGGTGGGATTGGAATGTCAAAAAGCTAATTATGAATAACTTTGCAATTCATAGTACTTTAATAAAATAAAATTGGGGAGAAACATTTATTGCATATTTCTATTTTATACTCCACTTTATAAAAACAATCATACTGCTCTTTAGGGCTGGAGCGATAGCACAGTGGGTAGGGCATTCGCCTTGCATGCAGCCAACATGGCAGACCCGAGTTCGATTCCTCCACCCCTCTCAGAGAGCCCGGCAAGCTACCGAGAGTATCTAGCCTGCATGCCAAAGACTGGAAAGCTACCTGTGATGTATTTGATATGTCAAACACAGTAACAGCAAAGTCTCACGATGGAGATGTTACTGGGCCCGCTCGAGAAAATCGATGAACAACGGGAGGACAGTGACAGTGACTGCTCTTTAAAATAAAAATACAATGTTTTATGTAAGCACAGCCATATTGAATAATTTATGATAGAAATCTTTGAGAAAAATACCAGTTACTTCTTTTAAAAAATAAAAGGCTTTTAAATATATAGAAAAGGTACTGGAGACATAAGAGAGCAGTGGTTCACTTAAGACCCTTACCTTGCATACAGTCAACTGGGTTCAGTCCAAAAAAAGCAAATATACATAAAATTTTACATATTATATAACAGATGTCCAAATTCTGCCTTGTCAATATTTATAGGAATCTGGGGCTGGAGCGATAGCACAGTGGCTGGGTGTTTGCCTTGCACGCGGCTGACCGGGAGTTTGATTCCCAGCATTCCATATGGTCCCCCGAGCACTACCAGGAGTAATTCCTGAGTGCAGAGTCCGGAGTAACCCCTGAGCATTGCTGGGTGTAACCCAAAATGCAAAAAAAAAAGAATATTTATAGGAATCTAATAACTTAGCTGACAGGACAGAATACTTTTTATATAGTATCAGTGGCTAAAAGGGAATAAATATTTACTATCAGTAAAACCACCTCTATCTCTGTATCTCTTTGTTTATATCAAAGGGATGTGAGATCTTCCAATCTGTACAAATGTAGTTTAAGCTGTTTCAGATCAATTGTACTCAACGTTTGATTTGTTTTCTTTGGGGGCATTTATTTGAAACAACTTTCTTTACTACTGCCTCAAGAGCTGTCACAGATACAGACAAAGCTGTGATGTTTTTATTATTATTATTATTACTATTATTTTAGATTTCAGTGTAAACTTATCTTTCACACTTTCTTGAACACAGTTGTGTTCCTTCTCTAGCAGCACTATTATGGAACCATTTATTTGAATATGTATTATTGACTGAAAAGCTGGTGAAACCATTATGAACTATTGGACATGCTTTGTATCAGTTGTGCTATTATAATGATTATATGTTGTTTTGACTATCACTAATTCCAGCAAGGGAGGAAGCACACACCAAAATGGTAAAAATGATTGCCTTGTTCTTAGGACCCACTGACTTTTTATCTACAAATCATATATTCTCATTTGTCATCTGCATTCCAAAACTGGCTTTGTTTATTGTTTGCTAGCTACTTGAATTTTTGTATAAAATACTAGAGAAAGAAATGAAGGAGACAAAAATATTCCCCTGCACTAATAAATATCACTGCATCATTTGCCAAAGACAGTTGATTCCAATGTACACAGAGAAGCAATCAACAAAATTGATGTAGTTTAAAATCTTTACTCAGTAGTAGAGAGATTTACTAACTTTAATATGCATTCAATGAGCCTGTGAATATTTTATCTTTATTATTCTATGCTATTGCTTTTGGATTAATTTCTTGTTTGCTTATTCTTCAAATTTACATCTTAATTATTTTCTTAGGTGTGCCCTGTTATGCTTGATCTATAATATAAGCATCAAAGGGAAAGGGACTAATTGAGGTGCCTCACTTGGATTTTGCTTCTGAGTTTGCTTTAAAAAATAATTATTTTTTCCATAAGTAGATCTAGTGTACCTCATGAAAAGAGGAGCATTTTTTTCTTTAAAAATTAAATCTCATGAATGAAAGCCTACTTTGAAAACACTGACTCAACCCTTTTTGCTTTGATATGTATAAAAAAGAAATCCATAGTGTAGAACATGTCTTATGTTTATATATTTCAAGCTCTTTAAGTGGAAAAGTAACTCGCTTTGGCATTTCATTATCACTTGCCTTTAGAAAGAGAGTCATTTGCACTCCTGATCTAGGAAGTTACAGGACGGGTTCTCCTTATATTATTATTTACTTAAAATCACAGAGGGACTAGGCAGGGAACTGCCAAGCAGTTCTCTCATTTCACAGACAATCTAGGTCAAAGGGAGAAACATGCCTAAAAAATTACAGTTCATGTGTAATAAATTATGATGTGCATATCAAATACTGATTTTACAGTTGATATTTAGTATCAGAGGTGTCAGAGTACTTTATTTCATTCACTATTATTGTCATCTTAGGATGACATGTGTCACAAAGCAAAGAGTTCTGGAGGAATTTTTTTTGATAAATCCTTGTTACTAGGATCTTATTCTAATGATAATGAAGATTTTTCTTTTATTTCCTCCAGGATTTATACCTGTATGTAGCCTTGGAGTGGCTCAAGTTGGAAGGATGAACTTTGGGAAGGATGTCAGCACACTGAAATATTTTACCATCTGTGGTTTGCAAGAGGGTTATGAACCATTTGCTGTTAATACGAACAGGGATATTACCATGTGGCTAAGCAAGAGGCTTCCTCAGTTTCTCCAGGTTCCATCAAACCATGAACATATTGAGGTTTGCTTTTCCTTTTAAAAATAAGATTATCGTCAAAATAAGGAGTGGAATATCTATATTCATGGAGAGTCCTGCTTGAACAATTACTGTCGCTTACCTAAAATGATGCTCTGATCTATTGCACAGTAGTGAAATCTAAGCATCGAATAAACTTCTGAGTGTATATACTTTATAAGTGACCTTTAAGATAAGTAACAATAAATGAGTCTCTTTTTATGTAAGCACTGTCAGCTCACTCTGCATGAGATTCTTATACACTACACATTACTCCAACTGTTTTCTGACTAGAAAGAGATCTATAGGACTAGGGAGATAGTACAGGGTTTAGGTGTGTTTGCTATGTGTGCTCAAGGGTCTGTTTAATTTCTGAACTGTAGGTTAGTCCTGTGATCATTTGTTGTAGCCCTGGCAACCCCTGAACACTTCGTGGTGGCCCTGATAGTGGTAGCACTCCCTGATGGCACCGTGGGACTTACATTACTTACATTGGTCTTGTTTGTTGATAAAATATTCCTGAGAGTTTCCCCCTGGCACTCTGAGCACTTTTTGGGAGACCCATATTGCACACATGAACTCTGATGTTTTTAAGACACATGCATGGGACAAGAGCAACAGTACAGCAGGGAAGGCATTTCTCAACTGACCCAGGTTGAATCCTCAGCATCTTTAAGGTCCCCAGGAGTAGTGCCAGGGGTAATTCCTGAGTGCACAGACAGGAGTAACCCCTGAGTATCACTGGATGTGATCCAAAAAGTCAATAAATAAAGTAAATACATATATATATATATATATATATGCATGTTAGTGATCTTTAAGAACCAGAATTGCCATAAATCATAAGAATTTTAACTTTTGTTTTTTCATGTGTTAGGTGACCAGAATAGATGGTACCATAGACAGTTCTCCATGTTTAAAGATCACCCAGAAGTCCTTCGGTTCTCAGAACAGCAGCACTGACATCATGTTTTATCGTCTGAGCATGCCAATCGAATGTGCAGAGGTCTTCTCCAAGACGGGACTCCCGGGGGCAGGTCTCTTTGGACCCAAGAATGATTTGGAGGATTATGATGCAGATTCTGACTTTGAGGTTCTAATGAAGACAGCACATGGCCATTTAGTGCCTGATCGAGTTGACAAAGATAAAGAAACTACAAAACCAGAGTTCAATAACCACAAGGATTATGCTCAGGAAAAGCCCTCTCGCCTGAAACAAAGGTCATTGAGACTCACAAGCTTATTTTCAATTTGTAATATTGTATGCCAAGTATTCTACAGAGGACAATAAAACAACCCATTTGCCGTCATTTTCTTTTTGCCAAAATGATATACTAATCCCAAGGAATCACCTTATTTCAAATGCACTTATTTTGTTATTGTAAAATCACATAGTCTAAAATTGACCACTTTCACTTTTTGAAAGGATACATTTTAGAAGCTTTAAGCATCTTCACATTGTTGTGAAATATTTTCAAAAATTTTTATAAAATTGAAGCTAGATATCTATTAAACAATTACCCTTTTCTACCTTCCTTGTCTTCGATAATCACCATGCTACCATTTGTTTCTATAATTTTTACTACATTAGCTGCCTTACCTTAGTAGAATGATCTTGTATTTGTCTGTTAGTGACTTATCTCACTTAGCATTTTCCCCTCAGCTCATACAGGTTGTAGCACATGTTGAAATTTTTGTTTTCTTTAAGGATGAGTAGTATTCCAATGTATTTTTATATATTTGATTCAGCCATTTATTGATGTACATTTGCACTGACTTCATCTTCTATTTTGACCAGGAATGTGTAAATATCTTTTCATAATACCAATCTTAGTTCTTCAGAATATATATCTGAAGGTGAGATTGCTCTCACAGATAGATATAGATATCTATGAACATAGATAGAAAATACCTATCTATTTTCATTGTTGAGGAAACTTCATTTAACTTTCATAGCATTCACACCATTTTACAATCCCAGTAACAACATAGGGACACTAATTTATCCAAATCCCTGTAAACTCTTTTTACTGTCTATCTTTCATGGTGGCTATCCTATTGGATATGAAGTATACCTCGTTTTGTTTTTTAATTATATTCTCTTGATGGTTAGTGAAGTTGAACACCTTTTCATATGATTGTTGGTTATTTGTATATCACTTTGGAGAAATCACTATTTAGGAACTTTGGCCTTTTTTGGTTTTGGATCATTGGCTTTTTTGCTGAGTTGAAAGTTGTTGATATACTTTGTATCTTAATTCCTTAACAGATATATGATTTTAACTCCTTACTCCCATAGATTAGGTTTTGGTTTTTTACTATGTTTTTAAATTTTATTTTATTTTATTTTTATAAAGTAGTTAACAATATCTGATTACATTTAATATTTGAACACCAATCCTACCACCATTACACCTTCCCACCACCATGTTTTGGATGTTTCCATCCTGAACACCAACCCCTGCCCCCAAAGTAGAACTGAAATAATTTATTTTGTATTGTTTGTTATGACTAATCTGCTAAAATTATCCACAAAAGGTTTCTTAGAGGAAAGTGTGTGAAGATTGTTGTATTTCACCCAGAAGCCATTAAGCCCTTCTGTAAGAGATTACTAACATGTAAAGGTTGAGCCGTGTGTGTGTTATCTGTAAAATTATATTTCCCCCTAAGATCGGTTGCTTTATACTTTAAAGCCCATCAAATGTGGTGCACTACTCTTGCACCACAGGTATGAGATGTCGCCTCACAGTCCAGGAGTAGGTTCTTGACCCAGTGAGGCCTGACCTGAGCATGTGGAGAGCAGCCGTGAGTGTGAGGGCGGTTGAGTTCTAGAGGTTCTTGGCTCCACTGGGGCGGGGAGAGAACTCATCTGCCCACTCTGGGTTGCCCTGAATAAAACAGCCAGGCGCAGGGTCTGGAGGCATGGCTATGGCATATCAAAGGTTAGTTTTTAAAAACTAAGTTTTTAAAAACATAGGTTAGTTTTTAAGTTACTTGCATCTAAGTTGACACTGAGTATTTCTTAAAAATGTATTTTCTTTTCCTTTCTTTTCTTTTTTTTGGGGGGCCATACCTGGTGATGCACAAGGGTTACTCCTGGCTCATGCACTCATGAGGAATTATTCCTGGTGGTGCTCGGGAGACCATATGGGTTGCTGGGAATTGAACCCAGGTCTGCTGCATGCAAGGCAAACGCCCTACCCGCTGTGCTATTGTTCCAGCCCAGTAAATGTATTTTCTCATGGAAAAGAAGACAAATTCCTTTAGTATCTTTTTCTGCACAACATAATGACACTCTTGGTCAGATAATCATTTGTTGTTTGACTATGCCTTGTGTATTACAGTATATTTATTCACCTTCCGAACCTCTATTCATTTGCAATCTCTCTTGTTGGGACAACCAAAAATATCTCTAATTATTGGCAAATACTCTGGGGCTCAAAATCAATCTGGTTAAAACCAGTAAATTAATTATATGCTTGAGTTTGAAAAAAGTCAAAAACACTTTATTGTTTCTTCTTCTTTTTCCTATAACATTTCAGATTTTTACTTAGAAGAACAAAACCTGATTACAGCACAAGCCATTCTGCAAGACTTACTGAAGATGTCCTTGCAGATGATCGGGATGACTATGATTACCTGATGCAAACGTCCACAGTAAGAGATAGTAGCTCCTGTTGTTCATTTCCATTTATCAGCTGTGTATCTTACTTTGACTTATCATACTCAGCTGACTCATCATTATTATTATTCATGGTCACGGTCCTCCTGTTTTTCATTGATTTGCTCGAGCAGCCCAGTAACATCTCCATCCTGAGACTTGTTGTTACTGTGTTTGGCATCTCGAATACATCACGGACAGCTTGCCAGGCTTTCCAGGCCTTGCCCTGCGGGCAAGATACTCTCAGTAGCTTGCCGAGCTCTCGAGAGGGGCCAAGGAATCGAACCTGGCTCGGCCGGGCTGGCTGTGTGCAAGGCAAACGCCCTACCGCTATGCTCTCGCTCCAGCCCACTATTATTATTAATCATTATTATTACTATTAATCATCAACATTATTATTAATTATAGGGTGGATTTATTCCTGAGCTCCTGAGTTCTTGAGAATTGTATGAAAGATTTAAATACAAAACTCAGATGCCTAGGAAGTTAAAGTTTTTGTTTCAGCATGACACCCAGCAGTGTTTGGGGTTTAGTCCTGGCTCTGCATTCAGGAATCACTTCTGGTGAAGCTCAGGAGACCATATAGGTGCTGGGGATCTAACCCAGGTCAGATGCATGCAAGGCAAGAACCTTACCCGCTGTACTATCACTTCAGCCAAGAAGTTAAAGGTGTCATTTCTTGCTCTATGCTCAGAGAGTGCTGCTGACAGTGCTTGGAGGACTGATCAAGCCATGGTCAGCTGCATACAAAGAGCTTGACTTAATTCCCTTATCATTTTTCTGACCCAGAGCTGATTTATTTTTTAATTATTTACTTATATTTTGGGAACTTAAAATTAAAAACAAAAGTGTACTATCTATAGTCTTTATATATATAAGGGTTACTTTAGGAAAAATATCTTTAATGGACATTTAATCCATATTTAATTTCCAAGTATATATTTATTAAATCATCTTAATGAAATATATAAAATAAAATAATCTTATTTTGTTAAAAGTCAATATTTTTTGTTAACAATTTTAGATTTTGAAAGCAGTTGTCCCTAAAATACCAAACGGGAAAGATATATCTATTGTATTTTGGTGAGACTTCATACATCCATATTTAACTAGATTTTTACACATAGACCTTACCAATTTCAAAATGATTTTAAGGGCATGTGAATGTAAATTAGCAATAAGATGAGATGTATTGAAAGAAGTGGCTAATATGAAAATGGTAACATAAAAAGTATATATATGTATAAGCTAAAGATATATGAAACTTGCCTGCCCCTAAATTTCTAACTTTAACTTCAACAATTTATAAACACATATTTTGATTGTGTATAAATAATATATAGGCATTCTTAGAAACCTCAAGTCATTTAGCTTATGCTCAGATGAATCATTTGTCTCCCCCATTATTTTTGACTGGATTCAGAATCTCTAATTTTTTTTAAATTTTGCATTGTCAGTACTTTCAACATTTTAATTAAATTATTTTAAACAGAGAAAAATATCCTTAGGAAATTCAGACACTGCAAATTAGTTTAATTTTTTTCAATTATAAACAACTTGATTTTTCTATCTTGACAGTACTATTATTCAGTGAGAATCTTTCCTGGTCAAGAGCCTGCTAATGTATGGGTAGGCTGGATTACATCAGATTTCCATCAGTACGATACAGGCTTTGACTTGGACAGAGTTCGTACAGTAACTGTTACTCTAGGAGATGAGAAAGGAAAAGTGCATGAAAGGTTGGTATGTCTTGATGTTTTTGTTTTTGCATGAGTGACATATGCTAAAACTGTTGATAATTCTAGACTTTTTTTCTTGACTTTCATACTCAGAATAATATTTCATATAGAGAGACAATTTTTTTCAGGCTGTTAACATCAGTATTCTTTTGTTATTCGTATGAACCAATACAAATCTGAATGTTATAAGCAAGACACGTAAATAAGAGCTATATCTCCGCATTTGTATAAACATCATGTGTTCCTTCAGGTGAATTTATACAAGTTTAACAATTTTGTTTATAAGTAGTTACCTTTGTTTTAGGGATTGGAGATGGGCATGTAACATGGGATCTGATATGTATCCAGGGAACTGGTTTTGTGGTGGGACAAAAAGTATAAAGACATATGGGCTAATAGTTTAGACCAGGTGGACACATTGGAACTCAGACTGAGGAGTAGTGGGTTCTTTCCTCAGCTTTGCCATTGACTCGCTGTGTGGCTTTGGGTAAGTCAGTTAAACTTTCTGTGCCATCCTTTTTTCATTTGTAAAACAATCAAGCTCAAACCAAACCTTCAAAAAAGTGAAGAAGGCTATCTTCCTTGCAGAATAAGACAAGAGAAGATCTAATCATTTGCATCAACCTTTCGTGCCCATGCATCCTCTCTGATCTGCTGTGACAGGTCTCATAGAAAGAGTCCTCCATAAACTTGCTTTTCCTTTATACCTGCACCATCAGTTTTGGTGACTGGAAGCTCACTTTCCTGCCTTCAGGTTATAACACTTGAAATGTAATGAACTTTGCACTTGGGCCGAGCAAAAACTTCTCATGAAAGAGCGCTTTCCATCAGTATTTCTGTTGCCAAGAATATTCTTGGGGGGACATACATTAATTTTCAGATATGGCTATAATAGAAGGAAATAACTCTGGAATAACTGAGAGCTGATTTTGGTGTAGGGGTACAGGCCACTGAAAGGGTTGTTCTATCTCATGTATGTGGTGCAAAGAAACAGATAACTAGCGGTTACTCAAAGTAGCTCAGCCTTTTTGTTATTTTCTTCTTATCTTGCCTGCCTTGAGCCTTTTTTGTGTAGCCTAATTAATGCATCCACAGTACTGTAGCACAGTATGGGAGGGAAATTCAGAGTATGTCTATTACCATCTTTGATAAAGTTCTTGATGACGGTAAAACTTAGGTGGGGGTTTGTTGTTATGATCACAAATTATATGCATAGTTTAGCTATTTCTCTCTCATAACAGACAATCAGGAATTGTCCATTAAGGGACAATATTAGTAGGCAAATTTTAAATATATCGAATCACCAATGGCTCATGTAGAATTTGCCTGAGAATTTGGATAGTGCTTGGAAACTAATGCTTCTCATCTCAGAACAAGCAGTTTGGAAAATAAAACAACCGAGAATGAAAATGACAAATTTGAATGATTATTATAGAGTTAAACTTTTTTGAACCTCAGAAAAAGGTCCAGTTTGGTTTGAGTTTTGGAGGAGGTGCAGGCCAGTTCTTAAGTGGTTGCAACTTGTCAACCTGTCTCCATGAGGTGTGAAATTCAGAGACCTGAAAGACCTGATTCTAAATAATCTACTGAAGCCAATGGAGTTTTGCTCAGAATCACAGAATTGGGCCCATTGTGCACCTCTCCCATTACAGCATGAGCTTGTTGCTTGCGCAGCATAATTTAGGTTTAGTTTGCAAGAAATACACGCTTCCCATTATATCTGCGGTTGTACAAAGATAAAAATATGTTCCTTTGAAATTTAGCATCAAACGCAGCAACTGCTACATGGTGTGCGCAGGCGAGAGCATGAGCCCTGGGCAAGGACGGAACAATAATGGTCTGGAGATTGGTTGTGTGGTGGATGCAGCCAGCGGGCTGCTCACGTTTACTGCCAATGGCAAGGAACTGAGCACATACTATCAGGTAGGTGGTTGGGATGGGAACTCACGTCGGGGAAGAAAACCTTTTAGACCCATTAGAAGAAATACATTAGAGGAAATACATAGTAATTAGTCACAGGAATCTTTTTTTTTTTTAATGAATCACCATGAGATACAGTTCCAGATGTGCTTACATTTCCATCATACAACGATTGAGTACCCATCCCTTCACCAGTGCCCATTCTCCACCACCAATGATCCCAGTATCCCTCCCACCACCCTCACCCCATACCCCCACCCCACCCCGCCTCTGTGGCAGGGCATTCCCTTTTGCTCTCTCTCTCCTTTTGGGTGTTGAATCACAGGAATCTTAAAATTAGAATTTAGTGGATTGTTTGTTTGAATTCAATTTGAATACTTGACAGAACAATTAGTACTTGTTCTCAAAACTGTAAACACAGTCATGAAATTAAAGAGAGGAAAAGTCTCTTGATTTTCTTCTGTAAAGTATTCCTAATTTTTTGTAAAGAAAATATAATATTTGTGTTCCATTTCTTATTTAATAGCAAATTCATTTGTTGCAGGTTGAACCAAGTACAAAATTATTTCCTGCAGTTTTTGCACAAGCTACCAGTCCTAATGTTTTTCAGTTTGAGTTGGGAAGAATAAAGGTGAGACTCATTTTTGGTATTATTTTCTAGCATTTGCTTCCAAAAAGGGCTCAATATTTTATTAGTGCTCTTATTATTCACACAGATCATTCTTCAAAAAAAAAGATATTCTGGGACCAGAGAGATAGTCCAGTAGGCAGGGAGTTTGTCTTGCATGTGGCTGAGCTAGGTTCAATCCCCAGCATCCCAAATGGTCCCCTGAGCACCACTGGGTGTGACCTACCCACCCATGATAAAAGGTATCCATGGGACTGGAATACACAGATAGAATGCTTGTGTTGCACACGACAGACCCTGGTTCAATCACTGGCATCTCTATTGTTCACATGAGCACTGCCAGGAGAAACTCCTGAGTGCTGAGCCAAGAGTAACCTCTGGACATCACTGGGTGCAGCCCTAAAACCAAAATAAAATAAAATCTAATTAAAATTAAAACTAAATAAAAATAAGAAACAGTATCTGTAGTTGAATATTATAAAACTTTTCTTTCATATCACTGGGGTAATGGAATCAATAAAAAAAGGTTACTCTTGGGTCGTCAGCATATTATTCATGAAAAAAGGACGATACAAGGACAAAAAATGACCAAACTTCAGCTCACCAGTAATTCATTGGCAAGACAGTAAATAGAATGAAGGGTCTGAAATCAGGATCCAGTGGGATAGATCAGGGCTCAGTGGTGCATGTTTTGCATGGTCTTGAGTTTGACCCCTGTCATCATATTGCCCCTGCCTAGAGTACAGCCCTCAAAGGCCCCCAGCATTGTTGGGTTTGACTCCTGAAGGTCGTGGGAACTACAACCTTATGGATTTTGATCCGTTGTCAGGACATAACAATGAAACATACGACTGGGTGGTAATTGCCAAGAGTGGCCCTGTGGTTCCTTGGAGCGGGTTATGAGAATCCCCTTTCATTTCAAAAAAAGATAAAATAGTTTCAGGATAGTTTCTGAAACTATTATGCATTATGGTAAATTCTAGAAAATTATCATCTTCAAAATATTGTAGGGGTCTAGAGAAAAGAACTAAATTGGATAAGTGGATAAAGTAAAGCTGAAAGAGGAGCTGAGTTACATTTCGATTAATCATCGGCTGTTGACTAGAAGACTTAATGGTTTTTTTAGTAGGTAGGGACATTTTAGACAGAGAGAAAGAAAACATGAGAAATATGTAAGAATAAAAGTGCCAAAAGTTAAGGAATTTGATGTAACTGTATCAAGAATGCTTTCCATGATGGGCCCACAGAATCATGTGGATGGAATATAGACCAAGTTCAATTCAAAACATTTTTAATATGATTGACTATAATATTAATTCTACCATACTGAGTAGTTAACATTTTTAGGACAGTCTTCTGGAAATATGTCCAGCAGATTGTCCTATGTAAAAACAGGATATTAGGGATCCTGAAAATCCTATTGAAAAAATATGTTGATAGTAACATGAAGGTGATAAAGTGGAGGATCGAGACATATCTACTGACATTATCAGTTAGGTACCGACAGTTTGCTATTCTTTACACAAGAGACAATGTTGAGAATCATGAAAATGGTAAGTGAGGTATTTTAGAAAACAAATTAATACGATAATGAATTAGTTTAATAAGAATTATTGATCAGTTGGATTCAGGTGCTCCAAGCAAGAATAAATAAGGATTGATTTATATGTTTGGTTTGGATAAATAGCACTGTAGCACTGTCGTCCCATTGTTCATCAATTTCCTCTAGTAGGCCCAGTAACATCTCCATTGTGAGACTTATTGTTACTGTGTTTGGCATATTGAATACGTCACGAGTAGCTTGCCAGGCTTTGTCGTCTAAGTGAGATACTCTTGGTAGCTTGCCAGGCTACGAAGAGGGGCAGAGGAATCGAACTCGGGTCGGACTGGTCGGATATGTGCAAGACAAATGCACTATCCGCTGTGCTATCGCTCCTAAGGCTACTAATATAACAAAGAGGAGAGCTTGTTAAAGCTTAGGTAAATGAACTGAAGTTTGCAATTGTAAATATTGAAGCCAGACACATATCAGGGTACATATAATAGTTTCTCTTGATGACTCAGTAACATTGAATATATACCCCAAACCTTGTGACTCAGTTTCTACTTTTATTTGATTCCCAGTTCTTACAGATATTCTAATATCACATGAGTATTAAAGAAATCAGTTTTTACAATTTGGGTAGATAACTTAATGTGTCATTTTATTTCATCACTGTATCACTGTATCACTGTCCTCCCATTGTTCATCAATTTTCTTGAGCGGGCCCAGTAACATCTCCATCGTGAGACTTGTTGTTACTGTGTTTGGCATATCGAATACATCACGGGTAGCTTGCCAGGCTCTGCTGTGCAGGCGAGATACTCTCGGTAGCTTGCCGAGCTCTCCGAGAGGGGCGGAAAAATCAAACCCCGGCTTGGCTGGGCCGGCTGTGTGCAAGGCCCTACTGCTGTGCTATTGCTCCAGCCTGTAAATTTGTTGTTGTTTTATTTCATATTAAATAATAATCAAGCATCCAGCAAGCAGGGAAATGACAGTCAGTATGATTTTCTAAAGAAGTTAAAGTAATTTCTCAGATACCTAGTGTGTCTAGGACTTAAAAGCAAACGTTTATTATAAGTCCATGTTGTGACCTGATTTCCAGATTTTAAACTTAGAAGCAGGGTTAGGGGTTGGGACCCTACAAATCACTCATCAACTCTGTGACTCAGATAAGAGATAGAGGTCAGTATGGAGTCCATGCTCAAATCTCCTGTTCATATTGGACTTTGGGGAGTGGGCAGGACATAATTGATCTTGATGAGAAAATCAAAGTGGAGGCCAGAACAAAACATAGAGTTTTAGTTCCATTTAAGAAGTTCAGATTAGCAAAGTGTGTGTGGGTGGAACCCCCTCAAACTCAGAGATTATCATCTTCAAAATGAAGGTTTCAGAATAGGGGACTAGAAAGGAGACTTAGTTTTCCTTTTTTTCCCTTTTTCCCCCCCCCCCCCCCCTTTCCATTCCTGGGCCATACCCTGCAGTGTTCAGGGCTTGGTGTTTATTGAGAATTTTTATTGATCTTTCTAGAGAAATTTTAGCAAAATGATAAAAAAAAATCTATACCATAGTGAAATAAAGACTGAAAATAAGAGGAGACGGGAAATTTGAGTAATTTTTCAGACATAAAAATGAGTATAGCTTCTGCAAACGTGATTCACTTTTTGCAGATTCCTGTTTACTAAAAGTTGCCTATGCCCCAAATTGCACAATTGATTGGGTTTTAGCCTCTTAATCTAATCTGCCTGATCTGTTTTCTTCTTGCATGTCTAATCTAGCTGCTCAAATGTAAACTTTAGTGTCATTTTTGACTTCACTTTTTTAACATTTCATGACCCCTATTTCCATTTAATTCTCTAGTGTCTGGTCTCTCCACCTCCTCATTTCTGCTTCTCTCACTCTGATCACTAATACCATTAGTCTCAGGGAGGGGGCAGGGGGCTTCTTTAATTCATTTTTGCTCAAGTTATTTACTCTACAACAACCAAAGTATCTGTTACTGCTTTAAAATATGATCCCAAACTGTTTTATCCCATCCTCAAAATCCTGGACATCTAGGAGTGAAAACCACTTGTTTCTAATAGTTCTCAAGATCTAAAGGATTAGATATCATGTCACCTCTCTGATTCTATCTGTTATCCATCCTTTACTCAAGCCAAAAATACAGCCATTTCTATCTGTATATCCCATAGTTGATTTTGGGGACGTGGGGTGGGGGTCACACCCAGCTGTCATCAAGACTTACGCCTGGTGCTGCACTCAGGGATTAATCCTGGTGGGGCTCATGGCACCATGCGAAATGCTGAGTTTTGACCTGAGGTCAGCCCTGTGCAAGGCAAACTCCTTTGTTCTGCTTTCCATGGTTCTTATCACCTGATTTTTTTTTTTTTATCTTTTTCCCATTTAACACCCCCACCAACCCCTACCCCGGCAATAGCCTCTCACATTCTCCTTATTTTTTTTAGGTGTCCAGGTTTGTTTATTTTTTTGTTTCTTCTTGTAGTGGAAGCTGTATAAGAGCACAGACTTAATCTGTTGTGTTTATTGATATATTTTTTGTGCTTAAAATGATCCCTTTTCCATCACCCAAAGAAAATAAGAACATGAGTTTGATGCTGAGTCACTCTAAAGAATGCAAAGAAAATACTTAAGAAAAAGAAAGGAACACTGAAGATAATACTGAAGAAACATCAGAATTGATTTTATGTAGCCCAGAAGCAGTCAGGCATTCAAGTGGTTGAATTAGCTTTCAGGAACTAAAGAGATCCTATTGAAGGAATTGTATAAGATTGAAAATGCATAGTGGAGGTGGAAGAAAGCACAAAAAGCTTTTGATTAATTCTTTAACTTAATTTTTTGTTTGATTGTCATCAGATTTATCTGTTAAGCTATCTTTGGTATACTACTAGTCACTAAAACCCAATAAACTTATAAGTGACTGAGTTGTTTAAAGATAACAGGGACAAACTGCTAGAGATAGAGACACAGAAAGAAATTGAGCCAAATACACACACACACACACACACACACACACACACACACACACACACCAACACACAGAAACAGAGTATTCCATATTGGTAAGACTTCTCTTTCAGGAGTTTAGCAATGTAGTGAAGAAGTGGTAGGTTTCTCTAAGGACCCAGCTTGATAAAACAGTATGGAGAACCTATGGTTATATTTTGTATGCCATAAAGCAGTATTTATGACATTTTCATGCCTTTGAATCAGCACAGGTCTATAGACCAGCAGTTGAAAACCATTGTTGCAGAGGACAAGGGAATGAAACAGCCCATAACCTATATTTGTCCACCTTAATATCTTATATATTATGTTACAGTTTTACTTCATTTAGCCTTCAGAAGCTCTTCCACCCAAATTCTCCTAATGTTTTGTGTTGATTTTACTTGATATATAGTATATACTACTTCCATGACTTCTTTTTAAAATTTGTCTTATTTTATTACTAATTTTTGTTATTTGGGCCATGCCCAGTTGTGTTCATCTCTTATTTCTGGCTCTGCACACCAGGAATTACTCCTGGTGGTCCATGGGGTACCTATGGGATGTCAGGAACCAAACCCAGGTCAGCCATATGCAAGGCAAGCTCCCTACCCACTTAACTATCACTCCAACCCCATTAACACCCCCCCCCCGTGTGTGTGTGTGTGTGTGTGTGTGTGTGTGTGTGTGTGTAGTATTATAGTTATATATATCGTTAATCCCAAGGTATTCTAACTTAATTATTTTTATACTTCCCCATTCCCTAGAATGTGATGCCACTTTCTGCGGGGTTGTTCAAGAGTGAACACAAAAACCCAGTGCCACAGTGCCCCCCACGTCTTCATGTGCAATTTTTATCACACGTCTTGTGGAGCAGAATGCCAAATCAGTTCTTGAAGGTGGATGTCTCTCGGATCAGCGAGCGTCAAGGCTGGTTGGTGCAGTGTTTGGATCCCTTGCAATTCATGTCTCTTCACATCCCAGAGGAGAACAGGTCAGTCCTTTGTGTCCTTCAGTCTTTCATTGGGGCTCTTTTAAGTAGCCACTGCTCAGAGCTGCAGAGGTGGCAGTGGAGAACTAACTGAAGTCTAAAAATATTTTGTTTCTGTCTGGAGCTGTAGTATAGAATATTGCATATTCCAAATGCAAGATAGGGCATTTACCTTGCACAAGGCCAGCCTGGGTTCATTCCCCATTTCACCCTGAGCCTGCCAAAAGTGATCCTTGAGTCCAGATTCAGGAGAAGCCCTGAGCACCTCCAAGTATGTTCCCAAAACAAACAAAAAATTTTCTTTTGGCCCAGAAAGATAACACATTAGGTAGAGTGTGCCTTGAACGCAGCCAACCCAGATTAGATCCCTGGTATCATATATGGTTCCCTGACCCCTATTGGGGAGGGGAATCTCTGTCCACAGAGCCTGCAGTAAGTCTTGAGCACTGTTGGATGTGGCCCCGAACAAAACTGCCCAATCTTATTACAAGCACTGTAGCACTGTCCTCCCATTGTTCATTGATTTGCTCGAGAGGGCCCAGTAACGTCTCCATTGTTGAGACTTCTTGTTACTATATTTGGCATATTGAATATATCATGGGTAGCTTGCCAGGCTTTGCCGTGTGGGCAAGATACTCTCGGTAGCTTGCCAGGCTCTCCTAGAGGGGCAGAGGAATCAAACTCGGGTCAGCTACTTGGGCTGCATGCAGGGCAAATGCCCTACTCACTGTGCTATCGCTCCAGCCCATCTTATTACAAATAAAAATAAAAATAGTCTTCTGGTAGAGTGAATCTGATACTATGATGATATCCTATCACTGATAGTATTATAAATCACAGCACCTATGATTTCTGTGTTATATACATAAATAAATACATAAAAATATTTTGTGGCAATGAGGACAATTATTTTTCATATTTCAAGTGTAAGTCTATATCTCAACTACTTTATTAAAGAAAAATAATAACTGCACTTGAAGAGGCACATGAAATTATATTATTTTCTTTCTATTTTGTTTTACTTATGATAAATAAAAACATGAAACAAAATAGAACTGTAACTACTTAAGATAGCTGAGTACAGTACAAGTTTTATAAGTAGGATTATAGACAGTTGAACTCTTCACTTGGCAGATGTGAAATCTGACACTATGAGGCATTCATGAAGCTAAATTATTAAAATATATTGGAATCTTTGAAAAAAACAAGTTTACATGCATCCTAGATAGTAATAGAAATAATACAAAGTGCATTAAAAATAATCAAAGTATCTTTATTATTTTTAATGTTTTAACTAAATAAATCATTGACATTTAATGTCAGCAACTTCATTACAAAGAAAAAACTTAGTTTCTAATTTTTGAACCAAGAATTTCATCCCAGAATTTTATTGAAATATTATTGCACAAAATGAGTGGAAAACATTGCATGGAATTAATAAAGGAAAATATAAGCTGTGTCCATTTTTATATACTTAGATATCTTGGCATTAATTTTAAATTTTAACAGTTGGAAAGTTTAAACATTACTTTGGAAATAGTTCATTAGTTTCCCATATAACCTATCAATTTCACTGCTATGTGTATAAACTTTGAAAAAGTGAAAATACAATCTTATTAAAACAGTACATAAATACTAATAGCAACATTAATTTCAGTAGACAAAAAAAAAGAAACAAAGTCTATCAACTGAATCATAAATAAATGTTTTTTCTATATGGTTTATTTGGCAAAAAGGGAATGTACTGTTGATACAGGCTATAAAATGAATAAATCGTAGACACATGATATGTCCTAAGTTGAATAAGATGGTCACAAAAAACAAATATTATACGATTCTAAAATATGAATATTCTGGAATAAGTAATCTTGAAAAAGTAGAATAATGGTCACTTCAGGATGGGTGTAGAGCTATAATCTGTGCCCTACCCACTCTACCTACTGTACTGTTGCTTCAGCCCCTACATTAGCATTCTGGTTGCACAAGTCCATTAATAAGAAAAAGCTGCTGAGTGATATATTTTAAATAGAAAGTTTATATGTATATATAGATGAAGATGTTTTAAAATGAAAACGATCCAAAGAAAACTTGATCTCAAGAGATTTAATTTTTCATGCACTGAATATTTATTTACATATGTTAAGTGATAAAATCAGAAAGATATTTATTATATAATCATTCGATGATTAGATTTTGTTTTAATTTCATACTTCTTCATTTGTAAGAGAAAAGTTTTGTTCGACCTTTTTACTTGATAGTTACTCAACCAAAAATAATAAAGTAATATTTTTAAGAAATTTTACTTTGTGATGAAAAATACTCTTTCAACTAGATTGTAATTTGTTTTCATACCATAATTAGGAACCATCATACTTTTCTACCATTGTAATTTATAATTTACACTTACTTCTTATTTTAGATATCTGTTTATATAAAAGGATGATTTAAACAGTTTAATTATAGAAAAATGATTTACATTCTGCTTTACCTAAAAGCTAATATGAATCACAAATGGTTCTTAGCACCTACTATGCTTGATGAATATAATAAGTACAACTTATAACAACTCGTGTTTTGATGAGTTTCTGTTGTAGCCTTCCCAATGATAACTTTCTAGGTGAATGAGTGAATAAATCATGAATGTATACTATTTATTTTGATGATATTTTGCTACTTAATGTCATCAATGAGCAGTGTTTATGGATTAAATTGTTTAGAAGAATTAAGAATCTCAAAATGAGTGGTTGTATTATTAAAACACCTGTGTTCTGATCTGTATACCGTTGCTCTGCAATTCTCATTTGTATTCTTTTACTGTTATCAAACATAAGCACAAGTATAATACAAACCAGAAAAATAAAAAAATTAGAAATGACATAAAAAATGAATGACTTAACTTAGGTATATCCTACCACTTAAAAGACTGTATACACTGAAAGAATATAACATGTGAGAGCAAGAAAATGATAAAAGCTCTGGTTTCAGAGCCTGATGCAAACAGATCCCTGATAAAAACTTTTCCAAGTGAAGTACCTCAAAGTGTATTTATTTTATGAGTTCTATTGGTGGAAAACAGAGTGGCACTGGCATATATTTAAATCTGTGAAGGGAAGTAAAAACAGGTAAAATATATCAGAAGAATTATCAGTCCATCTATTTCTGACTAGTTAGACCAGTGGTTTTCAACAATTGACCCCCATATTATTGTCAGTATGTAGGTGTAAGCGTTCAAAACTAACTGATCTTCTGTCTGGTTATAAGTTCTGATCTCTGGACCAGAATGCAGGACAGATGCTGTTCTACAAGTATGAAAATATTCAAGAACACTAAGTTAAGCTAATAGCTAATCATACGCCAAAGAGGAGCAACAAACCTTAAAGCAAAGTTTTCTGCTTTCTTGAGTCAGGTTGGCCATATAAGAAAGGGAATACATAGAGTGCTCAGACTCAGAAAGGGGGAGAGTCCCTAGGTTCAAACAGAGACTCAAATTTCCAGGAGAGATCTCCAGAAACTGAAGGCGGATGAAGAAGGGCCAATCACTGCTGACTGGAAACTTTCATTATATACTTCTATGTGGAAGAAAACTTATAAGACATCTTGTAATCTTAAAAACCTGATTCTACCAGATCAGGAATGTGGCTCAATGGGTAGAGTGCGTGCCTTGAATTCAGTCCCCTGGCATGTGGTACTGGGCCCCAAGATCTACCCACAAAAATATAAATAAATAAAATAACTTTTCATTCGCCATTTATTTAAAAATCATATATGCTACCAGTAAATCCGTCTTTGAAAAAATTTTTGAAATACTCTATAGGTTTTTTAAATCTAGGATGCACATATGTGAACCTGTGATTGAACAATGAGCCAGTGTTTGATCTGGCAGTGAGAATAATGGCTTTTATTTGGAGTATTTAGTGAAACTACACTTTGGGAAGCATCGTTCTAGTGAGGCTGTGTAAAGGCTCTAAAGTGGGTAGAATTATTACTAAGGCAGAAGTTGCCTCTTCTATCTAAATGAATACATTTTTTTATAAAGGAAAAGAATAGGGAGGGTAACCTGCGTATTGGTGGTGATAACTTCCCCTCTTGAAGCTGAAAATGGCCGTTGTATGAAATGCTCAGACGATTCTATTTGGGGGCGTTTCCTCTATTCTTTTTAATTCCCTGATAGGTTTCCTCTCCACAATAGGTTTCTCCTCTGCTCAGCCTCACTACCACTATCCTTCTCCCTTTCCTAGGTCTGTTGACATATTAGAATTGACAGAGCAGGAAGAACTGCTGAAATTCCACTATCACACTCTCCGACTCTATTCAGCTGTCTGTGCCCTTGGGAACCACCGGGTTGCCCATGCCTTGTGCAGCCATGTAGACGAACCTCAGCTCCTCTATGCCATCGAGAACAAGTACATGCCTGGTTTGCTGCGGACCGGCTACTATGACCTTCTGATTGACATCCACCTTAGCTCCTATGCCACTGCCAGGCTCATGATGAACAATGAATTTATTGTCCCCATGACAGAGGAGACAAAGAGCATCACCTTGTTCCCCGATGAGAACAAAAAGCATGGCCTCCCCGGGATTGGCTTAAGCACCTCCCTGCGACCTCGAATGCAGTTTTCCTCCCCCAGCTTTGTAAGCATTAATAATGATTGTTACCAATACAGTCCAGAGTTCCCCCTGGACATCCTAAAAACCAAAACTATACAGATGCTCACAGAAGCTGTTAAAGAGGGAAGTCTTCATGCCCGGGACCCCGTAGGAGGAACCACGGAATTTCTCTTTGTACCCCTCATCAAACTGTTCTATACATTGCTCATCATGGGCATCTTTCACAATGAGGATTTGAAGCACATCCTACAGCTGATTGAGCCTAGTGTGTTCAAGGAAGCTGCCACTGCAGAGGAGGAGAGCGAAAGTTTGGAGAAAGATCTGGGCACTGAAGACTCAAAGCAGGAAGGATCTGTGGAAGAAGAAGCTAGAGTGGGCAGTGGACCCAAGGAGGGCCTGCTCCAAATGAAGCTGCCAGAGCCAGTTAAATTGCAGGTAATTAAGAAAATATATTTTATGAATTTCACAATTGGTAGATAAGATATAAAAATGTGCTTTTGCCTCTTTCTATTTTTATTTCTAAATAATTGTAGTTCTTCATAAATGAACTTCCTATTGTGTTTTGTATCTATCCGGTCTAACTTCCTTGATTAGAATGAAAGGAATGACTTCTGTTGAGTCAATTTGTGATAGTTAATAAAAGGCACATTGAGTTTATTTTGTAAGGTAGGTTTATTGGTTAAGTATATCTGGCATACATCTGCAAGTGGACCCTGTTGTATTTGCTTCTGTGTGTGTGTATGTGTATGTTTGTGTGTGTGTGTGTATCTCAGAAGGTGGTACAAGAAAGGGGTTTCTGTCTTTCCAGTTCTTTTCCCTCTCCTTTAATTGTTCCTTGCATATGTCCTCTTGCTTATACAAATGTATAGCACTGACATTTTTTGTAAGAATGCCGAAAATACAAAAAATTCCATTTTGCTTCTCTTGCTTCACATGTACACTTGCCAATATTGATCACTTGTTTACTGGTAGAGGTCCATGTTCTCACTCAGAAAGATCTATTTTCTGCATATGTATTTCTAAAAATCGAAAATATTGCATGTCTGTGTTCCTCAAGATGTGGGAAGAGTTCTATAAATATCTCTGTGAAGGGTATTTAGGGTCAATTTTGATCAATAGACCCTATAATTAGGGTCAATTTGATGTTTCCCATTAGAGCCCATTATCAGTACAATTTTGTTCTTCATTCCTTGGTGTTAATCATTGGGTCTTGCTCTGAGTCAGGTACTTGCTGTTAGGAAAAGGAAACAGATTTGGATCATGCCTTCCAGAAGTTCATAGTCTGAGGGGAAAAGTATTTTAATTAATTAATTTAATTTTAAATATTAATCCTGTTAATCGTCGATTGCCTCGAGCAGGCCCCAGTAACATCTTCTTCGTCCTAGCCCTGAGATTTTTTTAAAAAGTGCCATATTCAAGGCTCTTTCAGAGTTAGGAGAATGAGACCCATCATTGTTACTGGTATTTGGCATATTGGGTACTCCACGGGGAGTTTGCCAGACTCTGCCGTGTGGGCAGGTTAGATTCTGTAGCCTGCCAGTTTGTCCAAAGTAGGAATGAGATAATAAGATGTCATAATAAGATGTCTACTGGAATTTGGAGAATCTGGGTGGAGGATGCTCAGCACCAATCCGAGTAGGCTGGGAGATCTCAGTCCCAGGACCCGCATGCCTATGTTCCTCTGCCGGTTCCTTCATGTGTGTGGAGAGTGGTCTCAGCATGGTGGTGGTTGGTTCTGGAGGTCTTCAGCTGCCGGAGCCCTGGTCGGGTCGGGGAGGAGAACTCAACCTGCTCCCCTCCAAGGGGCTCCGGCGAGGACAGCCAGGTGTGGGGGCAGGAGACTCTGCGCTGTTCTCTTCCGGGAGCTGGGTTTTATAGTCTCTGAGTCTTGGCCGTTGATGGGATTACACGGCACCAGGGGGCCAGTTGGTTGGTGTGACCCCCGCCTACTGGAATTTGGAGGGGCCCCGGCATTTATGTCACAAATTGTATTAAGTATACTTAAGTATTTTCCTAAATTTGGGCAGAACATTCTGTAGTTAGCATATTTCTGTGATACATTTCAGTTAAATATCCTTCTGCTAGGAGAATATCTATTTAATTATTTAATGACCATGTAATTCGACCATGTAACTAGACAGTTACATCCACCAACTGCTTTGTAACCCCATCAACGGCTACGATCCAGACAATAGACCAAGCTCCCGGAAGCGTGTGGCCACATTTGCGGCCGCGCGACCTCTTTTTGTCTAGTTCTCACTCTCAGAGAACCTGGCGGGCTACCAAGAGTATCTTGCCCACATATAGGCTTGACTGGGCACACCTATAAAGGTGATTAGAGGCTTCCCTGAAAGCCTCCATGCCTCTTGGAGAGCCTGGCAAGCTACTGAGAGTATCCTGCCTGCACAGAGCCTGGCAAGCTATCTGTGGCATACTCGAGATGCCAAAAACAGTAACAATGATGGTTCTCATTCCCCTGACCCTGAAAGTGCCCCCAATATGCCATCAGGCTACACTAGCACGTGACAGGGATGAATGGAGATGTTACTGGCGCCCACTTGAGCAAATCAATGAACAACGGGGTGATAGTAATTAATTTAATAATCACTTAACTTGCATACAGTCTGGAAAATAGTTCTACAGCAAGCTTTCATTATCTTTCCATGACTTAAGGTTTACATTCTAAGGTGTGTTACTTATATTATTCTTCCTATAATCACCCAGTTATAGTCATTTTGGAAAGAATTTGTTCAAGTCTGTTACTAATCATGAAAAGTCTTTCCCAGATTCTTGGCAAACTTCTCCTAATAGAGATCATTATTCACAGAACTTAGGCCTTCAAAATGGGAATGATTAACAAAGGAGCACATATTAGTTATTTTCAGTGATTGTTTAGTAAGAATATTACTGACTATACATCAGAAAACTATACGTGAATGGGAAGAGTTGGCAAGTAAACATGTCTGCCACACATTTTAATTTGACATACACTAAGTGAAGCTTCAGAAATTTAATTTGATATCTCTTTGCTAATCTTCTTAGATGTGTCTGCTGCTTCAATACCTCTGTGACTGCCAAGTCCGGCACCGAATAGAAGCCATTGTGGCTTTTTCAGATGACTTTGTAGCAAAGCTTCAAGATAATCAGCGATTCCGGTATAATGAAGTTATGCAAGCGTTAAATATGTCAGCTGCATTGACAGCCAGGAAAACAAAAGAATTTAGGTCACCACCTCAAGAACAGGTAAAAAATACAGTTAAAAATCTTTCTTTTAATTTTATCTTTAAAATATTTTTAGTCTTTCTTCTTCTGAAGACTGCACTTAACATGATATCTGCCAGTTACATCTGTTTTGCAGTAAATTGCATAATTTTATAATCTCTTGAAATTGTGTAATATTGCATTATATGTATATATACACGCAATGAAAGTGTACATATATAGAATAAAAGTGTGTTATACATATATAGATAGATAAATAGATAGTTATCACATTTTCATTCTCCACTCATATGTTGCTATATACCTATTAAGGAGGAGGCCTTGGGATGTAAGGAAACCTGGAGATTCTGGTGGAGGGAAGTTGACATCGGTGGTGGGATAGGTGTTGAAACATTGTATGCCTAAAACTCTATTATGTAAATTGTAAATAACTTAATAAAAATTTAAAAAAACCTTTGAGCCATTCAATACACATATATTGCTGAATTATGTGATAAGTTTGTTTCTTGGCTTCACCAAAGAATCTGCTTGGCTACTTTAAAGAAATGAGAAACACATTACAATCTACCAAGTACATCATAAACACTTTGAGGACTGCAGCATATGTTTCTGAGATTCTTCAAGTAGTGACAATGCCTAACTGCATGTAGGTGATTTTCTTTGGTTGGTGTGTTGCTACTCAGTAGGGAGTCTAGACTTCTAGGATTTCATACTGGACACTTTCTATTTGGTGCCTCCCCTGAAGAACAAATTGTGAATCCATCAATTTTGCTGAAAGATTGATTTTTTATTCTTATTTTTATTTATTTTTTTGCTTGTGGTTTATCCTCTTTTTTACTCACCTCCAAATCTAGATCCCATTAAGGGGCAGTGGAACCAAAGGAAGGTATATTCATGAAACAGAACAAGCTAGTCTAAGAATGTGAATTTTCTGAATTCTAATTCAGTATGGAATTAGAATTCCATACTGAATACTAATTCACTGTGTTAGAAAGTGCCAAGATGTAGTTTTAGTGGTTGATGGGTATAACTGGCAGATATCTGTTTATCCTTCCATTTGTTTCTGTATCCAAGATACTTTCATGGAATCCACAGAACTTGGTACTCAAGGAACAACACTGTGGTGAATCCCATGGGTTATTGTTTTGTTTTGTTTTTTCTTCACTAACCCCAGAGTGAAACTAAAGAAGTTGGTACTCCTGAAGTGCAATGGGCATAGACAAGAAGAGCCCCAACAAAAGTCTTCAATGTCTATTCAAAGAAACAGGAAAACTGTCTTTCTAACAAGACAGAAGACTTCTGATAATGAACTGAACTTGTCTAGCTAAACACTGCAATAAACCACTCTGGCCAGCCGAGTAGGGATCTTAGATGTCCATTCTAGCCAGGTTTTTATATTGAGTTGTTCCATCTAGAATTTAGGGTACTAGGATTTTACATCCAGGGTGATTCTGAGAGCTACTCTTCCTGAAGTGACTCAGTGTCCAGGGAGGGAGAAGGGCCAAGTGACTCTTACCTTTTCAGCCAGAGTATTATGAATATAATAAGAAACTAGTGAAGAATCTATCTCCAGTCTTGCCCAGCAGACATTATAATGGTGTCTTTCTCCTTCAAATGAAGAGAACTTGTACTTTATCCTGGAACTAATGAGAAGTCCAAATCCTTCTCTTGCTTGACAGAGTCAGAAGAAGCCACAAGTTTGACTGAGTCAAAGTCTCTTAATTTACTGCCTTAAATGTCCAAGATTTCATTTGAGTGCATACATCATACCAGGACAAAATAAACTTGAATAAAAAGAATGATCAATTTGCTATAGCAATTCTGAGATGATAAGATGTTAAAATTAATAAGATTTTTAAAATGTCACCATAAACCTCTTTGCAACGTAAGTAAATAAGAACGTCTCAGAAAGAAATTAGAAAAGTCTCACAATGGAGACATTACTGGTGCCTGCTTAAGCAAATCGATGAACGGGAGGACAGTGCAGTGCAGTGCAGTGCAACGGAGATACTAAATGTATGAAATTAACACAGAAATGACAGAAAAAATAAGACAAATACAAATCTTACAGATAAAAGTATATTTGGAGAGTTCAATACCCTTCTCTCAATTTTGATATAAGTGCTAATAAAAGGGGCCAGAAAGATGACTCATTAGTATAGAAAACTTGTTTATATGCTGGAAGACCCAGTTTGATTCCCAGTACTGCATGGTCCCTGGAACACTGCCAGGAGCAACACTAAGCTGGAGTGGGGAAAAACTCTTATGCTTCTCTTGTGAGTTTTGCTAATTCCCCCCAGAGAACAATGAAAAGGCTAATCAGATAACCAGCAAGAATGTAGGGCAATCTGAAACTATTATCAACTAATAGGATGTTTGCATATTTGTAAACACTCTACACCAAAACTGAATACATTTTGTTTGTCTGTTTGTTTGTTTGCTTATCTGGGGCTCTCAGGTCACTACCTGTGATTCTCACCAACCAGGTAGTGGTTCAACCCAAGCTCTTGATGATTCTGTACTGTTTTGACTCCGTGGAGTTGGTAATTATCTGAGCATTCCAGAGATGCTTGGGAAGCCTCCAGAGTCATACCTGAGAGTGCTGGGGAACCACTGTGCTGGAGATCAAGCTGGGTCTGGTGTATCCTATACATACACCCTAACTGCTGAACCATCTCTTGATTCAAAATACACTACTGCCCCCCAGTGCTCATGAAACATCTTTAATGATGAACTATAACCTGGAATATAAGTTTGCTCAAGTACATTTCAAATGATTTATTGCTTTTTTTATACAGAGCATTTTTAATACAGTGGAGTCAACTTGAAAATTAATAATAGAAACATAACAAGAAAATCCTCAAAAAATTGGAAATAAACAGCAAATTTCTAAACAATTTATGATTTGAGATCAAAGTTTCATGAGAAATTCAAAATTGCATGAACTGAAAAACTGAAAATATCATATATCAAAATTTGTGGAAATGGCTAGAATATTGCAGAAAAGGAAATTTATGATTTTAAAGGTGTACTAAAAGGTGTAATACAAATGATGAAAATCTGGCTAAATAAATAATCTAAGCTACTATAGCACAGCGGGTAGGGCATTTGCCTTGTACGCGGCCAACCTGGGTTCGGCAAATTGATGAACAACGGGGTGTGGGGTGGGGGGGAACAGAGCTACAGTGCTATTAGTTAACTAATCAAATCAAAGAATTAGAAAAAGAAGAGCAAATAAACCCAAGTAAGCAGATAGAAGGTTATAATGTAAGTTAGAACAAAAATAAATGAAACTGAAAACAGGATAATAACTGAAAAAGAATCAGGGTAAGTGAGATAGTACTGTGATTATGGTGTTTTCCTGCATACAACTGACTAGGTTCTATTCCCCTGAACTGTAAATGGCTCCCTTAGTACCAACACAACTGATCACTGAGCACAGAGCCACTAGCTGTAGCCCAGTAGTCAAACAAACAAGTAAAAGCAACAAAAAAGGGAAAAGCCAATGGATTCGAAAGCTTGTTATTAAAAAAAAAAACAACTTTTATATGATCACAAAACCTTTAAAGGGCTAACAAAAGGAAAAGAGAACTCTAAGACAAAATTAGCAATATTAGGCATGAAATGCATTATCACTAAAAACTTCATAGATATCAAAAGGCTCTTATGGGGCTATATATTTTTGCTGTTTGATTTCATTTAAATCATATTTTGGAAAAAAAACTAATATAGACATGGAGAACAGTTTGTTTGTGGTAGGAATTAGAGATTGAGGATCTAAGAGTAGTGAAGTGGACTTGGCTATAGAAACGTAAAAGATTGGGTTCCTGGGGTGATGGATTGTCTGCTATTTTGTCTTTGTCAGTGTTAATATTCTGAGTTGAAATACTATACAATATGCAAGATATGCATGACATTACCATTAGGGAAAATTGGGTGCTGTATGCAAAGACCTCTTTGTATTATTTCTTTAGATAGCATATGAATGTATAATTATTACAGAAAAAAAGCACCTTCACGAAAACTCTAGATAGAAAACTGATTCCTAAAGAAAAAGTTATGGAATGGCAGAACGCAATTCTTTACTTATAAACATAGTACTTTTCTGTTTAATAGCAGAATAAATGGAAGGAAAATTTTTGCAATCTAATTGCACCATTAATGCCAGCAAAACCCTGGTTATCCACTTATCCATGGAACAGATTACTTTTCAACTACATTTAGATGTTTTTCTTCTTTTTTGAGCTGCATGCTCAAAAACAAAGTTATTTAAATATTCAGTATAGTATTAAAATTGCTAGAATGATAGCAAAATACAAGCATAATAAATTATTTTTTAAGCAATATAGTTTAGTTGATTTAAAATTCTAGTATACTAGATTCTAACATTGTGGGATTGAGAAAGAAGTAAATCATGTGACTATTTTAGCATACTAATCTTTGAATTATTTTGTATACTTTGTGGAATTTGTTGGAGTAAATGATAAGCAATAACTTTTTATCTCTCAAATGAGAAGTTATGAATACTCAAACTAAATTTTAACCATCTTCATTTTTACGATGTTTCTGAATTCACATTTCCTGAACTTCTTTTTTTTCTTGTCCATCCTCCTCTATCCTGCCCAATCTTCCAGATCAATATGCTTCTCAATTTTAAGGATGACAAAAATGAATGTCCATGTCCTGAAGAAATTCGAGACCAGCTCTTGGAATTTCATGAAGATTTGATGGCCCATTGCGGTAGGATCTTTTTGACTTAAATAACTAATAATATTTAAACCCCATGTACAGTACAATGGTACTGATTTATGTGAATAATTTCACAAATATGCATGATTCCAGTTAGGCATTGATATAAGGTCAGTTATTATGGTTAATTGGTTAACAAATGCTATGAGGGAAGCAAAAAGGGTAGAAAGATTAGAGGGGCAGTAAAATTGAGCCAAGCATAACCAAAACGGTTTTTATTTTCCTTTTCTTCTTGCCTGAAGAGTCAGGGAGTGGGAAGGGGGACAAGGGCCATATAACAAGAGCATTGGCAGAGATGTGTCATGTTGATTTAACCTAAAGACATTTTTTCCCAAACAGTTCAACTATTTGTAGAACCACATTTTTTGGCCCAGCATAGGAAATTTAGGAGTAGCTTGTGAATTTAATCAACTTTTTAGGGAATTCTTTAGTAAGTAACATTTTAGCAGTCCAAATATCTGAAAAGATAGAAATTCCTCTCATTAATTTTAAAGTTTTATATTGGAATTGATTGGCTATTTTGCATGTATAGTTCTTTCTCTTTTTATGATATAGTGTTACTAAGTCTGTGTTCCAGTAAAAGAAAAGGAGTTATTTCTTTAATGACACATGTAGTAACACTGGTCATATTATTTTAGTAAAGAGTAAAGCTTCACCTTGGATAGTAATTTATGAATAGAGCCACTTCTTTAAATGTCTACTGAAATGTTATACTTCACACACAAATATGTATACATACATATATTTTGAATTTTATAGAATTCATACATATGCATATATATTTACATGTGGGTTCACTAAAATCCAGAATTGTTGCTTTAGATATAAAACATTTCATTTAAACCAATTCTCTCAGTCTTGCAACTTACTAAAATATTGCTAACTTTTCTGGAGGTTATTTAGTAGAATAAAAATTATGGAAGTTCAGGCAGGGTAGAAAGGATTGAACTACAGTTTTACACAGAGTTTTGGTGCATATTGTCTTATATATTAACAAGTAGCTTCTACAATATAAGCTGTTTATTTTTGTGTGTGATTATTAATTGCTATATCATTTTAAACTTCTTAATTGAATCACAGTGATAAACAGTTATAAAGTTGTTCATGATTTGATTTCAGTCATATAATGTTCCAATGGGCTGGAGCAATAGCACAGCGGTAGGGCGTTTGCCTTGACACAGCCAACATGGCCGACCCGAGTTCGATTCCTCCGCCCCTCTCGGAGAGCCCAGCAAGCTACCGAGAGTATCTTGCCCGCATGGCAGAGCCTGGCAAGCTCCCCGTGACGTATTCGATATGCCAAACACAGTAACAACAAAGTCTCCAATGGAGACGTTACTGGGCCCACTCGAGCAAATTGATGATCAATGGGAGGGCCTTTACCTTTACCTTTACACAGACAGTGCCCACGTATAGTATTATATCTATCAAATATAGTATTACTATTATTAGAGTCTACATGATCAATTTAGTAGAATTGATCATGACTCCAACATCAAGATTTAGATGTATTGCCCTGACTTTTCATACTCCTGAGCCCAAAGAGAAAAGGGGAAAGAGAAAAGAACAAAAGAGGCTAGGAATAAGTCTTAACTAGGAAATTTAGTAGGCAAAATTGCTTAGTTCATTGCCAAATGTTTTAGATATGGCAGCTTTATTTAAACAAGCGTTTCTCAACTGAGGACCATATATTTCCTTGGGGCCTTCCAGAAGATTCTAGTGGGATCACATATAAAAATGGCCCAGGTAGGGAATGATAACACAAAACTTGGGTTTGAACAAGTAGGATATGGGACCAGAGTAAGGGAACAAGGTTAAAAGGGGGCCATGGTTGGAAAAAGTTGAGAAACTGCTTTAATTTGTGGATGGAAAAATTTAGGAGAAAGCCTGAGAATGATTACTCCTAAGTATACATTTAACACACACACACACACACACACACACACACACACACATATACACCCTATATATGTATGTAAAATAGTAAAGGTAAAATAGTAAAGGCCCTCCCGTTGATCATCGATTTGCTCGAGCGGGCCCAGTAACGTCTCCATTGGAGACTTTGTTGTTACTGTGTCTGGCATATCGAATACTCTCGGTAGCTTATTTGTTTGTTTTTTATCTTCTTTTCTACTAGGGATTGAGCTGGATGAAGATGGGTCTCTGGATGGAAACAGTGATTTAACAATTAGAGGACGCCTGCTGTCCCTGGTAGAAAAGGTGACATACCTGAAGAAGAAACAAGCTGAAAAACCAGTTGAGAGTGACTCCCAGAAGTCCTGTAAGCAGTGTGAAAGGGCACTGACAGAGTGACTCAGCTGCTGGCACTGATTCATCCTTTGAACTATTAACATGCTAGATTAACCAGTGAGAACTCTGTGTGCAACTTCCAAGAATCAGATTCTTAACTAGATGTCTCTAGCTGCAGTAGTAGACAGCAGAACAGATTGAGAGAGAGCATTAGAAGGGTGGATGGACTCCCAACAGAACTGCAATTTTAGGTATTTGAAGTCTATCAAGAGAAAGTATTAAGGGAGGAATGTAGCTTTTGCTTTCTATATATGATGTTATTTCTTTCCAGATTTTTTTTTGTGTCACATGCAAATGTTTCTCTAAATAACTATTATCAATATCTATATTTTGGTTCTGAAGTATTTGCTGAAGTGTTATACATTCCTGCTTTATCTGTACCCTCCTTCGCTAAAGGGTAATGACTGATATTTGAAACCAAGACTGGAACAGCCTCAGACATGACACTCATCAAGAAAGGGTTCAAAGTAGACCTGTGTTTTTGTCACCTCTCTTTGATACCCCAATTTTAAGATGCAACACTGACTGATTAGCAACTTTTATTGAAAGAAAAAATAAATTCACAAACTTGTATTTTTTCTGATGAGTTACTAAATTTATTTTTTAATATTTATTCATTTATTTAGTTTTTGGGGTCACAGATAATGGAGTTTTGGGCTACATTTGGCTGTGCTCAGGGGATCATGTAGCACTCGGGATCAAAACCAGGTCTCATGCATGCCAAGCATGTGCTCATTCCGTTGATTTAACTCTCTGACCCACTCAATTTTTTCTTTATTATCACTACCAAATTTAAGTCACGTAGTCTTAAATATCAGAAATCATTTTCTTATGATTTTTGTTAGTATCAAGCTTATGATTTTGACCTATTAAAATGACAGCATGGTTTTGTAATATGTGAAAGTATATTCACATCTTAACTGCATTTTTGTATCTGCTTAAAATTGGCAGTCATTTTTTTTCTCAATGTACAGATAAAATAGCGTCTTCTAAATATCAACCCATGTTTTCATAAGATTTAAGTACTTCACTAGGTAGTCATTATTCACATCAGTTCTACGTAGCTTCATCAATTTTGGTATTTATTTTAAAAGGTTTGAAAGTTTATCGCTTTCAAGTGCACTACCATTGTATATTACATTTCTAGCAATTTGTATATAGGAAATACTTTTTCACTTCAGTATAGTTTTACATTAAAATCCTTTTGATCACTTCTTGGCCTTTTGTCTAAGATCAAGTGTAAAATCCTTTTGAAGATCTCATCAGTGACAATTCAGGATCCACAATTAATTTAAAGTATAATTATCTCGATTCACCATTGTAAATAACTCAAATTTGGAAACAATTTAATAAATATGTGTTTAAGAATAAGGATACATGATGTTAGATATGCATAAAGAACAAAAAAACTAAAAATCACAGTTCATATTGATTGCTTATAGTGGTTTTGAAAAATTGGTTATAATTTTGATAAATTAAAATAATTCAATTATAATAGTGGATTCTAATGGAAATTTTGTGTTTTTATGCATGCTCACAGCTTATTCTATAGACATTTATAAATTTTTTAAATAACCTTTATTATCTTCAAATAGTATTCCTAGGCTTTTCAAATCTGGTAGCAAATACTGATGGCAAATTGGGCCATAAGATATGCAGTTGAAATACCCAGCTGATTTTGTTTCTTATTATTTCTCCTCTTTTAAACTATCTATGATGATTTTACAGCAACTCTACAACAGTTGATATCAGACACGATGGTCCGATGGGCTCAAGAGTCTGTCATTGAAGACCCTGAGTTGGTGAGGGCCATGTTTATGTTGCTCCATCGACAATATGATGGCATCGGGGGTCTGGTTCGGGCTCTGCCAAAGACCTACACTATAAATGGTGTTTCAGTGGAAGATACCATCAACCTGCTGGCATCTCTTGGACAAATCCGTTCTTTGTTGAGTGTGAGAATGGGCAAAGAAGAAGAGAAACTTATGATTCGTGGATTAGGGTAAATCATTCTAATATTATAACTGTTGTCTTTTTAATTTATTCAAATTATTTTTATTCCAGTAAACTATTGTAGGTGCATTAATATTTACGGGTATAGGATTAAAAACCTATTGGTTATCTAGAACTGACACAAAGAATATTTTGCACTTAAATACTTTGAGATTTAGGTTATACAAAAAGATTTGAATTAAGAAGAGAACTTTCCCTGTGATACAAATGTGACTTGAGAGTGAAGGTTTTCTTGTGAAAAGTACTGCCTCCAAAAATGACAGAAAGGGCTAAATTAGTTTACTTGCTTTTGTATGAAATAAATTATTCCTTGCTCATGGTGCGACCACCAAGTCACTTTTCTGAGTATACTCTCAACAACTTTCATTATTTGAACAAAAAATTAATTACATTAAAAGTGAAAAAATTAAATTAATGAATGTAGGAAAACCCATACAATTATATCCTCTCGATATAGTCATAATATTAAAAGTAGCACTGTAGCACTGTAGCACTGTCCTCCCATTGTTCATTGATTTGCTCAAGCGGGCACCAGTAACATCTCACAACAAATTGTCAGACTTGTTGTTACTGTTTTTGGCATCACGGGCAGCTTGCCAGGCTTTGCTGTGAGGGCAAGATACTCTTGGTAGCTTACCGGGCTCTCCGAGAGGGGTGAAGAAATTGAACCTGGGTCAGCCGGATTGGCCACATACAAGGCAAATGCCCTACCTGCTGTGAAAAAAATGAATATATAAGGTAAAGGCCCTCCCGTTGATCGTCGATTTGCTTGAGTGGGCCCAGTAACGTCTTCATTGGAGACTTTGTTGTTACTGTGTCTGGCATATCGAATACTCTCGGTAGCTTGCCGGGCTCTCCGAGAGGGGCGGAGGAATCGAACTCGAGTCGGCCATGTTGGCCGCTTGTAAGGCGAACGCCCTACCCGCTGTGCTATCGGTCCATAATTCAAATTTAAACAGCAGGTTTCAATTTTCTGCAGAGTATATATTGTTTTCTTGTTATAGCTCTGACAAGAAAACATTTTATAAAAATAATCCTTCCCTTAATTTGACTAAAGTTAAAGTTTTAAAAAGCAAAGTTGTAGGGCTGGAGAGATAGTATAGGGGTAGTACTGAATCCCTCACACTCCATGGGGTCCCCAGGTCCTGCGAGGAGAGATCCCTGAGTGCAGAGCCAGGAGTAAACCCTGAGTATACACCTGAGTTGAAAAACAAAAAAGCAATGAAATAAATAAAAGGCAAAGCTATTTGTAATGACTCTTGAACAGATTTTAGGAAAATACCTGCAATATATAATAGTATTGTGCAATGTAGTAATAATAATACAAATCATATATTTGTCATTTGATCTTGGTTTAATTGAATGTTCATTTCAATTATTTATATTATTTCTACTGATGGTTGGAACGATAGCACAGTGGGTAGGGCATTTGCCTTGCACCCAGCTGACCCAGGTTTGATTTCTCTGTCCCTCTTGGAGAGCCCAGCAAGCTACCGAGAGTATCTCTCCCACATGGCGATGCCTGGCAAGCAACCCATGACGTATTTGATATTCCAAACACAGTAACAAATGTCACAGTGGAGACCTTACTGGGCCTGCTCGAGCAAATCAATGAACAACAGGAGGACAGTGACAGTGGCAGTGACTTCTACTGAACTTTATATATATCAACTTATTATGGACATATATATCTCTTAAAAGCATTTTGTATTTGAGATAGAGTTCAAATAGTAGAGCACATTTCTTGTTTGAAAATTCCTGGGTTCTGTCTCTGACACTGCATGCCTGTCCATCCCCAACTCTACTAGATGTGATCCTAGAAATCAACTGAACACCCCTTTAAATAGTCTCTCAACAAAAGCAAAATAATAAGAACAAGTAAAGACATTTTGTTAGAAATAACTAAGAAGGAATGGTATTTTAATTTTACATATAAATATATTTAGTATTATCAACACTATGAAAAACATATTTATCAAGAATTTATATACTTTATGTATTTTATATAAACTAATGTTTGCATGTAATTGCAGATTGTAATTAAAATAAATATACTACTTATATACTATTTCTGGTAATTTATCAATATTTCAAATTTAAACTTACTTATCCTCATTAACTTTTTGCTTTACTATGATCTTTTTTTTCATGCATGGCAAGGATTATTTCAGAGAGCTATTAGTATCTCATATACATTTTACTTTAAATATTTCTCTGACCTCTTTGCTTTCCCCCCACTCATACCCTCTCTTTTCTAGGGATATCATGAATAACAAAGTATTTTATCAACACCCTAATCTCATGAGGGCTCTTGGTATGCATGAGACAGTGATGGAGGTCATGGTGAATGTTTTGGGAGGTGGAGAGTCCAAGGTAAGGGATAACCTTTCATTCTTGGGACTCCATATCACTTCTATCACTTCAGGAACACATGCATTTTATATTCTTACTGATAATTTCTTAAATCCTCTTAGGAGGACTATTTTTTTTAATTTTTGAATTTACAAACACCTTTTGAGGGCCTGAGAGATAATTCAGCATGCTGAGCATATGCTCTGAATGTAGGAACCTCGGGTTTGCTTCCCAGCTCCATGTGATCCCCTAAGCACCACCGGGAGTAACCCCAGGGCACAGAATGGGTGTGTAGCTCTGTGAAAACTATAAATATGGGTCAAAAATAAAGATTGTGAAAAAACAAATACAACCTTACATATTGAGAGTTGGATTTGCTACTATTTCTCTGATAGGGATAGCAGCATCTATCTTGTACTTAATATCTCATTATTTTCATTTGATGCATATTTATGCCTTAAAAGTTAATGCCTTAGTAGTGTTTATTTCTTAATTATAAATAAGTTGGGCTGGAGCAATAGCACAGCGGGTAGGACGTTTGCCTTGCATGCAGCCAACATGGCCGACCCAAATTCGATTCCTCTGCCCCTCTCGGAGAGCCTGGCAAGCTACCGAGAGTATCTCGCCCACACGGCAAAGCCTGGCAAGCTACCCATGACATATTCCATATGCCAAACACGGTAACAACTGTCACAATGGAGACATTACTGGGCCCGCTCGAGCAAATTGATGAACAACGGGAGAACAGTGACAGTGACAAATAAGTTAATTCACATTTAAAGCAAATATGTTCTGACCTAGTCATACCCATGATTCCAGGTGATAATAGTCCTACTAAATTCATAATTCAGACCAAAATTTGAGATTGATGCTATGTAGTATTTTAATAAGATTAAGTAATCTTCAAAGGAATTAAACTTGCAGTGAAATCATATAACACAAACCAAATCAAATTTTATAAAATATATATCTATTTTCATGACTTCTGAGTTGCAAAGATCATTTCAATAGTTTTGAAGTTTCAAGATGCATTTTCGTAGTATGACAGTGAGACCATATTCCTCATGTTCAATCTACTGAATAGAAAGACATAAATATTTTGTAAAATTTATTACTTAGAAAGAACTGCATGAAACATGTGCAGTATAATACAGCATGATCAAGAGAATGCATTTAATGGAACTGAGCAGGTAGATTGCCTGCCAGAGTACAAATACAGTCCACAAGTCATGTGTCAATCAGAAAGTTTCAAATCCTTAAAATCTTCATAGTAAATAGGTGTAATAGTAATAACATATATAATAAAACATCCTGTCATGTGGTCTCAAGTATTAAAGTGAAATTTAAAAATTTGTATAAGCTCTCATTTAACTCTTCCTCCTGACCTAAAATATATGGATTATCCATCTTCAATGTTTTAATAATTTTTAATCACTTTGAATTACAGAGTTACAAAGTTATTCATTGTTAAGTTTCAGGCAATGTTCCAACAAAAATTTCTTCACCAGTGTCCATTTCCCTCCACTAATGTCCCTTCATCTTCTTTAAAAAAAAAAAAGCATTGCATATCTCAATGTCTGAAGGACGAGATGAGTTAAAATATGGGCATTTAAAAGTATTTTGTATCTCTAATTTTGCGATCTTAGACACACAATCAACAAGGTGATAGAAACCTAATTTTCTGCGCTCAATTTTATAATAATTTACTTTCATAAGTAACTAAATGTTCTTTATGCAGGAAATAACTTTTCCTAAGATGGTGGCCAACTGTTGTCGTTTTCTCTGTTACTTCTGTCGTATAAGTAGGCAGAATCAAAAAGCTATGTTTGATCATCTCAGTTATTTATTGGAAAACAGCAGTGTTGGTCTTGGTAAGTAGATGTGTGAATCTTTAATCTTTACGATAAAATGAATATTCATATTAAAAAATAAACTTTGAAATATATAAATATATGTGTTAGTGTGATCTATATTACATCTATTCAAATTGTATTTGAAACTTGGTTCTTTATATGAATTCCTAGTTACAGCATAATCCATGTATCATTTTATCTTCTTTTGAATTAACAGCCTCGCCAGCTATGAGGGGTTCTACACCACTTGATGTGGCAGCTGCGTCAGTGATGGATAATAATGAATTGGCCTTAGCTTTACGAGAACCAGATCTAGAAAAGGTAGGCAACATTCCTGCCAGTGTTTTTGTGACTTAAATTTCTTTATGATTATTTGCCATGATAATTTGACATTATCCTAATTTAGTTCTATTTATGTGATATCCTCAAAAGGTACTCTAAATCTTACCTATGTTATACGTAATCTTATAATAAGTTGTGAAGAACTACAGATTTGACATAAAGTGTTTCTTCTAAGACATTTTTCTCTGAAAAGGGATTCAACTTATTTCAAATGCATTCTTGTTGGTCTTGTCATTTCACAGTACCTGTTGTTACTTATACTTTAGTCAAACATTTTAATTACGTAAAATGTTTCAGAATTGTTTTTATATATTTTATAGCATAAAGGGTTTATTTATACCAGCACAAGCTATAATTGGTAAACTAAGCATATTAAACCACAAATACGTTTTTTTTCCAGAATTTTCAGAACATCTCTTCATTATAATGCAATGAAATTCTAAGTCCTCTTCCTGGTCTTTATGTTGCTTCCCTATTTAACAGACTAGAGTAAGCTTCTTAAGATAATTTTATTAATCATCTTACCAGAATTTTTCAAATAATTCATCTTGCTTTGAAGGTCTTTGTATTTTGGTGGATACAAAGATACAGTGATAATTGTACACCAAAGTGTAAATGTTAACACTACTATATCCATGTTACCTCAACTATAATAAAATGATTAAAGAAGAAAAAAGGCTTTACAACTGTTACTTTCTTCCTCATCTGATTCCACATATATTTTAAAAATGAAAAATATATTTTAAAAATGAAAATTTAGCAAAATTTTGTTTTGGTGCCAGGGATTACCCCAGGGCTACATACATGCAATGCATGGAGTCTACTGCTGGGCTACATCCCCAGCTTAAACAGAAATTGTAGCACTGCACTGTAGCACTGTCCTCCCATTGCTCATTGATTTGCTCAAGCAGGACCAGTAATCTTTCCATTGTGAGACTTGTTGTTACTGTTTTTGGCATATCGAATACTCCATGGGGAGCTTGCTAGGCTCTGCCTTGTGAGATGCTCTCAATAGCTTGCTGGGCTCTCTGAGAGGGGCGGAGGAATCAAACCCAGGTCGGCTACATGCAAAATAAATGCCTTAACCGCTGTGCTATCGCTCCAGCCCAAACAGAAATTGTATTTTTTTTAAATTCAGTTATGCCTCTATACAAAGCTAGTTTTCTCCCAAAATTGTGGCTAAAAATGTTTAAGTAATTTTCACGACATGACTCAGTAATGAAACAGGCCAGATTTGAAGACAAGTATTTGTGACTCTCAGTTTTATTCTCTAGTGTTTCCCCTTGCCCCCTTCCCTCCATTAAACTGACGTATTGTTTTGTAATTAATCCACATCAATAAAATAATCATTCCCAGAGAGATCTTTCAATATAGATGGGCCAGAGACCGGACATTTTTGCAGTTCATTAAATATTATAATTTTGTAGATACAAGTCTTAATTAAATGACATGAACTTATGTATATTGACTGTTGTAGAATTATTTCATAAATAATAGCACTTTGTTAATATTTGTTAATATTTCTTAATTCCAATTTTTGCCTAAAACCTTGTGAGTTATACTGATTTTTTTGCATTTATTTTTAGAACATTTGCTTCAACCAGTCCTCTGAGAATCACGTTTAACATAGCGCAAGTCTCTAATGATTTCTAATCAGGAGATAATGCTTTTGCTATCATCTTGTTTGTAGGTAGTTCGATATTTGGCTGGTTGCGGGCTCCAGAGTTGTCAGATGCTGGTGTCTAAGGGATATCCTGACATTGGGTGGAATCCAGTTGAAGGAGAGCGATATCTTGATTTTCTCAGATTTGCTGTCTTCTGTAATGGTAGGACTTATTGCTTGGGGCATTTTTGTACAGTATTAAAGTTCATAAAAGAAGGTCTATAAAATAACAATATATACCAGTATTTACATGAAATTGGGAAATTGAATATTTTATAGTGAGGGCCAGAGCAATAGTACACTGGTTAGGGCATTTGCCTTGAACGCAGCCAACCTGGGTTCAAACCCTGGCATCCCATATGGTCCACCAAGCACCGCCAGGAGTAATTCCTGAGTGCAAAGCCAGGAGTAACCCCTGAGTATGGCTGGGTGTGACCCAAAAAGCAAAATATATATATATATATATATATATATATATTATTGTAGGATAACACTGTTCTGTCCTTCCTGCATAACATCAGGAATAGTTGATAGTTGATTGGACTGAGGAAAAGAGAAAATCACCTTATGAGGTATTTTGCCCTTGGGCAGTCAGGAAGGGCTTTCTTATGTTGATTTGGTTACCTGACAGGGTGGAGTGTCAGCCCAAACTAGAAGGGAGCTGGAGAATGAGAGAGCAGGGCAAAAAGATGGACCACGGAGAGACTAGCAAGGAGAACTTGTGCTTGAGAGATCCTAGGCCCTCCATAACATAAATTTCTTCTATGGGATAAACTTCCTTGCAATAAACTGCTACAAAGATCAACCGGCCTGGCCCTCATCTCTTCCTTCGTGTGCCCTTGGCCAACAGCAGTCCCAATCCAGGCCACACACAGCAGTTCTAGGGCACCAAATGCGGGCGGTGAGATATAGCCGTCCAGAGAGCCCGCAAACACACAACCTTCTGCGTGCATAGTTTTTTACATTTTATGATGAGTCATTTCTATTTTTTTTGGGGGGGGCATGGAGGTGGAGTTCACAATTGCTTTTCAGGAGGCCTGAGGCCATATTATTGATGATCAGCTCACCAGTGGTTTAATACAAGATCTCTAGGATGCAGTGCTTCTCAGGCCCTACAGTGATGGGGATTACTTGGGTTACCACAGCAGTTCTTGGAGACCTCCAAGACCATACCCAGAGGTGCTTGGACTGCCCTAGTGATTCCAGGGAACCATAGCGACCTGATATCAAACTCTAGTCACCTCTCTATAATCAGTAATAGCTTCAGAGTAATAATTTGTTTTGTAGATTTCCTAATGATGTCATATATTTTCATTAAGTAAAAAAATTTTGACTGTTCTTATACATTTTTGTGTTGTAATCTAATAATAGTTGAAATTGTGATTTTATTTCTTATAAACACATTAATAGAAATTATTTTTTGTGCCGCTAACAGTTGTCTTTACTTTGAAAAGTTATAAGGCAAGAAACTTGGCATTTTCTGTGCATTAAACTTGTGGTTCAGGAACTAAGGACATGAGTTAAAGGGCTTGAGCTTATAATTTTTATTTTCATTTATTGTTAGAGCGGGCCCAGTAACGTCTCCATTGGAGACTTTGTTGTTACTGTGTCTGGCATATCAAATACTCTCGGTAGCTTGCCGGGCTCTCCGAGAGGGGCGGAGGAATCGAACTCGGGTCGGCCATGTTGGCCGCTTGTAAGGCGAACGCCCTACCCGCTGTGCTATCGCTCCAGCCCCAACAATTGCTTCAACTAGTGGGAGCACCAGTTCAATCCTAGGGCTGAAGATCTCCCATTCATGGGAGTACCCTTGAGCACCATGCTGGGAGTAGCCCCTAGTGGGTGTCAGGTGTGCCCTCACCCTGCACCTCCCAAAAATAAAGGCATAGTTTTGATTAAATTGCTACTAAGTTCATTGGTTTTAGTTATTTTCTTTACATGTAAATTAGTAAATTATTTATATGTTCAGAACTTCTACTTACTCAGTCTTTGCTTATTTATGCTATTTGATCTTAGGGGAGAGTGTGGAGGAGAACGCAAATGTGGTAGTGAGACTGCTCATCAGGAGGCCGGAATGCTTTGGCCCTGCGCTGAGAGGAGAAGGTGGGAATGGTCTTCTTGCAGCCATGGAAGAGGCCATAAAAATAGCTGAGGATCCCTCTCGAGATGGTCCGTCACCAACTAGCGGATCCAGTAAAACACTGTAGGTCTAATCTACACACTCTTTAATGTCAATTATATTAATTAACTTGATGTTTGTCAGTGCACAATTTTCTTTTTATTCATTGTAATATAACCCTTTCCTCGCAATATAATCATGTGCGTGATTCCTCCCCTTAAAAATCACATGTGTTAGACTTGGAAGAATAAAGGCTTTGGAAATGGTGATGGAATAAGGCTAAATGAATTCAGCAGGAACTGTAGTAGGGACCATAGTATAGTGGGTAGGGTGTGTGCCTTCTTGCCTTTCATGCTGCTGATCCAGGTTCACTCTCCACATGCCGAGCACTGCCAGGACTAATCACTGAGTATCTCTCCTACACCAAAAACCAGAGTGTGGCCCCAATACCAAAAACTGTACAAACAAAAAGGAACTGCAGGGATCCGTATGGATTTGGTAGAGATATGTTGGGTTTTAGGAGATTTATTGTGTGTCATTTTCAGGAGGGCTATGATAAAATGAGAGACACAGATGGTCATAGGTGGGTCTTTGACATTGGATTTCAGAGGAAAGGTAGGTAGTTTTCATAATAATAGTTAGAGATAGATCTTTATCAGGAAATTACTGGGGAGGGTGATTAAACTATGGTAGTAAAGTTCAGAAAAGGGGTTTGATTGACTGGTTAAGCTAGTTGTAACTGAGAGGACACATGATAACTCCCTCATATTGTACCATAGAATACAAGGTTTAGTGGCTGATCCCAGCAAGTGGCATAAATTAATCCAGCCATCTGTATTTTTCCTCCTCTTTCTTTTTTTTAAAGAAGTCAGAGTTCTGTTGGACTGTCATCCTTCTTTACTGCCACTAGTAAAGATAAGAAATAGGCCTTATTTTGGAAAGTTTTTCAAAAAATTTCCTAAATTCTAATTCTTTAGCATTTAGACATGGCGTAAGTGTTCTTTTTTTGTTTTGTTTATTTGTTTTGGGACAACACTCCTAATACTCAGGGTATGGTCCTGGCTCTGCACTCCTGGCAGGGCTCAGATGACCAAATGAGGTGCTGAGGATCTAATCTGGGTCATCTGCTTGTAAGGTGGCAAGCACCCTACCCTCTGTGCTGTTGTTCCACCCCTGCATAAAAGTTCTTTTAGCACCCATGGCAGGCTTCTAGTTTGGAAGTACCCCCCAAAATGTTATATGTTAATCAGTTAACCTTATTGATCTTTTACTTTCATTTAATAGTGAAGTATCAAGAAATCCCTAGTCTAGAATATAGTGTGTGTGTGGGGGGGGGGGGGGCTGGGGGTGTTGTAAGAGATAGTACAGTGTCTGCAGACCTTGATTTTGTTCCCAGAAACCCACATGGTTCCCAAACACCACCAGAAGTAATCTCTAAGCATAGAGCCAGGAGCATGCTCTAAGCACTACCAAGTGTGGATTATAAACTAAACAAAACAAAAGAACCACACATGTAGGTATATAGGGACATAAGAAACAGCCTTGTATGCCAGGAATAAGGTTAGCAAGCTGGGCCGACTGTTTGGTTATTTGCCGAGCACCAAACCAAAGGAGGAATGACATAATCTTTCAGATTCTGAAGACTTTTCTCTCAGTAGGGAAGTAATGAAACATTTTATTTTTTCATAGAATAAAAAAGAAGACATATTAGACTATCGATAATTTAGGTAGAGTGGAATAAAAAGATAGTTGTGGGGCTGGAGTCATAGTTCAGCCAGTAAGGCATTTGCCTTGCCCGCGGCCCACCTGGGTTCGATTCCCAGCATTCCATATGGTCCCTGCGCACCGCCAGGAGTAATTACTGAGTGCAGGGCCAGGAGTAACCCCTGAGAATCACCAGTTGTGACCCCCCAAAAAAGATAGTTGAATAAAAAAGGTGAATCGGTAAATGTAATCACATTCATAGTTATAAACTTTTGTCTCAGTATGGCAAAACACCATGCTGAGTTTAAAAGGATGGATCTTTATTACCCCCGTTTTACATATTTGCATTTTACAAAAGTTGCCTAAATTTACCAACTTCCTTTATCAACTCTGTTCTTTTGTAACGAGTGTATTGTTTGCTCCTAGAAATGACAGAACTCGTCAAATCAGTAATTGTTTAATTCTTTTGTAAAATATTACTATTAAATTTTATCAGTGGCTAGGAATGTGGTTCAAGTGGTTGAAGTTAGCCTCACATAACTGAGGTCCTGGATTCGATCTCAGAACCTGTATGGAGCCTGAATTCAAGCTTTGGCCCTGCTGGTCCCTGAGCTCCAATGGCAGGAGCATAATTGGGTATCATCTTGGAACAACAACCAAAGATTTTAAGGTGAAATCAATAAAGTTCCAAGAAATATATACTTGGTGACAAAAATCTCAAACCTGGTCTTTATTATATTGTTCAAACATGTCAAGTTGTAAGTTAAAGACCTAAGTGTAAAGTATAAGAAAAGGTTGCATAGGTTATCCTAGGTGGTTTCTTTCCTTTGATGTAAGAAGTCTTTATTATTTTGTTGCTTTATTGTGCTCTTTGCTTTGTTTTCTCTTATAACAAAAACCATGAAAGTGATACAGAAGAAGAGGAAGATGATACTATCCACATGGGGAATGCCATCATGACCTTTTATGCAGCTTTGATTGACCTTTTAGGTCGTTGTGCTCCTGAAATGCATGTAAGTTCTTTGCCCCAACCCCCTGCAAACAAACAAACTAACAAACAAGCAAAGAAAAACACCCCAAAGATATAGGATCCAGGTGTAGTTATTTATATTATCTATGCTAAGATATTTGTAGCTGGCAAGGATTATAATAGCACTGTCTTACCATTGTTTACCGATTTGCTCAAGCAGGCACCAGTAACATCTCCATTGTAAAACTTGTTGTTACTGTGTTTGGCATATCAAATACACCACGGTTAGCTTGCCAGGCTTTGCTGTGCAGGTGAGATACTCTCAGTAGCTTGCCGAGCTCTCCAGAGAAGGGCGGAAGAATCAAACCGGGGTCGGCTCGGGTCAGCTGTTGTGTAAGACAAGTGCCCTACTGCCGTAGGATTATAATATCAAAAATAATTCATCTCTCTTCTCTGTTAAACATGATAGCTGTAGCTTACTTTCTGAACAATTGTTTACTTAGTTGAAAATATTTTTGTGACTATAAACATTCTTAACGGGATTTCAGTATGTCATCTGAAAAATAGATTCATAGAGTGCCCCACGCTTGAAGGAGAAAGGAACATGTTTTCTGTATAAAGGATCTTCTCATATTTCAGTGTATGCAGGAAGCTACCACTGCTATCAAGAGTAATTTTATGACATTTAGTGTTGTGATAAGCTGCTACATTCTTGACACCAACTTAACGGAAAATGGGATGGGGACATTTTAGGCGAAGGAAAGAGCTAATCACATCTTATTAATTACTGGTTTTTAAAACTTTTTGACCAAGACAAAATTAAAATTTCATGGACCAATAATTTTATTTTGATGTCTTTTATACTTAGTTTTATTCTGTTATATTTACTTTAAAAATGCTTGTCAGGTCCCATGTAATGTGCCTCTTGACCTGCTCATGGGAAACAGTACATAGTTTGAAAGAGCGAACAGTGCTGGAGATGGGTCAGGTACATTTCAGAAGAGTCTGGTTGAAAAACTCGGTCACTGCTAACGGATCCCTCTCTTTCTCCCTGTCTTGATATCGTGGCCTTTGTTGCTTGGGTTTATTATCTTTGTCTCACTTCTGCAGGTTAGAACTTTCTACTTCATGATATAGATTGGGGGGAAGAGAGATACAGACAGATGACTCAAGTGCACTTTTGATATGTGGAGGCCTCAGGTTCGATTCTCTACATTCATGGTAGCCTCTCCCACCCAAACACATACACACACACACACACACACACACACACACACACACACACACACATTATGGGCACTGGGTTTCCCAGTATAGTTTGGACCCACCCCCTCCAAGTTCAACTTTTTGATACAGTTGTTTAATGTTAATAGAAAAGACTTCAAGAATAGAGAGACTTTTGGATATTTGGAAACCAGATCTAATTTTTAACCATCTGTCAGTGCTGAGGTTTTTATCAGAGACAGTGGAACTAGACCATCACAAACCTGTATGCTAAAGGTGACTAGATGGAAGAAATGCTTCCAATATTCGTTATTTTTTTCTGTTTAAAAAATTAAAGGTTAATTTATAATGGTAAATGTTTATTTTGTCCCATTATATCAAGGGAAGAAAGAAAAAAACTAAGAGATTAACCTTCCCATTCTGACTCCTCCTTTTTTTTTTTTTTTTTTGCCTTTCACAACAATAGTTGAGGATCAGCCATCATGCTTGTATTTAACATCCTACAGGAAAAGATAGTCACCAAGCCTGGCTGGAAACCTTCAGTCTGTTGCAGAGACTGGCCAAGATTCTTGCTTCTCTCTGATCTGCTGTATTCTACTTTATTAACCAGTGACTATTGGTTAAACATTCCTTGCCATTTTCCCCCTGCATTGTGATTACTTGTTATGTAGAATGCAGATGGATGTATAATTACATTTTCTTCACAAAGCAAAAAAGCTAAATCAGTTATAACTATTTGTGTAAGTGCAGGGAATAAAAAATTTTTGTTTCTAATTTTTCCTCATGTTCTAGTTATATATGAATACATATCTACTTCTATAGAATAAGTATAGATGAATATATGACCAGATTCTCAATATATTTTAGTACCCTAGAGATGAAAAAAGAGGGCCAGAACGATAGCACAGTGGGTAGGGTGTTTGCCTTGCACGAGGTCCACACGGGGTGGATTCCTCCGACCCTCTCGGAGAGCCCAGGAAGCTACTGAGAGTATTCTGCCCACACGGCAGAGTCTGGCAAGCTCCCCATGGCATATTCAATATGCCAATAAGAAGAACAAATCTCACAATGGAGACGTCACTAGTGCCCACTCGAGCAAATCAACGAACAATGGGAGAATACTGCTACAGTGCTACAGACAGAGATGAAAACAAAACTATTATTCTAATGAATTAAGTGATTGATATAGACTACAGTCAGTGATTTGCTGTATTCTGGAGTCAGTGAAAACTGTGTGAGCAAATAAGTACCTCCCTATAAGCCTGAAATAATTTATAAAAGATGTATGTTTTTGTTTGCCTGGTTACGGCTATTCCCAACAGTGCTCTGAGGATTATGTAGCACTGGGGATTAAGCCTGGGGCTCCCACAGACAAAAAATGCTCTCTTGCTCTTTGAAGCATCTCCCCAGCTCTGTGCGAGAAGTTTAACTCTGTTTGCTAAACAGAAAACTGTTATACACCCAGACTCTCAAACTTCAAACTTTCCCAATATGTGTATAATATTAATTCAAAGATTATTCTGATGTTGTTTGTTTTTCCTTCTGTAGTTGATTCATGCTGGGAAAGGAGAGGCCATCAGAATTAGGTCTATTCTGAGATCCTTAATTCCATTGGCAGATTTGGTGGGAGTGATCAGCATCGCTTTTCAGATGCCAACAATAGCCAAAGGTAAAACTAATGACCATTCTTGGGAGTTGAGGAGGATACTGGATGACCTAATGTTTTTAGTAATACCAGTGGAATCAGCATTTCTTTGCTTGCTGCTTGTTATACAACTTATATACCTGTGGAAAAAAGAACCATAAAGTGCATTATTTCATAAATAATTTTCTAGGCTCTTGTTTGTAAACAACTATGCTGCCAGTGAAAATCTATTTTTAATTTTTTGAGAACATTAGAAAGCTGTTTGTGGTTGGATTTCAATCGTACAGTATTCCAACACCCATCCCTTCACCAGTGTACATTTCCCAGCACCAGTGTCCCCAGATTCCCTCCCATCTGTCTTCTAATTCTTTGATTTATCTTTTGGACAGTTTTTATTGTCAATCTCCTAAGATGCTCTTTCCCTTAATTATTGCAACTTATGACTATGTGATTTAAAAAAAAATGTTTAATGTAATGCTAGAGCGATAGTACTGTAAGTTCGGTATTTGCCTTCCTGGCTTTGATATCCCCGGCATTCTATATGGTCCATTCAGCCAGCCAGGTGTGACTAAAAAGCTAAAAGATAAAGAAAAATCCCAATTCATTGAAAGAAGTGTTCTTTTAAAGATTTAAACAAAACAAAAACACAACAAATGCCTTTTTCAAATTTGAGACAAAGCTTATATCCTTTTGTAAAATGTTGTATTTGTTTAGAGGCTCTATATGGTTGGATTACAAATATAAAACTTATAAAAGTAACCTATTCTATATAAATATCTTGTCATCGTGTTCCAGGAGAGATTTGGTAACAGTGGTTGAGTGCAGATCGCTTTCTATGGCGGGGTCAGGGCTGAGTTCCTGACCATGGTGATGGAAACAGTCTCACATGCCAACAGACATGGCAACTGACTTAGACTCACAACCTGGATTCACTCTTTGCCTACATGAACAAATATTAAAGCTGTCCTTGATACCTGAAACATTTGTTTCACAATTATACATTATTTTTCTTTTTTCCCCCAATTTTGGCATGAGTATTCTATTCTAGACATGGATGATCACTTGTAAAATGGTGAGATCCTGGTAGTGAATCCGTAATACAGCTCATGGAGGATCCTGATGTATTGAGTTTGAATGCCCTGATCATCCATGTCAAGAGAGGGGTTTGGCAGGGTGATACCATTTCACTAAAACTCTTCAGTGTGACCCTCTAGAACGTCATGCAACGACTGGAATGGGAAGGAATGGGAGTGAAGATAGACGGTCAGCAACTACGCCACCTCCGCTTCACTGATGACATCATTCTAATAACACCAAACATTAGCCAAGTGGGACAAATGCTGGCTGACTTCGACCATGAATGTGGAAAGGTTGGACTGCAGCTGAATATCACGAAGACAATGTTTATGAGAAACTGTCTCGTTTCTCATGTTCCATTTGTTCTCAATGGAACGAACATCTCCAAATGCAACAGTTATGTGTACCTAGGTCGAGAAGTCAACATGACAAATAACCTTGCAACTGAGTTGTGCAGAAGAAAGAGAGCGGCTTGGAACGCCTTCAAGAGTTGAAGAAATAGTAAGAGGACAAGGAATCTCTGGCTCTGGGCACATCTCTTCGATTCCACTGTTCTTCCTGCATTAACATATGCCTCAGAGACCTGGGCCCTATGAAAACAGGGTGAGAATGCTATTTGGGTCTCCTAAAGAGGAATTGAAAGAGCTATGCCTAGAGTATCATGCTTCACTTAAGTGAGAGAAGGAATCTGGAGTTCCGATTGCCACTCAGTGCCTCTTTTGCAAACCACAACATCCAAAAGGAGAGAAAGAGCAAAAGGGAATGCCCTGCCACAGAGACAGGGTGGGATGGGCGGAATGGTGGCTTGGAGGGATACTGGGATCCATGGTGGTGGGAAATGGGCACTGGTGGAGGAATGGGTATTTGATCATTGTATAATTGAAACCAAGCACAAAAATTTGTAAGTCTACAACTGTAACTCATGGTGTCTCACTAATAAAAATTAAAAAATTAAAAAATTAAAAAAAAAAGAATCCAGAGTTCCGACCTCTGTCGATGATCAAGAATTAGAGATGCTGTCTAGTTTGCCAAGGCACTGAAAATCAGATGGACTGGACACATAATGAGATTTGGAGACAACCGCTGGGCTAGAGCCATTACCGACTGGATTCCATAGGACGTCAAAAGATGGCGCGGCCACCCACCTACGAGATGGTCAAACTTCTTTGTTAAGACTGAACTATTGGTTTGAGGGTGTTCATGTTCCTAGAGTGAGCAGACGCCATTGAGCTACTAGCTCACGACAGGGATGGACGAAGATGTTACTGGCACCCACTCGAGCAAATCGACGAGTAACAGGATGTCAAGTGATCAAGTGATCAAGTGATTCTATTCTATACGGTAGTAACTGGAGCACCTATTCTCAGAAATTACTGCCTCAGACAGTCCAAATAAGCCTACCAGAAGTCACAGAAACACCAGAAATCTGAGAGGGGCAGTTCATCAACTTTCTTATCTCTCTTGTTTCATATCAACTTTGTTTGAGGAGATAGGGAAATTAAAACAGCCATGTTTTAAAACATCAACTCAATGAGTCCTATGTCCCACAGAATGTAGTCTTAGCATTCCTTAAAATATGTGAATGAATGTTTTAAAAGCAAAACTTTAGAACAATGAATTGCTCCACAGTTCTATAATTTTCTCATGATCAAACAGGAAGCAAACCATTTCTTCCAGACTTTAAATTGGTACATATTCCCATGGTAGCTCATATTAATAGTATTTAACCTATCTATAGAGTTTTAAATGCAGATTCACTAATTTATGTAAATAAAGAATTAAATTTTGATAGAAAAAATGATGACTCTTAAGTGTATTCTATTTTTACTTATTTGGGGGATTAAACTACTCAAAGTATTCTTGGCACTGTGCTTTCGAATCACACCTGGTATTCAGGGAAGAATATGGTACCAGGGATCGAAACAGGGTTAACCACATTCAAGGCAAGTAACTTTAACCACAAGTGATTTTTAATGTTTAGTGCTACTGTGAAAAATATGTTTCACTTAAAAGTCAAAGTGGTTTTACAGAGCTATTTCATCATATTGTAATTGTCTAAGCTGTAAGTATGTAAATGGTCTATATCACTAAGGAGAGATGAGCTTTAGTGATGTATAAAATAAGTTCTCATTGGTGAACATGTGAAAGTCTACTTTACATTTTATCTATTCAAGGGAGTTACATCTATTTTCACAATATAGAGAATTGGATGCCTTTTATGTTTTCTTCTTGGTATCAAGCATAATTCTTTGCTCCAATGTGTATAATTAACAAATGGATTTTCAAATGTTATTTAAATTACGTTGTATTTAAGTTGCACTATTTTCTTAGCTGATTCCAAGCACATCAGTATGGGTGGTAGAAACACAGAAAACCATTCAACAGATAAACGTGAAAAATGAAAAGGTTAGAAAGATCTATTTGCTATCTCTTACACACATTAACAACATGTCACTTTCTTTCTTTTAGATGGCAATGTGGTGGAGCCTGACATGTCTGCAGGGTTTTGCCCAGATCACAAGGCAGCCATGGTTTTGTTCCTTGACAGGGTCTATGGAATTGAAGTTCAAGATTTCCTCCTCCATCTCCTTGAAGTTGGCTTTCTGCCAGATCTCCGTGCTGCTGCTTCTCTTGATACAGTAATAATTTTTAACAATATATTTCCTCTTCTTTTGACTCTTCAGTCTCTGACATGATATTATTTCAGAGTTTTATTTATTCATACATTTATTTATTCTCCATAAATTTTTGTTTACTACCTGTTATATTGTAGGCAGGCAATAACAAATAGAAAATAAAATAAACTTAAAAATAAATTTAAAAAACTCTTACCTCACTGATTAGTGAAAAAATCTGATAAACTTAATAAGGTAAGACATTTGATCAGATTTAATGGAAGACAAGAAGTTCTAAAATCCTACTTTTAGAAATGCTGTTGGTTACTCTGAATACTAGTTCACCTCTGAATTGCCCAAAATGATGATACTTCCCAAAGAAAACATTTAAAATATTAAAAAGGCTTAATGGATGTTATTGAGTTGTGCCAATTATACTATTATCCTGGTATATTCCTTAGTTACATATAAGTAGGGAAAATATGTCCTGTGGATGTCATATAAATAAAATTAGCTACTTGCATCCATTGTATTCTGTTCTTTGAAGCTTTGTAGAGTAACCTGAAGATCTAAATTTTATTGCAATTTTGACAGCATCTCTTTGTAAATCATCAATTAAGTTATATCCTTTTGATTTCAAGAGAAAGCAAATTCTTGACTTCAAACTTTTCAATAAAATGATAAAATATAATCATAAAGGTGATATTAATATCTATTTTTTCTTATCTGAGTCCATTCACATGAAACTGAACTAAATAATGTCATAGTAATAGTCGACTTTTATTTAATTAAATTGTTTAATTAAATTGTTTAATTGTTTAATTTTGTTTAATGTTGAAGGATATGAGGAGGAATGTAAATTGAATTCAGAATATATGAAAAATAAGATAAATCTTATGCGATAGCACAGTAGTTAGGGCATTTGCCTTGCACATGGCTGACCCGGCCAACTTGGGTTCGATTCTTCCACCCCTCTTGGAGAGCCCAGTAAGCTACCAAGTATATCTCACCCGCATGGCAAGGCCTGGCAAGCTACCTGTGGTGTACTCAATATGCCAAACACAGTAACAACAAGTCTCACAATGGAGATGTTACTGGACCTGCTCGAGCAAATCGATGAACAATGGGAGGACAGTGCTACAAGACAGTGCTACAGTGCACTCAGAAAAACCTGGTTTTGTCATCATACCCAATTAAATTACTCAATATCATTTAATATCATTGTGTATTTTCAACTTGCATTCATACTACCACTGATATTTTATTTTAGAATATGAACCGCTGGGTATTTTTATGAGACAGATATCAATTCAGGCATATGTGGCTGTTTGTGAGTAGTTAAGTTAATTTTTTTAGTGATCATTATGTAAATCACATTTCAGGACATATTGAGGAATATATTTCCATTTTTCAGGTTTCATTTTCTAGTTAGTAAAGTTATAAATTAACATATTTTTCCCACTGGAAGTTGTCTACTGCCAAACACAAGTGACTTTCTTAATCTCCTATTCCATTTTAGGCTGCTTTGAGTGCTACAGATATGGCTTTGGCTCTCAATAGATACCTCTGTACAGCCGTGCTGCCTTTGTTAACAAGATGTGCTCCTCTTTTTGCTGGCACAGAGCACCATGCTTCCCTCATTGATTCATTGCTTCATACTGTCTATAGACTTTCTAAGGGCTGCTCACTTACCAAAGCTCAACGAGATTCCATAGAAGTTTGCTTACTCTCTATCTGTGGGTAAGTATGCAACAAGTTCTATACCATCTTTGTTTTTTAAAAATGATAATTTGCTTTGGAAACCCTTGACAATTTGTTAAAATCATTTTGGTAGTCTTTACACACACACACACACACACACAATCAATTCACTCTAGGTAGTCTGAGTTTGGATTAGAGCATCCTTGTCAATGAGAAGAGTGTTTCCTAGGGTAGGTACTGGTTTACAGTGTTGAATCAATTATGCTTTTTTGGATATTGGTAAGTGAGGTGGTTGTAGAGCAAGTCCCTGACTATTCCAGTGAAATATTAGTAGATTTCTCTTTGTTTGATAGTGTGTGATCATTTTAACTCATCTTTCAAAGAAGAAAAAACCTTAGTATAAACTATGGTATTATAAACTATGATATTATATTCTTTGTGTCAACAGTGGTTGACTTTTTCCTCCAATCTGCAAAAACACTTTCTTTATATAAAATCTTTCACTCATAGTGGAGTATATAGAACTGAGGAAATTGAGATACTAGGAAATTTATCTTGTTCTGTGGGTCTTCAGTCGTGCGTGAGTCTCGGCCGGAGCTGCCACACGGGTCCGGAAAGCATCCTGGAGTGTGGTGGCAGCTGTGGTTGGTGGAAGCAAGCAGAGGATCTCTGTCCCTTGGTCCACCGAGTCTGGAGTTCAAGGTCTCAGAGAGTTCCGCTTATCTTGTTCTGTGGGTCTTCAGTCGTGCGTGAGTCTCGGCCGGAGCTGCCACGCGGGTCAGGAAAGTGTCCTGGAGTGTGGTGGCGGCTGGGTAGTGGTAGTGTCGGTAGTGTCTGCCAGTGGGGTATTTATCTGGTCCCAGTAGGGGTAGGGTGGGTCTTCTGTGCGCAATCCGGTCCCTGGGTGGTTGGTGGAAGCAAACAGGGCAGGGTAGGGTGGGGCTCCTGATTAGAATCCCTTTGTCACCTGTGGTTGGTGGAAGCAAGAGACCTTGGACTCCAGGCTCAGCGAACCAAGGGACAGAGATCCTCTGCTTGCTTCCACCAACCACAGCCGCCACCACACTCCAGGATGCTTTCTGGACCCGCGTGGCAGCTTCAGCCAAGACTCACGCACGACTGAAGACCCGCAGAACAAAATAAGCGGAACTCTCTGAGACCTTGGACTCCAGGCTCGGTGGACCAAGGGACAGAGATCCTCTGCTTGCGTCCACCAACCACAGGTGACAAAGGGATTCTAATCAGGAGCCCCACCCTACCCTGCCCTGTCTGCTTCCACCAACCACCCAGGGATCGGATTGCACACAGAAGACCACCCTACCCCTACTGGGACCAGGTAAATACCCCACTGGCAGACACTACCGACACTACCTCCACTACCCAGCCACCACCACACTCTAGGATGCTTTCCGAACCCGCGCGGCCGCAAAGCGGCCGCCTGACACATCATAAAGCACTAAATACCCATTTTTCCGGAATTGTCGTACCATATTTGATAGGGTTCAAATATGGTAACACCTACGAGGGCGATTAGAGGTCGCCCCAAAAGCCTCCATTCCTCTCGGAAAGACTGGCAAGCTACCAAGAGTATTCCACCCGCACAGAAGAGCCTGGAAAGCTATCCATTGTGTATTCGATATGCCAAAACCAGTAACTACAACTGGTCTCATTCACCTGACCCTGAAGGCTTCACCAACATGGCAGCACTGAGAAGGATGAGAAAGGAGAGGCCGATAAAATCTCAAGGCCGAACTAGGCTGCCACAACGAAGGAAGACAAAAATGATCGTCTGTACTTTCAATGCACATACTCTAGCATCAGATGCATCCATCGAGGACCTGATGGTACAAGCGCGAATGATCAAGTACGACATCATTGGTCTGACCAAGATAAGAAGGCACGAATCTCACCATGCCGTTTTCGACACTGGAGAAGAATTGTTCCTCGGAACATGCAATAAAAGAGGTGACGGAGGTGTCGGTGTCCTTGTCAGCACAAACTTGGCCATGAGCATTGATTCATTCGAATGCCTAACAACCCGAATCGGACGTTTACATTTGAATAGATGTGGCTCACTGCCGGCAGTTTCTATCTTCATTGTCTATACACCAACATCTCATTATGATGAAAGAGAAATCGAAAAGTTCTACATGGAGCTGGAGAAGTTCTATAAAGAAGACCACACCTTCTACAAGATCATTGTGGGTGATTTTAATGCCAAGATAGGACCGAGAAGATCAGCTGAAGAACTTCACATCGGGACCCATGGCCTAGAATGGAACGAACAGGGTGAGAGACTGTCTGAGTTCATCATGTCGACCAAGACCATCCATGGTAACTCACAGTTCCAGAAGGCAGTATCTAAACGTTGGACATGGGAGTCTCCCGGTGGATGATCCCACAACGAAATAGACCACATAATATTCAGTCGACGGTTTTGCCTGACCGATGTCGCTGTTGTTCCAAAATTCCGAACGGGATTGGACCACCATCTCCTTCGTGCAAAATTCTACTTCACACAGTGGGGAGAAAGGGCTGCAAAGTTTAAAAAGAGAACTCCCAGAACGATCACCAACTGGGAGCTCTTTGGCACTATTGCGGCAACATGGGAAGATGCCATTGTTGACAACATTGATGAGGAATACGATCGACTGGTACAGCCCCTCCATGAATGTGCGAGGAATGCCGAGAGAGATAGCCACCAAAAAATGCCTGTCTTCGAAAACTCTTGAGCTTTTTCGCCAGCGTGGTTTGGCGCATGCCTCAGGCAACCACAAGCTAACGTCCAAGCTCGCAAAGCAGTGCAGATATGCAATCAAGGAAGACCTTAAAGAGAGAAGAGCAGAAGTGCTGGTAGATGCGGCAGAAGCCGGGAAAAGTATTCGTAACGCCCACCTGTCCTTCGCCAACTACAAGACCAAGATGACTGCCCTCCGACGTCCTGATGGATCCATCACATCCTCCAGAACGGCAATGGAGAAGATTATCCATGACTTCTACTCAAATCTCTTTGATAGCCATGTCCACTTGCCGACATACCAAATTCCACAGGATGGATATGTCGTTCCCAACGTTCTCCCTTCCAAAATACGACACGCCATTTCGTCAGTAAAGAAACAAACAGCACCCGGCCCAGACAAGGTCAGACCTGAACACCTGAAGAACCTGCCGTCAGTACTCATCAATACACTGGCTCGGCTCTTCACTCACTACCTGTCTGAATGCAAGGTTCCGTCCCAATTGAAAACCAGCAGGACCGTACTACTGTTCAAGAAGGGAGACATCCATGACATTGGTAACTATCGCCCGATCTGCCTATTGTCTGTCATCTACAAGTTGTTCACTCGAGTCATCCTAAATAGGATTGGCAGAACACTAGTTGAAGGACAACCATGCGAGCAAGCCGGGTTCCGCAAAGGATTCAGCACCATCCACCATATGCACACGATAACCAAGCTCATTGAGGTTTCTCGGGAGTTCAAGATGCCGCTCTGTTTAACATTCATTGATTTAAAGAAGGCCTTGGATTCTGTTGAGACGGAAGTGGTCATTGAAGCCCTAGCCAATCAGGGCATTCAAGCCCAATACATCAAGATCCTCCATGAGCTGTATTACAGATTCACTACCAGGATCTCACCATTCTACAAAGAAGTAATCATTGATGTCAAGAGAGGGGTTCGGCAGGGTGATACCATTTCACCGAAACTCTTCAGTGCCACCCTCGAGAACATCATGCGACGACTGGAATGGGAAGGAATGGGAGTGAAGATAGATGGTCAGCAACTACACCACCTCCACTTTGCTGATGACATTGTTTTAATAACACCAAACATCAGCCAAGCGGCACGAATGCTGGCTGACTTTGACCGTGAGTGTGGAAAGGTAGGACTACAGCTGAATCTTACGAAGACAATGTTTATGAGAAGCAGCCTCGTTCCTGATGCCCCATTCACTCTCAACGGAACGACCATCTCCGAATGCAACAGCTATGTGTACCTAGGTCGAGAAGTCAACATGACAAATGACCTGGCACCCGAGCTGCGCAGGAGGAAGAGAGCGGCTTGGAACGCCTTCAAGAACGTCGAAGAAATAGCTAAGAGGACGAAGAACCTCCGGCTGCGGGCACATCTCTTTGATTCCACTGTTCTTCCTGCATTAACATATGCCTCAGAGACCTGAGCCCTACGTAAACAGGATGAGAACGCTATTCGGGTCTCCCAAAGAGGAATTGAAAGAGCTATGCTTGGAATATCACGTTTCACTCAAATGAGAGAAAGAATCCTGAGTTCTGACATCTGTTGACGATCAAGAATCAGGGACGCTGTCTCGTTTGCCAAGGTGTGAAAAATCAGATGGGCTGGTCACATAATGAGATTTAAAGACGACCGCTGGACTAGAGCTGTTATGGACTGGATTCCACGGGAAGTCAAAAGACCGCGTGGTCGCCCACCTACCAGATGGTCAGACTTCTTCATCAAGATCATGAATGATCGGTTTGAGTCTCTTCATGTTCCCAGAGCGAACAGATGCCATTGGGCTACACTAGCACGCGACAGGGACAAATGGAGACGTTACTGGCGCCCGCTCGAGCAAATCGACGACTAATGGGAAGTTAAGTGATTAAGTGATTAAGGAAATTTATAAATTTGATGGCACACAACTTTCTATAAAATGTAAATAAAATAGCTATCTCACAGATTTTTTTTTTCTAGTGTTGATTGTGATGAAGCACTTAAAAAGACCACACACTGTAAATCTTACTCCATGGTGTTTGGTGTTAGTCCCTCCTTTCCTTGTTTGGCAAAATTTCAGTTTCAGCCTCTTTTATCTTGTGTGCTTCTATACTTCCTTTATTTCTGCTTTGAATCTAGTCACTGAAGTGGAGTAACTTCTTTCCTCAATGGAGTATCTTAGGAAATTGAGTTGCCAGCTCTGAGTGATTAGGAAGAGAAGCAAGAGCAGAGAAACAGCTGTTACAGCAAATAATGAATTATCTTTGGGCCTGGAGGGAAGAGATACTGTAGGAAAGTTAACATTTTATAAAATAACATTTTATAGAATTGTGTCACTATTGGGAAGTCTTTCAATAAAGAACACCAAATTTACAAATTCTGAAGAAGTGGACAGGTGCAGGTTTTGGGTGCATGTAATTTAATTAAATTCCCTCCTAAATTTAGACACATTTCCCTTCATTATTAAATATTAGCTTTATTTCACCAGCCAATTGAGACCTTCCATGATGCAACACTTACTCAGAAGATTAGTATTTGATGTCCCATTATTAAACGAACATGCAAAGATGCCTCTTAAGGTGAGTAAAGTTATTTGATGACTGTATCCCAATGAGATAATTTACTATTATGATATGTGTATTGTGTTTATATATATTATATATAGTTCCATGTTTACATGCATAAATAGTTTGTTGCTTGGAAATTTGCAGTGTTTGAAATGGGCATATAGTTATAAATATGTGAAAATATATATAAAATAAGAAGTAATCCCAAATTGATTTTCTCTTGTCAATAGAAATGAAAATTAAGGGCAAAAATGGCCTCAAGGAGAAAAATGAGCTTAGATATTGTTAAGCTATAAAACATAGTAGTAGGACTGGCATAAAATATTAGAAACTTCAAGAAATAAATAACAGGCTTAAAAAATACACTTTCTAAGTGGGTAATAGTACCTTCAAATATAATTTTATTGGGTTCATAGACAACCTTTTCAAATATGCAGTAGCAGTTTTTCATAGACTATAAAAAGGAGTCACTGACATATTCTCTGCCTTATTTTTATGATGGATATTTTCTTGTCAAATTGTAATTTTTATACGGATTCAGAATTATGATTGGAGATCTATTATGTTCAGTAACATATTCTGTGCATGGAGGCACAATCGCAAAATGGATTTTGTAGACTTTGCATTACCATCTAGAAAGCATAATTTTTTTCCCCCACGGTCAGTAATAATATAGTAGAAAAGAATTGTGAAAAGTACTTTAGTCTAGTTCTGAATCAATGCACTAATTGCCCCTAGCTATTAACAGAAATATTTTTCATCTATAAAAATTAACGTCTGTTTAATGAATTGATATAAGTAAATGAAATATGTAAATTGTTTCCTTGTTAAATGGCCCAGTGTTATAGTATATTGTTGAACCAAATTATGCCTCAGTGTTTTATCATTTGGGGTTCCTAAAATGATTATATATGTGTGCATATGTGATTTTGTAATTAAAAGAGAGACCAAACTAGAAAAATTATTAGCTTGAGTAGTTAACCTTGATATTACTATTATTTTCCCCTTCCTTATTAGATATGTCAAAAACTTATAGTCTGTGTATAAATACCATCTTATTAATTTAACAAGTACTGATGAACATTTATTAGTTTATAGATCCAGCGTATCACTGTCCTCCCGTTGTTCATCAGTTTTCTCGAGCAGACCCAGTAACATCACCATTGTGAGACTTTGTTGTTACTGTGTTTGGCATGTCGAATACGTCATGGGTAGCTTGCCAGGCTATGCCGTGCGGGCGAGATACTCTTGGTAGCTTGCTGGGCTCTCTGAGAGGGGCAGAGGAATTGAACTTGGGTTGGCCATGCTGGCTTCGTGCAAGGCGAACACCCTACCCGCTGTGCTATCGCTCCAGCCTCTGTGCTATCACTCCAGCCCAGATCCAGCGTACGTTACCAAAAAAAAAAAAAAAAGTGCTGCCAAATAATTGAAAAATTCTTTTCTTGCCTTTACATTTCCATTTATTTATTTTTTCTTTTTGGGTCACACCCGGCAATGCACAGGGGTTACTCCTGGTTCTGCACTCAAGAATTACTCCTGGCGATGCTCAGGGGACCATATGGGATGCTGGGAATCGAACCTGGGTCAGCCGGGTAGAAGGCAAACACCCTACCCACTGTGCTATTGCTCCAGCCCCTGCATTTCCATTTAATCCTAAACAAATGAGGTATACATAGATAAAAACTCACAAAGCAATAAGGCAGGTAAAATTTCATCTTCGCCTTGGGACCACACTGAACAACATGTTCTCAGGCTTATTCTTGCCTCTGTGTTCAGGAATCACTCCTGGCAAGGTTTAGGGGACCATATGGTATTCCAGGGCTGAAATCAGGGTCTGCTGCACACAAGCCAAGCATCTTACCTTCTATTCTATCTCTCTAGTCACTATGTTTCAACTGTACAACCAAATAAAAATGGATGAATTAATTATTGACCTGAGATCGTTATGAAAATTATAGTTTCAGTGATATGTTTTCAATAATATTTAAGTTTATAGTTTTGGTGTATGAAGTTACTGTGTACCACCAACATCAAAATGATATACTGGGGCAGTTTTGAAGTTTACTCACAAACCTAAGTTGTGAGACAAATCCTGCAACATGATGATTAAGGATAGGCAAAGAAGAATGAAAAATATTCCAAGGTAGAGTTCCTTTAGAAGTCATTATTTTTAGCAATTTAACTACTGTATTCTAGAGGTACATATTGTTCTTCTGGGTCTTTTTTATTCTAGTTTTCTACCACTTTAATACATATGGAATATAGGATAAAACACTGATAAAATTGTGAGCAATTAATAGGACCCAAAGTAAAATTTAGGGATACATAGAAAATCAGAAAGCTCAGAAAGAATGCTGTTCATTATATTTTGCAGTGTAAGTATATAGAACCAGTTTTATTATGATTTGTAACTTATACCTTTGTTACATCTTAGAAAAATATTATGCAGTTCAATATTTTTTACAATCATTGTCTGTGAATTGTCAGTTATTCTTTATATCACACTAGAATACCACAGGGGAAGAAATGAATATATATATACATATTTATACAAAGTATATTTAGTTCATTCTTGTATAAATTGTTTTCCTCATAGCTGCTGACCAATCATTATGAAAGATGCTGGAAATATTACTGCTTACCTGGAGGATGGGGAAATTTTGGAGCAGCATCAGAAGAAGAACTTCACTTATCAAGAAAACTGTTCTGGGGAATTTTTGATGCCCTGTCTCAAAAGGTAATTTAACACTTAATAGGTTTATTATTGTGATAAAATAATGAAAAAGTCATGGGTGCTATTAAGATAGTGTTTCTTATAGGATGTTATCAAGACTTATATCATTTTACATTTTCTTTTTCAGCTTTTAAAATGGTCACTGAACATGATATTTTTTTTTTTAGATTTACAATTTTTTTTTATTAGTGAAACACCATGAGGTACAGTTGTAGATTTACAATTTTTTGTGCTTGGGTTTGATTATACAATGATCAGATACCCATCCCTCCACCAGTGCCCATTTTCCACCACCATGGATAATATCCCCCCCACCCCCATCCCCCTATCCCCCCTGCCTCTGTGGCAGGGCAATCCCCTGTGTTCTCTCTCTCCTTTTGGGTGTTGTGGTCTGCAAAAGAGGCATTGAGTGGCAAACATGTTCAGTCCATAGTCCACTTTCGACATGCATCTCCCCTCCCTCCTGGGAGGGACCTCCAAACACACTTTATTTGGTGTTCCCTTCTCTATCTGAGCTGCCCTTTCCTCTAGAATGCCCAACTGGCCACTAAGCTATGGAGTAATCCTCCTGGTGATGATCTCAGCTATTCTTGGGTATTAATCTCATATTTTGTTACTTTATATCCCCCAGATGAATGCAATCTTTCTATGTCTATCCCTCTCTTTCTGACTCATTTCGCTTAGCATGATACTTTCCATATTGTACCACTTGTATGTAAATTTCATGACTTCATCTTTTCTAAGAGCTACATAGTACTCCATTGTGTAGATGTACCAAAGTTTCTTTAACCAGTCATCTGTTCTTGGGCATTCAGGTTTCTTCCAGTTTCTGGCTATTGTAAAGAGTGCTGCAATGAACAAACAAGTGCAGATGTCCCTTCGACTATACATTTTTGCCTCTCTGGGATATATTCCCAGGAGTGGTATTGCTGGGTCAAATGGGAGCTCAATTTCTAATTTTTTGAGAATCGTCCATACTGTTTTCCAGAAGGGCTGAACTAGTTGGCATTCCCACCAACAGTGAAGGAGTGTCCCTTTCTCGCCACATCCGCGCCAGCATCGGTTGCTTTTGTTCTTTTGAATGTGGGCCAGTCTCTGAGGTGTGAGATGGTATCTCATTGTGGTTTTGATCTGCATCTCCCTGATGATTAATGATGTAGAGCATTTTCTCATGTGCTTTTTTGCCATTCGGATTTCTTCTTTGAGAAAGTTTCTGTTCATTTCATTGCCCCATTTTTGGATGGGGTTGGATGAACATGATATTTATGGAAGCAAAATCCCCATGACCATAACACATTTTGATATAAAAATGACTGGTATTTTTATATGCGTGTAAAACAATATTTGAAAGACATTTATTTAGAGAAACACAAAAGAAGAGAACGTGTGACAATAGTAGATTGTCCAGAGTGGAATAAACCTCAAATTCTGCACTCTTTAGGGAAAAGGTTCTGTACAATTCATCCAAATCATCTAGGCTTTCATATTTTTATCACAACCTTAGATTTCCCCATAGCTTATTTTCTGAGGGGGCCCACGCTTTTCTGGGTGATGCCTCAGTGTCTTTATCTCTACATTGCTCAGGGTTTGCATTACAAAGGGAAATACATAAATCTTCATACCTTTGGGCTACTTCACAACAGCAGTTTCTTCCTAAGTTTCATTACTTCCCAAAAGATTATTATGTGGCCCCATATCTATGTTCCTATAACATTTTCCCTCACACAAAAATGATAAACCATTTTTGGAATAGATAAATAGATAAATATATATATACACATATATATGGCAAAACTTTGTAAGTTTAGGAAGGTGACTAGAAAGTTTATAGCCCTTCAGTTCAGATGTGCCAGAAAATTGTTAGGCCATGAGTGTGTGTGTATATGCATTTATATATATATAAATATATATATAATATATATGTTCATGTATGTTTCTATATAAATTGAAATAATAGAAAACCAAAATTCTACATCAGACATAAAAATATAAAATTTCTTGGGACTGGAGCTATAGTATAGCATTTACCTTGTATGTGGCCGACCCAGATTGAATCCCCAACATCCCATAAGGTCCCTTGCACATTGCCAGGAGTAATTCTTGAGTGCAGAATCAAGATTAAGCCCTGAGCAGTGCAGTATGTGACCCCCTACCAATCAAATATATAAAAAAGTATATATTGAATCTTAAAAATTTTTAACATTCTGATGTTCTTTTCATACTTTGCTATGTGTGAAATTTTCTAAAATGAAGATTTTAAAACTTCCACTCTGTCCTTTATATATGTAACCTTCCTTAGGCTGCCTTACTTATGATGATTAGCTTTACACTTTCAAAAAACTGAAGGGTGGCATTTTAGAGAAAACCAGGAGACATTTGTATGCATATGCTTGATTATTAAAATCAGTTTGATTTGTATCTATTCAGACATATCTATTAGATGACAGGAGTAATATACCCTGACATTTTCAAAATAATAGAGGAAATATAATCAAATATGTGATGGCTTTTCTTACTGACTTGTTTTACTAAAATTACAGGGCTTTTTTTTTTTTGATTTTTGGTTTCAGTATCACACTTGGTAATGTTTGGTGTACCATGCTATGCAAAGGATAGAATCTGGAAAAGTGTTTGCTCTCTCTCTAACCTGGTCAACTTAGAGCCCTTTTTAAAAATAATACTTTGGGCTTAGAGAGATAGTACAGCTAACAAGGCACTTGCATGCAGCTAACCTGCTTTCAGTCCCAGTAGCCAGTCTGGTTCCCCAATCCTCTCGGGTAATCTCGGAGCAGAGAGTCAGAAATTCTGCTGAGTTTTTGGGCCCTAGGTCCAAAATAAAATAAATACATAAAAAATTTAAAAGTATGTTAAAGTATTTATAGATGAATTTCCAACATCATTTTACTCTTGAACATTTAAAGTAAGGCTTTTTTGAAGGAATATAAAGTCATTTTTAATCACATTTTCTGTGAGAGTAGTGATGATGATTACTATAAAGCTCTGTACCTGTATAGTAAAATATTTTTAAATTGTCTTTGTTGAAATCAATAAATATAAGTATATATTTAACATACAAATAATTTTTATCAGAAATTTTATTGTGCATGTTTATATGGAATTTATTTTCCAGTTCAGAAATCTATTTCTCATCACTTTGTTATGCAATATAGATCAGTTACATTTTCTTATTCTCTAGAATGTTATCCTTTACGTTCAATGTATAGTGGTACATCAGTAACCCCTAACTTATCCACATTTATTGAGTATAGTCCTTTTGGCTAAAATATGTTAGTGCAAAAATATATGGTGAGAATATTCATGTGTTCTTTTCTTTATATCCTGGAAAATAAATTTTTAGATTAGCAAAGGTTTTATTCCTTTTTGTTTGTCTGTTTTTTGGGTAACTGGAGGTGCTCAAGACTTACTCCTGACTCTGTACTCAGGGATCATGCCTAGAGGGCTCCAGGGACCATATTGAACCCGGAGCAGCTGCATGAAAGATAAATGCCCTACCTGCTTTTATATCACTCTTTCACTATGAAGATATTTTTCTTACACTGCAACGGAAATAAATCTAATTCCAGCTTCTCTTACGTTTGTTCGGATTTGGGTTGTATGTTCCAATTTTTGGGAAAGAATCTATTCATAAATTAATAAGCTTTGGGCATATTATATTGGTTTTCTTAGGATTGCTGCTTCATATATTTATTAATAAATTCTCTCAGCACAGTAAACTCAATAATATTTACACACTTGTAATTTTTTAAGTATTTTTGTTTAAATTAGCCTAGTATAATTTAGGTTTTTCTCAAACAGTTTTGTGTCAACCATGGTGATCTTATTGACAGCTTTGGCCAAACAGTAATGCATTTTTTGATAATTCCATTTTCCCTCTAGAAATATGAACAAGAACTTTTCAAACTGGCACTACCTTGCCTGAGTGCAGTTGCGGGAGCTTTGCCTCCAGACTACATGGAGTCAAACTATGTCAGTATGATGGAAAAACAGTCATCAATGGATTCTGAAGGGAACTTTAACCCACAACCTGTTGATACCTCAAAGTATGGACTCTTTCTATTGCAGCAGATTTTTATTGTAAATGATGTGTGAAGTCTGAAATTGAATAAGGTACTAATGTGAACTTTCTCTAATACATGCCCCCTTTGAATTGGTATCCTTTTAATAGGGGTCCCTTTACTCAATTAAAACAATAGTAGCATTACTAATTACTAATAATAATAATATCAGAAGTAGATAAGATGTACCTTCTAGAATGTTGTTCAATATAGAGGATTCTCTGTATTCATGGAACTATCTAAAATAATGAGAATCAAGAAGGTATACCAGTTACATTTTAGTTGAAAATTTGTCCTTAATGTTTACTGATTAATAATTGTGGCCCGCCTGTCTAGCATCTTTGGCTCAGGATGATACCGACATGTAGTGTTAAGGCAATTTCTGTGCACTTTGTGGAAGTCAGTTCACCATCATTACATCACTGCAGGGTCTAGGATTAGCTAGGTTCAGCATCATGAAGCACAGCATGAAATTGAAGGAAATGTGAAATAAAGTCTTTGTGAAAAATTAAGCATGCACATAGAGTACAGTATCACAACCTTAACATTATGGGGGGAACTTACTTAACATATGTAGATTCATAACTTGTTATACAAATAGAAATTTTGGGCACTTTATGTATTTGTGATATAGACATCATTATAACTGATATTAATAATTCCTTGGCTTCTCTTGCAAAGATAGCTCCTTCTTCCTGTCACTTGTTTTTTTAATCATTTCATGGTGGCTCATGAAGCATGCTAGTCCCTCAGTGGTTACTATTCAAGACAGCTGAGTTTGCTTGGGAGTTCAAGTTTCAAGCTCCTGACATAGCCCCCCAGCTAGATTGGTTTCAATAATCAGATCAGTAAGTCAAGTCTAGTGGTGATATGCCATTAGTTTGATAATGCCTTAAATATGCATGTTTGGTATCTGATGACAGTCCTGTGAGAAAAGACTCTACCCCTCAGTATTTGGCTTATGTGATTGATCCTTTGTATCTCTTCCAAAGTAAGTAAACCAATATATCACATATTCACATTCCTACATGGGTAAGTTTGTGGTTTGGTACCATAAATATTATACAGATTTTAAAAATAATATTGTAACATTGTTATGGTTTGAGTGTGGTTGGATTGAAAATAATTAATTATTTTATTATTTTTGGCATGTATTATTAACTTACCTAGGTTTGTTTCTTTGGGGACTTCTGAACTATCAGGTTTACATAGTGATATCATTAATTTCTGTACCTTTTGTCTTTTAAATATTGTTTCTTAAATGTATGTCACATAGGTCAATTAGTGACTGAAACCATTGCTGGAAAAGAACAGTAAACATATTGTATTAGGTTTTATTTTGAATTCTTTTGTTGATGTTAACTGCACTAATAAGTTCTATTCATCAATGAATGTGTTATTTGTACTTATATTTAGTTTTCTGTTCAGGGAGATATTTGTTATTCTCAAGTCTTAAATTGGTATTCATGCTTGGTAATTGATTGCATGTACTCATAATCTGTTCAATAGATTAAATATGTATTTAAACATGAAGTAATCAAGATAAAATGATCAAAATTATCAACCATGAATTGATTACTTTTCCCTATAGTTCTGTTAGTAACATTTAGAATTTTAAATACAGACTACTCATATCTAAAATGATATTCAAATAAATAGTTGTATAAAATTAGTTTAAAATTTAAGTCCTTTTAAAAATGGGTGTCAGAATTTAGCAGTTATTTTGTATTTATGGTTATTACAGAAGAATTAAATTAAAATAATAAACTCAAAGAACATAGAAAGGATATAGAAGCTTCTTTAGTCTACTAACCATATCTTGATTCAGGTTTTGATATTTTTATTATGACCTAATTGCTTTATCTTGAATATCTTTGAATTTATGCTTTTGTATCATTTTATTATTTATTATATTAAGACAAATATGAATAAGATAAGCATGTGAAACATCTGCTTGACTTACTGTTTTTGGAAAAGTATCTTATTAAAACAGTTCTGACAGTTATCTATATCTAGTGTAATTTAGACTATAAATTGAGTAAATTATTGTGATTTTCACAGATCTTGTGATAATCAAATTTTTTTATTTTATTTTTTTTATTTTTCTCATAGTATTATAATTCCCGAGAAGTTGGAATACTTCATTAACAAATATGCAGAACATTCCCATGACAAGTGGTCAATGGACAAGGTAAATCAAAGTCTAACATTTTAATTCAGTAGTAAATGCACCTAATGGCAGATCACTGCTCAGATATCTCTGATCATGCCAGTTTTCTACTTTAAAGTGAGACTTTGTGTATATTAGAAAGGCTATTGAGATTAAAGGCCCTCCCGTTGATCGTCGATTTGCTCGAGCGGGCCCAGTAACGTCTCCATTGGAGACTTTGTTGTTACTGTGTCTGGCATATCGAATACTCTCGGTAGCTTGCCGGGCTCTCGGAGAGGGGCGGAGGAATCGAACTCGGGTCGGCCATGTTGGCCGCTTGTAAGGCAAACGCCCTACCCGCTGTGCTATCGCTCCAGCCCATTGAGATTATAATTTTCTATTATTTAGTTCACTCTGTCATAAACATATGATTGATATGAATAAGACTTGACTCACAAAAGGTATCATTTTAGGAATTCAAAAAATCTGTTTCTTGAATCTGAAGTACATATTTTTAGTCTAGATTTAAACAAATGAAAGCAAACACAAAATTGTTCTAAGAGGGTTTGTAACTCTGAATAAACAAAATTAGGATGGAAACTGTGCATGAATTAAGCGGGAATAATTTAAACCTAAATGTTTATCTTGGTTCAAATACATGCGTACCTATATTTTCTACAATTAATGCATGTAAAAACAATTTTGACATTTTTTTCCAGTTGGCTACTGGATGGATTTATGGGGAAGTATTTTCAGACTCATCTAAAGTTCAACCATTAATGAAGCCATATAAACTATTATCTGAAAAAGTAAGTCATCTAAGTATACTTTGAACATTTTTGAAAATTCTTTCTGATTATGCAATTTCTTATTAAAATGTCATCATTTATATGGTGACTTTTACCTTTATTTGATATTTGGTTAGGCTTATAACAGTCTGTTGCTTCTCTGTCTTTTTTTTTTTGTCTAGGAAAAAGAAATTTATCGTTGGCCAATCAAAGAATCTTTAAAAACAATGCTGGCTTGGGGTTGGAGAATTGAAAGAACTCGGGAGGGAGACAGTATGGCCCTCTATAATCGGACTCGACGTATTTCCCAGACAAGCCAGGCAAGAGTCACATTGATGAGCCTATTGTCATAATAATTTAACATAACTTTAGCCTTTTATTTATTTTTAGTTTAAGGGTCACACTGGGCGATGCGCAGGGCTTACTCCTGGCTCTGCACTCAGCAATCTCTCCTGGCAGATCTTGGGGGACCATACTGAGTGCTGGGGATCCAACCCACTTAGCCTGAAAGGCAAATGCCCAAAATACTATACTGTCACTCTAGCCCCAACCTTAATCTTTTATTTAACTACTCTGTATCCCCAGGCCAATCATTTGAACACTCTGAAGACTATACAACTTAGAAGAGAAAACAAAACCAAACATGTTCTTATTTCTTTAGTTGTAAGGAGGTTAAATTATTGGACACATGACATCTTGCTTTTTCCAGCTAGTATAAAATAATAAGGCCTTAAACGTTTACCAATAAAGGCTGTAGAGTTGCTCAATAGATATAATTTGGTTGTCAAAAGAATGTTCTCCTTTTTTTCTAGTGAGCACTGAAGGTAGTCTTTTAGGGAGCAGTGTGGCAGTCGCAGACTGTAACATTCTTAATCTAGAGCCCTCATGGATGGTCCACACAAGTGGGCTTACATACAGTTACTTTCTAAGGGAAGTCATGTAATATGACAGGCAGAGCAAGAATCCCAAGAGTGCTTTGCTTGTGGCCATAGCACTCATCTTGAAGGCCCAACCAACATAACAAAGGCTCTGACTATAGGACTTAAGTACTCAAGGTGACAGACTAAAGCACAAACTGCATCTGCAGAACCTAGATATTAGACCAGAAACCATATTACATATCCAGGACACAGATAGAAATCTCAGGATCTGAACATCAAAGGGGTCATCAGTGGCTACTGGAAAGGTAACAAAAAAATAAGTAAGTAGGACCACATGAAATTCAAAGTTTTCTGCATAGAAATAGAAACACAATAAAATAGACACCCAGTTGATTGAACAAAAGGATTAACATCAAAAATTTATAAAGCACTCATGATGATCAATAAAACAATAACCATCAAAAATGGGGAGAAAAGATGAATAGACACTTCCATGAAGATGTACAGATAGCCAAGATTTTATTTAAAAAAAAACCTGATCATAATCACTTTGAAAATCACAGTACCAAAAAGCACAAATTAAAATAACGATGAGGTATCACCTTACACCAATGAGAATAGCATATATCGAAAAAAATACCCTGAAAACACAAAATGTTGGTGGGAATGTGGTGACAAAGGAAGCCTTATTAACTGCTGTTGGGAATGTCATTTGGTCCAGCCTCTAAGGTAAACAATAGGTAGATTTTTTCAAAAATTAGGAATGGAGCTTCTATTTGACCCATATATCCGACTTCTAGTCATCTTCCCCTAAAACACAAAAACATTAATTTGAAGAGATACACACATACCTATGTTCATTCCAACTCTTAGTCCAATAGCAGTGTGTGAAAACAATCCAAATATCCAATAACAAATTAATGAATACAGTTCTGGTACACATATACAAGGCAATACTATGGAGCCACTAGAAAAAAATTGTCATGCAGTTCATGGCAACTTGGACTAAATTGGAGGCTATCCTAGTAGAACAAATACAGGATGTATCACTAGATAGTGAAGCAAATCAAGGGCATAGAAAATTTCAATTGATAATAAACCTTGGCAGAGTCTCCTGCCCCCGTGCCTGGCTGTCCTTACTGGGGCCCCTTGGAGGGGGGCAGGTTGAGTTTCCCTCCCGCCCCGACCAGAGTTCTGGCAGCCGAAGACCTCAAGAACCAGCCACAACCATGCTGAGACCACTCTCCACACGCATGAAGATAGCGGCAGAGGAACAAAGGCATGCGGGTCCCGGGGCTGAGATCTACAAGCCTGCTTGGATCAGGGCTAAGCATCCTCCACCAAGATCCTCCATCTTCCAGTAGGCAGGGGTCACACCCACCAACTGGCCCCCTGGCACCAAGTAATCCCATCAACGGCCAAGACCCAGACACTATAAAAACCAGCTCCTGGAATTGCAATGCCACATTAGCGGCCGCGCTATATCTTATCATCTCATTCCTACTTTGGACAAACTGGCAGGCTACCGAATGTAACTTGCCCACACGGCAGAATCTGGCAAACTCCCCGTGGCATACCCAATATGCCAAATACCGGTAACAATGATGGGTCTCATTCTCCTAACCCTGAAGAGAGCCTTGATCTCAGGGCTAGGACAAGGGGGACATTACTAGGGCCTGCTAGAGGCAATCGACGAACAACAGGATCACCGTGATCGAATAAACCTTGGATACTAGAATACAGACATGAAAGTGCCAGGCTAGGGGTGGGAAGAGGGAAGAGGAACAAATAAGCTTCCGGGAAATAACACAGGAATGTAAGTGATGAGTCTTGAGCATATGGGTGGTGTTAAAGGAGGTAATAGTATGCATCAAAACCATAACTGGCAATTAATAAACAATGGGGGTAGTGGCTAAGGGAAAGAATGTTGGACCAGATAGTACATGGAGATGGGAAGAGAGTCAGGGGTACTTTGGTGGGCAGATAGGTAGTATCTTTGTACCTTAATATCAGAAAATGAGTATTCTTGTAACCTTATCACCCAAACTATAATAAATTAAAATGAAACCAAAGAATGCTATGTAAGTATAACCTGACATTTTTTTAAATAAGTGATCAATTTTATTAACCTTGGGCTAGAGCGATAGCACAGCGGTAGGGCGTTTGCCTTACAAGCGGCCAACATGGCTGACCCAAGTTCGATTCCTCCGCCCCTCTCGGAGAGCCCAGCAAGCTACCGAGAGTATTTGATATGCCAAACACAGTAACAACAAAGTCTCCAATGGAGATGTTACTGGGCCCGCTCGAGCAAATCGACGATCAATGGGAGGGCCTTTACCTTTACCTTTTTATTAACCTTACAGTTCTGTTTTCTTTTTAAATACTCGTTTTGCCATTGCTTCTTAATGTGATTTCTTCTCTCATTATGTGATCATACAAATATTTTCTATGTAATAAATAAAGCCATTTTGAAGGCATCAGTTTTTAGGATAGATGTAAAGTATTTGCTAGCATGATTTTGAACCATCTGACATCCTAAGGTTCAGACTTTCTCTGTAGTGAAAAAAAAATCGACCTCTGATTAATGCAGCAAGGTCTGCCATAAGTTAATTGGTGTAAATTTCTGGCTTCAGGTCAGATAGTATGGCTAATAGGTAATGTCTTCATGCTGTACTTTTTCTACCTTGAAAATGAAGAATATCAGAACATATATTTTAAAAGACTATTATGAGGGTTTTTGTTATAAATGCTTAAAAATCATTTTAGTGATGATTTTTCAATTAGTTTTAGACCTTATTATTAATTATTATTATTATTATTATTATTACATGTATCGTAACATTAGTAATATTCTGTTTACCATGAATTATTGGAAGCTTGAGGCAAGATTTTAGGAAGTTACTCATTGAATGTGCATATATGACATATAATTTGATGGGACAGAGAATATAGTATAATGTATCACTAGAATTATAATCAGGGAGAAAATAACTAAAGAGGGGTTAAGTATATAGATTTGCACTCTGGAAAATTTAACACAGAGGAGGGCATACATGGCATACATTTCTGAAAATCATTGACACATGATTCCACAGGTTCTCAACTATTTTCCTCTACTTTCTAGTTTATTATCCAGTGTATGATTTTTATTGCAAATGCAGGATAGAAGTTATTTCAACAAATGTAAAATAATCTTATAATCTTGGAAGATGAGGGGCATGGAAATGAAACTTTCAAAAAGTTATTATGGTGGAAATAAAATACAGGTCAGGACAAATTTATTTATTTCTCAAAAAATATTTATTGGGCATCTACTTTTTTTTCTTATGACTCTTAAAATTTTCAGATATTTCAATAAAAATTAGAAAAATCCATTCATATAAGCTTATATTCAAATGATGAAAGTAAAATTTAACTAAATAAATTATATGTTATGTAGAAGTTTGATACGTATTGTGTAATGAAAAACAACTTGGGGAATGCGTAGGAGAGTGATGGATGTCATTAGGACTTGAGATTATTATATAATGTGGTTGGGGTGGATTTTGTTTGGTAGAGACCTGAAAAAAGGGGAAAGTTTATCCAGAGTTGGGGATAGAAGGTTCTAAGCAGCACATATGCCCTAAATTGAAAGTGTGAGAATCACTCTAGTACTTGTGAGAGGCATCACAGATGCCAGTAATATAGGAGCGGAGCAGGTAATGGGAGAGGAAGAGAGATCTCAGGAGTCAAATCACATTGAAAACCATTATGATAATTTGCTAAGTGCTTTAAAGTTCAAATGACTTTTAAAACTGGATTCTGCTGATTTACATGCTATAAATTATAATAAATTGGAGGATTTTTTGCCTCTCTTTTCTTATTTTAAATGTTCAGAAGTACTTATCACACTAGTTCAAAAGATTATCACTTTTTCAGAAAGAAAGGGATAGACATAGAAGGACTTCATTCATCTGGGGAACATAAAGTAACAAAATGGGAGATTAACACCCAAGAATGGCCGGGATTAGTACCAGGAATTTTACTCCATGGCTTGGAGGCCAGCCACACATGCCAGGGGAAAAGGGAGCTCAGATAGAGAAGGAAGCACCAAATAAAGGGTGTTGGGAGGATCCTCCCAGGATGGGAGAAGCATGCTGAAAGTAGACGATAGACCAAACATGATTGCCACCCATTGTCTCTTTTGCAGACCACAACACCCAATAGGAGAGAGAGAACAAAAGGGAATGCCCTGTCACAGAGGCCGGGTGGGATGGGGGGCTTGGGGGGTGGGAGGGATACTGGGATCCGTGGTGATGGAAAATGGGCACTGGTGGAGGGATAGGTATTTGATCATTGTATAATTAAAACCCAAGCACAAAAATTTGTAAGTCTACAACTGTACCTCATGGTGTCTCACTAATAAAATTTTTTTAAAAAAAGATTGTCACTTTTATGTGACATTTATGTGACACCCGAGTGCCCGAGAATAGATGACTGGTTAAATAAACTTTAATACACAGTGGAATATTGTGCAGCTATTAGGAAGATGAAGTCACGAAATTTGTTTATAAGTGGATGGTCATGGAGAGTATCATCCTAAGTGAAATAAGTAAGAAGGAGAGGGACAGACATAGAATGGCTGCACTCATTTGTGGAGTGTAAAATATCGTAATATGAGACTAACACCCAAGGATAGTAGAGACAGGGTGAGGAAGATTGCTCCATGGTTGGAAGCCTTCCTCATGAGCTGGGGGAGAAGGCAGCTGGGATAGAGAAGGGATCATTAAGTCAATGATGGTTAGAGGAATCGCTTGGGATGGGAGATGTGTGCTGAAAGTAGATAAAAGACCAAACATGATGGCCTCTCATTATCTGTGTTGTAAACCATAATGCTCATAAGTAAAGAGCGAATAAGAGGGAAACTGTCTGCCATAGAGGCAGGGAGAGGCGTGAGACTGGGTGGGGGGTGGTCGGGATACTGGGGACATTGTTGGTGGAAGATGTACACTGATGGAGAGAAGGGCATTCAATCATTATATGACTGAAACTCAAACATGATAGCTTTGTGAGTGTAGTACGTGGTGATTCAATAATAATAAAAAAAGATTAAATATGATTATCTTTGCACATGTACAGAAGCATTCACATGAATCGTGTGATTGTTAAAAACTAGACATAATTAGCATAAAAACTAATTAATTAGCCTTAAAACTCTTCATATATGGTGCATAGTCCATGTAACTTGGAATTACAGAAGACCTGGTTAGGCTTCAATTTCTGCATATGTAACAGAAATAAATAGTAATGGAAAACAAAAAAATTATACACTTGAATAAAAATAATCTACTTGGGGTTGGAGCAGTAGTACAGTGTGTATGTAGAGTGCTGACCTTACATGCAGCCTACCCGGTTTCAATGCCGGGCATCCCATATGATCCCCTGAGCACTGCCAGGAGTAATTCCTGACGGCAGAGTCAGAAATAAACCCTGACTATTGCTTGGTGTGGTTGCAAAACAAAAACAAAAATTCTGCTCATGTTTTTAACCAACTGCAAAAGATGAATATAAAACTAAAAGAATGTAGATTTTACTTATACCAGGAATATAGCCAAGACGTATTAAATACTGGAAAACTTATTTTGAAAAGAATGTTACAAGTATGGACTATATTTTATTCATGACTTCAGTACCACCTTATCAGTGTTAAAGCACACATTTGTCACATTTTAATATCTTTAATATTCATAATCATTTTTAGCCCAAAATTTGATGAAAAACACCTTTTGCTGGATTCTGGAGTAATAAGATGACTAAGATTTAGCAGATTATGCAGAGTAGATGAAAGAATCATCAAAATTTGAACAGACTCAGTTTTATAGACCAACTCTTAGAGTCTGTTACCGTTCACTATTTTCTGTTTTCTTAGCAAATTTCTGTATATTCCATATAACGAGTGAAATCAATCTGTAATTGTTCCTCTCCCTCTAACCCACTTCACTCAGCATAATACACATAGTAGTGAAGCAGAATTTAATCTTTTCTAACAGTTGAGAAGTATTACATTGTGCACATATAATCAAAGCTTATGATAGCCTACATTTTGTTTTATTAACACAGGTAGGAGAGATAGCTTGCCCTTCAGTACTGTATCCATGTTTAGCAAGAGAATATACAAAATTCAAAATATACCAAAATATAATATATGATTTATAAACATGATTCATTTCCATTATTTAGTATATATTTTTACATACTATACTGATGGGTGAGATGAGGTAAAATCAGGGCAGTAATTTAAACCTTCTTACAGTTGTGAAAGTATGTCTCTTTTTAAAAAAACTCCCAGACATAGAGAAGTAAGTCTTCTGGTTGTCAAAGATACCTGTGTAAATCATTGGACATTGTATAATTTGAATTTAACATTAACTAGATGATTGCATTTGTGTCTACCATTTGACCCATAAAGCATTTGTAAAACTTGGTTTCTTTGGTTATTTACTGCTTATACAAAGAACAATAAATTTCTTTGTAGCCAATTAAAATTTTGAAGGAACGCAAAAACTAAGTGAGCCTCTGGAAAAAAATTAGAATCTTGTATTCATTGCTAAATGTATTAATCAGGTGCTTTTTTTTTATTATTCTGATTATTTTCTGTTAAAATTGCAACTCCTAAGCCATTGAGATGTTCTGTAAAAGCATAAACAACTTTCAGGTACCAATTATAATTTACTTGCTAGATATGTTTGCAAAATTACTGACAGCTACTTCTCAGGTTTATCTCAATAAATTTTGAGCTTGTTTTCCTTAATTTTGTAAATTATCATATCAGTGTTATCACAATGTCGTTAATGATTCATTATTTTTTCATATAAATTATCTAGGTGTCAGTAGATGCTGCACATGGGTATAGCCCTCGAGCCATTGATATGAGTAACGTCACACTATCCAGAGATCTTCATGTAAGTTCTACTCCTTTTAAAATGTGAATTATTTTTAAAGACCATGTAACATTTATCTGCATTTAGTTTTTACCATGAATAATTAATGTGTTGATCATATAAAGGAACTTTGGAATTTATAGGTCTAAAGTGGCTTAACTACTTGTTTAAAAAACTATATTCAGTAAAACTGACAACATTTCGTGTCTGTTCTCTTTGTTATTAAAAAACTTGCCTTGGAATGGATAATTTGTAGAGTGAAAAATAAAATGTATCTCGCCGGCACGGCAGAGCCTGGCAAGCTCCCCGTGACGTATTCGATATGCCAGACACAGTAACAACAAAGTCTCCAATGGAGACGTTACTGGTCCCGCTCGAGCAAATCGATGGACAACGGGAGGGCCATAAAATATAAGATAGAATAATCAAATAATGATATTGTTGTTATCAATATTTATCCAAGGGAAATAAGCACATAAAAATACAGATATCTTTATAGGTATATAAAGACAAAAATCTAAGCATTATGAAATTTAGGGACATGACTTTTGTTCCTGTTACTATGTAAATTATTTAAAATAGCATAGCAAATTTGCAAAGCAAAAGTGAAAATAATCTTAGAGGCAACCTTTTTAAAATGCAAAAGATACAGAGAGGTTAATGTAATTTATTTAATGTTCACACCACGTTTGGAAAATTGATCTAGACTGACTGTCTAATGTTCTTTGTATTCAGTTTTTAATAAAATTTAGATCATCTTTAAAAAGTGGGAAATTAAATGAGGAACATGTAATGAAATATATTTTATTTTATTTTTTTATTTATTTTTTTTTATAATTTATTTATTTATTGAATCACTGTGGGAAAAGTTACAGAGCTTTTGGGTTTAGGTCTCAGTCATGTAGATACCAAACACATTTCCCTTTACCAATACTCATTTTTAACCCCGAACCCCAATAGACCCCCACCTCCCACCCCTCCCAATTCTTGTGAGGCAGATGAGTTCTAGTTAATACTCTATCTACTTTGACTAGATAGATTATTTCGATAGAAGATGCACAATTATTGTTTAGAGTTTACGACCCACCCCCCACAATCAGACATGCTGAAATAGCGTTGTGAAATGATTTGCTTTCTACAACTTGGTTTAAGAATAAAATGATGTCACGCGGCCGCTATTGCGGCCGCGCGGTTTTGAATTTCTGCTATTTTACTTATTGACCCTGGAAGAATTTCTATTAAAAGTTAGATAGTTAAGAGATTGGTTTCTGTGCTCTGGTTTCCGTGCGGCCGCCATCTTTCTTTCCAGAGAGGAGCAGGCGAGCGGGGCAACACCCTTTCCCCTCCGGGCAGGCTTGGTGGCGCGATTTAACACATAGTCCATTTGCTTTTCTGCTCCAAGCGGCTGGTTCTCTGTGCTAAGTCCTTGTGCCTCCGGGGCCGTGGCCGTGCCGGAGAGCCGCTCGTGGGGGGCAGCTGGCGACCTCGGTGGGGCGTGGGGGACGGCCCACAAAGCCCCCCTTCCCATGAGGTCCCTGCCGCTCCCGCCAGCCCCGGCTCAAACCTGCTTTCCACAAGGCTCCCGTGCGGCCGCCATCTTTCTTTCCAGAGAGATGAAATATATTTTAAAGTATAGTTTTATTTAACAAAATGTATTTTATTTGATACAAAGTTTTATTTGATACAAATTTTATTTGGTAAAATGTTTATTATAAATAATAATTACCATTCCCATCAACCTGCTTACTATTATGTGATATCACGTATTTTAAAATTTTTCTGTGGTACAGATCATATTTGTATTGCTTTTAATGAATTTTATTACTAACATGCTATAATACATTAATTTCAAAGAAAGTTTTACCTTATAAACTAAAACTCAAAGTTATTTTTCTAAGTCATTAAAAGATAACTTTATTGTTAACGATTTTAATCATTTAAGGCTATGGCAGAAATGATGGCTGAAAACTATCATAACATTTGGGCAAAGAAAAAGAAAATGGAACTGGAATCCAAAGGTAATATTTTCTAAATATTCTTATTAAAAACAGTAGCCACATGAACATGTGGCAAGGATAATGTAATATTTTTAGAACAAGATCTTATTATTTTTGAACAGTTCAAATACTTTTTTATTCCCTATTCAGAATCTCTGTGGTTTCCCTTGCCCACTTTATGCTGTGGATATAGATATATATGTATATATATATGTGTGTATATATATGTATATATACACACTTCTCATCCTAATTCCTAACTGTTTTATTAATTACTTAGATCTTTCCTAACTTTCACTTCGATATAAATACATCTCTTATCTCATTCCTATCTCTCATCTCAGTCTTTTAATTCTGTCAGTCCTATTGTGTTTTTGTGACTTTTATGCATCTGCTTATTTTCTGAAGTATTTGAAATACTGCTTTTTACTAAACAATTTGTAAATACTAAGTTGCATAAATACTTACCTCATTTTAGTTCACCTTAAACTGACGATCTTTCCTATAATTTATTATAGACGTATTTAAAGCATGCTGTGTATTCACGTGTGTGGTACAATAGTTAGATATAGGAAGTATCTAATTACTTCCTGCATGAGTTGCTTTCTTCTGGCTTGGGAACCATTTGAGGTTTGAGGACTTAAATCCTGACTTACCATGTGCTTTTCTTAAAGCAGCATACCTGCTTCAGTTCTATCCCTTTGTCCCAAAGCATAGTAGGTTTTTACTAAATGAAAATTTTGAAGGGTCATTGTTCACATGACTAGGAAAAGGCTTTTTTTCCCCCTTCTTGGACCATGCCCAGTTGTGCTAAGAACTTAAGCCTGGCTCTACTTTCAGGGATCACTCCTAGAGGTCTCAAGGGGCATAAGAGCGCTAGGTCAGCTGCTTGTAAGGCAAGCGACTCAGCTACTGTTTCAACTCTTTATCTCCCATTGAACATAAAGATGAGAATGGGTTGGGATGGGGAGGGTATCTGGTAATACTGGTGGAGGGATGTTGACACTGGTGGAGGGATTGGTGTTGAATTATTGCATGTCTAAAACTCAACTGCTAGTAACTTTGTAAATCATAGCTCTTTAATCAAAATTTAAAAATATATGTCTAATGAAAAGAAAAAAAAGTATTTGTATGTATGAGTCATCAGTATGTTTGAGTCACTTGGTTTGGTTAAAATCTAAAGTAATAAGGGGCTATCACACTATTGCCCTTCTAAAGAAATGTTCTGTTGTAGCTAGCATTTTGTTAATTTCTGGCTATCCATTACAAGTCCTGCTAATAAAGCGGTTTTCTTTTAGCATACATTGCATGCAAATTTCACTTTCATACTCTACATTCTTCTAATATTGGTCTGTATTTATATAGACAACATATATAGGTGGTCTTATATAATTAGAAGACAAGCACAATGCAAGGGTAAATGGTTTGATAGTAAAAGTAGTCCTCCAAATATTCCCATTCTTCTTACACTGTCTATATTTTCTTTAAAAATACAAGAATATGACTTACTGAGAACCCAAATGGCAGACTACATAAGGATTTGAATATACAGCCCTGGAACTTGACTTTTAGGTTATCAAAACCAATGTAATAGAGAAATGAGTCTTGGAAAGATATCATTATTAGAAATAAGAAAATGTTCACAATGTTGTAATATTTGAGCCAGTGGCCTAGGATGTATAGCATATACCACGTTTAAGTTTTTCATTGACAAAATATCTTTCACAAAGAGATCTAGCATCAGAAATGGTCAGGATTATTCTGGGAAAGCAAGTTGGAAATGTACAACGTGTACATTGCTGGCTGAATTTAAAATAACTGTATTGGACTGGAGGGATAGTGCAACTAATTTAGAATATGTTGCCAGTACGCTCCCATAAACCCCCAGACACACAAAAGTAACTGTCTTATTTAGAAGAGTGTTAGAATCAGAAGGTGCTAAAGTTATTAGCACTGTTGCTATTTGGACTTGAATCTTCCCCTCTATCTTCTGCAAAGCTCTCTATTAGATTCTGACCTCAAAAACATTGTAGATTACACATTGAATTGACAAATAGATAAAGTCTTCTAGAATAAAGATCAGATGCAATAGGATTCAAAACAGATGATTACTGTATGGTGATCAAATCTGATGTTTACCTTATATATTTCTCATAAATATTCTGTTAAATTATACCTTTCATTATCATAGAAGTCAAATTTCTTCCTAGAGCAGTTCATAATACATTCTGAGTTCTTAATTTTTAAAAATGTTTCCCAGTATTGTCTGCTAACAGACGTTCTTCACTTGAGACCATTAATTATCACGTTCTAAAATAATGGGCAGCTCTGTAATATGCGTGTCATTTATTAACTTGGTGGTTCTGGCTGTTTCTTTACATTTTTGGCTCTGTAGTGTCCCCTAATGGTCAGAGGGTTTAGTAGTGGTGACTGTATTTCTGTAGAAGTCACTCTTGGTCAAGATAATGTCTAGGAAATCAGCATTTTCTCCATTACCTTTTTGTTTCATATGCTGGGAAAATTAAATGTTAGTTATTGTCCCATTATATTCTGGCTAAAACATAGAGAACACTGATGTACTTAGACTCTCTACTGTCACCATAATTGAAACAAATTATTTTTAATTCTTTCCTGGAAAGAATTATATTCAAGGAATTTCAGCCCTCCACATCGATATATATTTCTATGTGTGTTCCATAAAGTTTAGTACCATTGCTGTTTATTTTGCTCCTCCTCTAATGTTTCTCATCTTTTTATGTCTAGAAATACCAATGCATTTTTTGTAATTTTTAGAATTTGGCAAACTTTTATATAAGATTTAAATGTTTTTCTCTAAAATGTAAACATTTTTTAGAATTTTTAATAAAAGTATTTTATAATAATATACTGGAAATGTATACTCTCGCCAGGTTTCTAATTAGGTAAATATTGTATGTTACTCTTATTTGACATTTATAAAATAAACTTTTAATTTAGCATTTGGGTTTTGTGTATTTAAAATGACTGTATAGTTTTGTGGATTTAAAAATAACTGTATAGTTCTCTGAACTGGAGAGGATAATAAAAACAAAGTTTCTCCTTACTCTCTGTGGAGTATGAAGTATATTTCATCTTATAATGTTGGTAGCTCAAGCTATGCTTGCTTAGTATTTATTGGCACTCTCCATCACGTTTCTTTAAATGCAAAGAAGAACAAAACTTCATCTCCCTTCTTGTATGACTGCAGATATTAGTACTTGATCTTACAAAGGACTGTTTGCATGTTAATGGTCTCTTAGAAGGAATGTTAATATTTTTTAAACTTGTTTTCTTAATTACTGGTAACATTAAATCACAAGAGATACAAAAATCTATGAGTTCTGTTTGTTCTTTGTATAATTAGAACATTTCAGGCCTTTCAGCATGGTCTTATTATACGTGCTGTTATATCTCATTTCAGATTATTTTCTAAGTATCATGCTGTGTTCTTGAATTCTTATAGGGGGTGGAAATCATCCACTGCTGGTACCCTATGATACACTGACAGCCAAAGAGAAAGCCAAAGACAGAGAAAAAGCACAGGACATCCTCAAATTCTTACAGATAAATGGATATGCTGTCTCCAGGTGAAAGCAAACTTATTTTCTTTATACATTCTATTTTTATTACTCAACTAAAATATCTTCATCAGAGTTAATGCCAGTTAAGTGTATTTGGTTATCATTTAACCCTCAGAGCTATTCTTTAGTCTTTTCAAAATACATACAGCAGAAACATTAATGACCTTAGTTATTAGCCATAGGACAGAGTTTTGTGTTCTCTCATAATAAATTCTAAGCTTTATTTAGACAAAATATCTGTGAAAGTCATTTTCTTCTTTGAGGACAACATTTTTTTTTTGTTTTTTGTTTTTTTCCCCTTTATTTTATTTTATTTTTTTTTACAGTTGTACATTTACAATTTTTTGTGCTTTGGTTTCAATTATACAATGATCAGATACCCATCCCTCCACCAGTGCCCATTTTCCACCACCATGGATAATATCCCTCCCACCTCCATCCCCCATCCCCCCTGTCTCTGTGGCAGGGCAATCCCCTGTGTTCTCTCTCTCCTTTTGGGTGTTGTGGTCTGCAAAAGAGGCATTGAGTGGCAAACATGTTCAGTCCATAGTCTACTTTCGACATGCATCTCCCCTCCTGGGAGGATCCTCCAAACATGAAGGACAACATTTGATTGACTAATCATAGAGTTATTCACTTCAGTTTTATATTGGATCTAGAGATTCTTTACAAATTAAATCTTATATTTTGCCTTCCACTACAAGATTAGAAAGATTTAAATTATAAATATATCACTGTCACTGTCACTGTCCCTATCCTCCTGTTGTTCATCCATTTGCTCGAGCAGGCCCAGTAACATTGTGAGACTATAAATATGTGCATATATAAATTTTATGATACATGTCACCACTTTATTTCATAATAGTCTTTGGTAGACTTGGTTCTCATGTGTGATTTTTTTGCTATTCTAGAGGATTCAAGGACTTGGAGCTGGACACACCTTCTATTGAGAAACGATTTGCCTATAGTTTTCTTCAGCAGCTCATTCGCTATGTGGATGAAGCCCATCAGTACATCCTTGAGTTTGGTAATTATCACTGTCCTATTACTAACAGTACTTTTTTGTTATCATTGATGTTTACAATATCAGGGTACAGAACAGCAGTGATTTCTGACATGGTCTATTCTCTGATGGTATATACTTTTCTCTTCCTCCAACAATTTCTCTTCATCTACATTTTACATCTGATTATAACAGTCAGTAGGGAACCTAAGATATAATATGTAATTTCTGTGTATATGTAATTCTAGTAATATATTTTAAATTATGATTTATGAGTCATTTTATTAGTAGTGAAAGATTAGTTTGAATCAAATATAGTCAAGATCAAAGAAACCATGATGTAGTTTTGAAGCTGCATATACACTGTTAAATTACAAGATTTCTTTTTATATCAGCAAGCATTTGAATGAATACCAACTCAACATTTAATTTGCTTGGTGAGACAAAAAGGAAAAATAATGAGAAAAAAGACAAAAATTAATTGTTTTTCCTTTTGCATGTGTAGCAGAAATGTTAATTTAAAGGGTAAGTTGTATTGAGTTTAATTCACATTGTATTCTAGTTTTTGAAAGAAACAGTGTGTTTTGGCAGTGAGGAGAATCTTGCTGTAGGACAAATTTACCTACTTCACATCTTTTCTACAGTGTAGATGGACTTAAATATAGAGTGCTTGGGAGGGCTGAGCAATACTCAGAGAATGGGACATTTGCCTGGCATGTGCCAAACCTGGGTTTGATCCCTGGCATCCTATATGGTCCCCTAAGCCCACCAGGAGTTGTTCTGAGTATAGAGCCAGGAGTAAGCCCTGAATATCAATACCCAAAAATACAGAATGATTAGGAGAAAACAAGGCTTGATTAAAATTGAATGAACAATATAAAATCTTTAACAACTGCTGGTATTGATTAACGTTTGTAGACATCTTTTAGGTAAATTATACATGATAAATCTGCTAGAGGATCAAGTAAGAATTATAATGGTCGAAGAAATTCCCAAATTTGTTTGGCCTACCTCTCACTTTTCAGAAAAGGAATCACTCATTAGCTTCTGAGAATGTATCTTCTTTAAGTAGGCAAATAGAAGTAAAAGTAAAGTAAGTAAAGGCCCTCCCGTTGTTCGTCGATTTGCTCCAACGGGCCCAGTAACGTCTCCATTGGAGACTTTGTTGTTACTGTGTTTGGCATATCGAATACATCACAGGGGGCTTGCCAGGCTCTGCCGTGCGGGCGAGATACTCTCGGTAGCTTGCCGGGCTCTCCGAGAGGGGCGGAGGAATCAAACTCGGGTCGGCCATGTTGGCTGCGTGCAAGGCAAATGCCCTACCGCTGTGCTATCGCTCCAGCAAATTGAAAGTGCCCCCTAAAATGTACTTTAGGTTACTGCTTTCCCTGGAAATTTCCAGTGCTTTTCAGGGTTAGTCTTCTCCTCTATGGGAAATATGAATCTATAACATAATCTAATTTGAAATTTTTACCTTGAGTATACATATTTGGATTTTAACATCACTTTAAAAAATTATAATCACTATGAAACTACAATACCTTGTTTTCTATCTTTCAATTAATTGTCTTCACATTAGAGAGATTTTTCTTTTCTTTTCTTTTCTTTTTTTTGCTTTTTGGGTCACACCCAGCAATACACAGGAGTTACTCCTGGCTCTTCACCCAGCAATTACTCCTGGTGGTGCTCGGGGAACCATATAGGATGTGCTGGGAATCGAACTTGGGTCGGTGGCATGCAAGGCAAACGCCCTACCTGCTGTGCTATCACTCCAGCCTCCTGTTTTGTTCTCTTCTGGGACCATCCATGTGATACTCAAGATTACTCCTGGCTCTGTACTCCAGAATCTCTACCGTCAGGTTTAGGGGACCGTATGAGGTGTGGGGATCGAACCTGCTCAGCTGCATGCAAGCCAGTTTCCCTAGCTGCTGTACTATCTCTTCAGCTCTATAATTTTAATATTCTCTTGTGACATAGGATAGGCTGGAGAGATAGCGCAGCGGGTAGGGTGTTTGCCTTGCAGGCGGCTGACCTGGCCAACCCAGGTTCGATTCCTCCGCCCCTCTCGGAGAACCCCACGAGCTAACGAGAGTATCTTGCCCATATGGCAAAGCCTGGCAGAAGTACCCGTGACATATTCAATATGCCAAATACAGAAACAAGTGTCACAATGGAGATGTTACTGGCCCACTCAAGCAAATCGATGAACAATGGGAGTGACACTGACAGTAACATAGGATGACAGCATTTGTGATAATAAGATTATTATTTTCCCAATTTTTATTGCATAGATCATATTCTCTCCAAATATTATCTTAGCATTTTTGTCAAACTACATAATAATAATAAAGATACTTCCTTTTAATTCCTGAAATATTATCAGATGTAGCTACATCCAAAATTCTCTCAAAGTTTATGTGACAAAGTACATTATGTAGCTTCAACATGCTTGAGAGATTTGGTGCAGAAGTGAAACAAAGACTAATCGAAATGTTCAAAAGTAATTTTTTAAAATTTATTCATTGAAAGAACATTATTCTGATAGTATAACATCTTAGCTAAATATCTAAAACATTCTCCCAAGTTTGTGTCTATAGTTAAGTAATATCTTACTGAAGTTGTTTTTATGTCTGCTTGCAAAGAAAATTTTTTAAAAATTAGTTTAATTCTTATAAAAGATCAAATTTTATTAAACGTCTAAGCTTGGAAATTTTATTAAAACTTTGCATCTAACTATTAAACTTTTAGCTCCTCAATATATTATGTCTATTATTATGGCTTTTGTAGTTTATCATTTTCTTTTCTGTGAGCATGAAACCTCCTTGTTCATGAGCAGGTAAGAAAACTTCCTAGATAGGGATTGGAGTGATCGCACAGCGGGAAGGGCCAACCCGGGTTCGATTTCCAGCATCCCATATGGTCCCCTGAGCACCTCCAGGAGTAATTCCTGACTGCAAATCTAGGAGTAACCCCTGAGCATCTCTGGGTGTGACCCCCAAAAAAAATTTAAAAAGAAAACTTCCTAGATAAAATGTGTTAGATTGCTCAGTTATTTTGTAAGTTGTGGGATAGGGGTTCACTCCTGATAATACACAGCCAGACCTGCTGTTGTTCAGTGTTCAGGCATGATGGTGTTGGGGTGCCACAGGGTTGCACTTTGCAGGGCTCGGGGGCCTCGCAGTGCTAGGATTGAACTCAAGTCCTTCTACAATGAGTGTGAGCACCTCTCACCTTCAGTTACCTCCTTGCCCCACCCCATCAGTCCATTTAAACCTGGAAATTATTTTCTAAATCCTGGTGAAATTTTAGGTGGTTTTGCTTTGCTTTATAGAAGTTATCTTCTGACATAGTTGAACTTATTTATGCTTTACTAACATGTTAATTGTCCAACCTAAAATTATACTTGTGGTTCTTCCTCTCATAATGTTCTGGATTCCTTAAAATTTTCAGTCATTATTTTCAGCTTTAACTTTCAGTCATACTGGCAAATAACTATTTTTGTTGTAGGCCAGTTTTAAAATCTAACAAATTATGTTTATTTAATTAACATGTAGTTTTCACACTTAATTAAGTTTTCTTACTGAAGATTTGGGATTTTCCTGTAGTAGAAGATGTGAAATTTTTATTATACACTGGTTTCTCCCCATACATGTTCATAAGCTTTCAAAGCTACAGTATAGTTTGTATATGCTCTTCTATTTATAAAGCAGGAGCTTTTAAATTTGTATTTTTTTTAATGCTTTTGTATGACACTGACAAACTTAGCCTTTATATGTTTTGATTGGCATTTTATGTTTGATGTAATGGGATAATATATTGAGTATATGTTCTAAACTGCATTTTTGTTGAATATCTTGCAATTTTTAAGTGCAATATGTTCTTAAAAAAAATCTTCATATCTACAGATGGTGGCAGCAGAAGCAAAGGAGAGCATTTCCCTTATGAGCAAGAAATCAAGTTCTTTGCTAAAGTACAGTATACAATTCATCTTGCTTTCTCTTCAATGTGTTTATAAAATATACTCTCAATCTTTATTTTTATATTTTTATGCTTTTACTATAATTCACTTTTCTAGATGTCTACTATACTTAAATATTCTATGCATGAAAAAACTGCCTGAATCATAGACAGTGCATTTCTCTTAACATTTTTGGTCATATTTTAACTCACTCGTCTCTTTCTACATATTTCTCAAGTGATGAAGTCTTATTCAAATGTATCATTTTTGAACTTTATCATTTCACAACATAATATATATTTATATTTAAATGGTTTTGTAATTTAGAAATTTATAGATTTTTTTATAAAGAGAAAATTGGGTAAGACATAAATAAAGGGTTTTCTCTGAAAACCTTTGGTATAGATTTTAATTGTGAACCCAGTTTATCTCATTATACAGCAAATGAGTAAGAGTCTCTGTATAATACATATAGAAACAAGACTCACAGTATATTATTTATATATAGATATGTTATTCATCAAATTTAATAAGAATTTATCAAAAGTTGATATATTTATACCTAGAACATTCATGGCTTCCTTTCAGCCAATGAGAAAAGGAGACAATAATTACAGGCTCTCCTGTTGGGCTCCTTCTTTTATTCATTGTTTAATATATGCCCATCCTTGGCAATATATTCTCGGCAAGCATTCCTATTAACATTTATAATGCATTTAATGTAAAGGCCTAATGATTTCCTTCCATTTTCTTTCAAAGTACTTATACTTCATGGTTTTTAGAGATCATTTGCAAAATATCATGTTACTTAAATTAATTAATTTTTGGCATCTATTATGTGTTTCCTTTATTGTTAACAATATTTGTCTTTTCATTTCACACAGTATTGAAAACAAAATCTGTATCATTTGAATTTTGTGTTTGCCTGAACTTTCTAATTATTTCTATTAGCATGCCATCCCCCTTTTCAATGATAAAAATATGCTACATTGATGGACTTGTCTGATAAATTTAAAATACATATTTTGTTTTCCTGTGCCTAGTGATTTTCTTTGTAGGTGACTAATGTAACTTAATCTCTACTGTGCCAAGGATTCATTAAATCACCTATTTATTGATTACCTATTTAAAGGTAAAGGCCCTCCTGTTGATCGTCGATTTGCTCGAGCGGGCCCAGTAACGTCTCCATTGGAGACTTTGTTGTTACTGTGTTTGGCATATCGAATACTCTCGGTAGCTTGCCAGGCTCTTATTTTATGTCATCACTATTCAGACAATGTCACAGTTTCATGGTATCATTGAAATATTTTATATTTTATATATTTATGATTATGCAATGCCACATTGTGGGGAACACTAACTGCACAAACTTAACTCTAACTACTGCCAATGCCATTTCCTCCCATTATTTGTAAAACCTGTATTTGCCTAGTGCCTGCCAGCACCCCGAAGTGCCATTAGTGTTGGTGATTCTTTGTAAATAAAACAGAGCAAGAGTGGACATAGAGGCCAGAAGAGAACAATAGTAGGAAATAAATTCAGAAATGTTTCTTGCTTTTTGCCTTACAGACTCAGGATGAGAGGCTATACTGAAGCCACTTTTATAATGAAGAATTGCAAAGATGTTATAAGATTAGAGTCTGGGCGCAGTTTTTTTGTTTGGTTTTGTTTTGTTTTCAGTTAAGGAGGTCAGCAAAGACTTTTCTGATAAAAATGCCACTGTTGTAACATATACAGGAGGAGTCGAGAAAATGTTTTACTGGTGTGGAAGAGCATTTCTTATGAGATCAGGAACAATCAGGACCATAGACAGAAGGATATTTCATACAGAGGGAACACTATGTGTAAAACCTTGAGGAGTAAGTAGATAGGATGAGAGGGAGGAACCAATTGAAGGTCATCAGAATTAATGGAAAGAGATAAGCTAACAGGTTTTGAGAGTAGTGAGGTAAAGAGTATAAGGTAAGTGCTTGCAATATGACTATGAGAATGTCACTCACTTTCTACAGCTCAGCTAAATAGCTATGAAACTTCAATGATGACTCTAATTGCACAACATTTTTATAATATAACAGAGGCCAGTATGTCCATTGCTATCCATTGCAGTCCTCAGACAAACAATATATTTAGTCTGTGATTTTTTTTAACCCATAGGGTGCTGAATTGTACAATATGAGCATATTAAGAATATTTTATTTTGAGAAACGAGTGAGGATAATCCCAAACTATTGAAAATCGGACATGCTTCTTAAACTGCTTACATACATGCACACACAAATAAGCATGCATGCACAGGGGTCAGAGATGGTAGAATGAGATTAAGAGAAGGATGCTCTGAAAGTGGCCGAGTGACATAGGCATTGATATTTTAGGGCTGGTTGCATATGTTCAGAAGTCAGGCTGCTCCAAAGCCTCAGTATTTATTCATTCCTTTGTGCCCAGAGATTTCATTTTGCAGATCTATTTTCTTTTTGTTTCTTTCAGGTTGTTCTTCCTTTAATTGATCAATATTTCAAAAACCATCGTTTATACTTCTTATCTGCAGCAAGCAGGCCTCTCTGTACTGGAGGACATGCATCAAACAAAGAGAAAGAAATGGTGACTAGGTAAATAAATATAAAATAAAGACTATTAGACTGAATTTACTTGCACTGGGAGAAAAATAAACAAACAAAAAACACTTCTCCAGCCCTGATAAGTAGGCAGATTGCATATCCAGTCCTTTTGGAACTAAACATTGTAAAGAGGATTGTCTCTGCTAATTAATATGTATTTTCTAGAGCCTGAATTTTTTTCTAGTCTGCTCCTGAGTGTTATGCTATATATAAAGGGTGGAATACCCAACAGAATTCACAGCAGAGGCTAGAGATATATTCACTCTATTAGTATTTTGATAAATTTGTTTTCCAAATTAATTTCTTTATAATATCTTCAAATCTAATCATTTGCCAGCCCATTTTGTCAGTAAGAAAAAAAATTCAGAAATTAAAGTTATACGTATAGATAGATGTTAAGAAGTAATGATCATGTGAAAAAGTGTACCCTTTCCCCCATACTAATGAAGCCATAATAGTAGCAATATTCTTTTTTAATTTGTGATTTAATCTGTGATCCTGCTAGAGTCTAGCTCATTAATATTTTGCCAAACAGTTTCTATAAATCAGAATCTTGCTATTCTGTGCTAGCCTCAGTTGCAGCAACTTTGGGACATTTAACTACCCTTCTTTAATAATATTTCTCCATATTTTGAAAAATGATTTAATTTACATTTCTTTTGTTCATGGAAACAATATTAATAAATTTTATTTCTTCCATTAGCATGTCCAAAAAAAGAAGGAACATAATGCTGTTTAAGCACCAACATAAGAGTTACTTTCTGGAGTAATATTAGTGATATTAGTAATATTATTTCAGCAGTTCTTTAGTTCCACACAGTAGAATTTGACTTCAGAGAGAAATTTAGAGAAGTTAATAAATTAAGGTGATACTAGTGCTTGCAAAGTGCTAGTCATTTAGATTTTGATAGCTGAAAATATATTAACAGGAAAGATAATTAATTTCCTTATTTTTTTAACATTTCCATTGGATAGTTCCAGTGTAAATTCATTTCTTATTATTCAATGTATTTTCCAAAATTTAAAATGTGAAGTTTTACCTTTGTAACCATAGAAATATTTTTTAGAATATCCTATCACACAAACAATAAGCAACTAAATATTTTACTATGTTGAAATTGCATGAATCTTTTTAAATATTTGATCTGATATCAGATCCCACTCAATTGAATAAAATAGGTAAAAGGTAGGATAAAATAGGGGCAAACCTGAGAACTACTGGGTGTGGCTCAAAAAGTAGGATAAGATAAGTAAAACTTCAGATACTACAAACCAGGATATCTTTATATATAAGATAAGCTCTGCAGATGATAGTTAAAATTAGTATTTAACAGTTTTATGCAGTTTGTGGGTCTAAATTAACTTAGCCACAATTAAACACAGTTTTTTTATATTAAATGTTTTGATGTCTTCTGGGAATATAGAGGATGTGCTGAATATTTTCTGTTTAAAATCAGTAGTATAAAGTCTATAAAAAAATGAGTCAGAAGTGGTATCTATGCTCCCGGAGTGCACTGACTGCAGCTAAGTTTGCAAGCATTAATATACTTCTAATAGCAGAAATCCAAAGGATCCTATAGGATTCAAGCAAAGTAAAACCGTTTTAGATAACAGGCTGGAAATCTAGAAGCCAAGCTATTCAAAGTTCAACTTAAAGAGTATGTAGGTCAGAGATTCAGAAAAGAGAGCTGTTTCTAGATGTGACAGCATAAAATGTAGAAACTGGAAATATAGAATCATACAGACATAATAGGTCATATAGATTCATAATTGAATGTTGTAATTGATCTTCACTGCCAGGATAAGGTATCTTAGTTTTTAATTTAAAAATTCCTTAGCATAACTAATAATGAAATTAATTTGAGCTATGGAAATAGAAGAATTGCCATACATTTATTTGAAGAGGATTGTTCTGGCAGAGGAGGGATTGAATTGATAAAAGTTGGATTGCTGGGGTGCTCTAACAGGCTTCAGGAGCTAATAAAGAAATTTTGGCTTTTGTAAAGAGAATTCTGCCCAAAAGAGATGCTACCCCTTGGCCTATTCTGCAGTTAAGTCTGAAAGATTGTTATGTACAAAATACTGTCCTGGATCTCACTAAAAACACCAACTCACAATGTAGTTCTGAACTAACACACTTGAAAGTACAGCTCTGTAGACACATACACATACACAAACATAGCTAAGCACATAGTAAATTGTAATGACTGTAAATGGAGACCTATGTAGTACCCACAATATAGAGAGGATGTTGGAAACATGGAGGAGAGGAAATAAACAGACATCAGAGTCACTCTGCAATTGAATTTAGGAGACCAGCATGGTGCTGAAGTTTCAGTGTTAAATGGATGGAGCTTCACTGGATATTCTTACAAAATCAAGGAATTTCAGAAGTACTAGTTTGGAAAAGAGGTTATATTTGGTTAAGAACTATATAAACTAGAAGATAGTTTAAGTGAGGGATAACCAGCAGAAAGTTGAAAAATATATTTTTGTTGTTGATGAACAACAAAAAAGATAGGACAAGAAAGATAAATTTGGGGAATTATAACTACAGAATGCTTTAAGTCTTATATTTTTATATGAAACTTAAAGAAGAATGGGGAAAAATGTGAAAAGGTCTGGATACCAGAACCTGAAATTATTACATTTGGAGGGGTTGTGTTGTGGAAAGGATTCTTTGAAGAACAAAGAAAATGATCAATTGAAAAGGGAAAAAATATCCCCATGCAACAGCGTTTCACAGATTTGTGTAGTCAATGATGTCTTTTGAGAGTTCTTCAAGACAGATGTGGGGAGTAGGGGAAGATTGTTAGATTATTGATTAGGAGATTTGGGTTCTTCAGGGGTATGTTTCTGTATATCAGTAGGGGGAAAAAGGAAAATTATAAAAGAATGGTACAAATGCATCATAAATTTCTAATAATGATAGCAATGGAGGAATGTGGAGGGGGAATAACAGTACTATGGAAAAAATTCTTTAGAGAACCAGTACTCCAAAGCTTAAAAGACTCAAACATGATAGTCTATGTAGAAACTTATCAGAAAGTCAATGTGAAAGGAGGGGAAAGAAATTATATTTTGCTTTTTATTGAAGATCTAGCTTTCTGTTGGCAGTTAGAAGCAACTAAGTTTAAGAAGCAATTATTAGTGTAAGAAGTCATTGTTCTCTGACACCTTCTCAGACATTGTGATGTGGGGCAGTGACTGCAGATATATTCCATTTTAAAGCATGACAAAATATACTGTCTGAATTAACTTGGTTAAAACATAATAATAGCATTCTGAATTTAATACAATATGAGAAATTTTTACTCTGGACACGATACAGTATCAATGAGAGATAAAATGTACCTCCTTTATGTATACTTAAATATACATAAACATACATAAACATATACATGCAAGCTCAGAGGGCTGGAATACACCCTTTGCGTTCAGGAGGCCTTATTTCTAACACCAACAACACATGGTCTCCTGACCACCATTCTGGAAGTATTTCCTAAGCACCTATGCATATGTATCACCACACTTCCCCCAACAACAGCCACAAAAATATATGTAAGTTCAGGCATACAAAATGCTTGTGATTTTAAGATGTTATCACTCTTTTTGTGTGGAGATGTATCTTTGTTGAATTTAAATACATAAATGAGGATACCTGGAGAAAACTGCTCTTGCCTTTATTTTGTTTGTGTGTTGAATGGCACAAAGATAAGTAATACAGATCAAGGAAATAATTGTGATTTCTTGTCTAATATTTACCTGGATAAATCCTTTTAAACAAGTTTTACCTGTGGGGCCAGAGAAAAAGTTCAGAGATTGAAGCTCTCGCCTTGCATGTAGCCAATGCTAGAAGTACTCTAATGTACATATGTTTTTGCTTTCCTACACACACACACAAAGATACACGGTGTCCTATATAATTAATTTTCAGTGACAAACTATTTACACTTTACTGAGATAAGCTATATAATATCCACAATTTAACATGAAAACAGTCACTAACTGGGGATGAAAATTATTAACAAAATGCATGCTTCAGGTGTAGGAATTCAGTATCCAGCACATGCATATACATAAATGAAAAAGTACGGTCACATCTGTGATATTTGTGTCTACTCTTCTCCAAATGACCATGAATGTTAGCCATATAGTTTTAATGGTGTTGCCTACCCACCCCCAATCCTAGAAGATGTAATCTGCATGCAACCATAAAGTAGAAAGCTTTGCAAGACAAGATGGACAGTCTACATGTGACTGTTATCATCATTGGGAAAATAAAACTGAGAGTACATGATTGATCATTCAAGGTTAGAACTGCGTCCATTAGATTATAGTTTCATAAACTCTGGCTATTCAAAGACCTTGCTCTCTATGCTCATAAGAATGTTGGTAGATATACAAACGAGGCCTGCAGTAGTATGAGAGTTAAAATGTCATGATAGAGATTTGAAAATGGTCCCTGAAAACTACTCGGAGGGTATCTCTTTCTAAGATTATGATTGGAATAGTGGGAGATCCCTGGGTATTAGAAAAGACTTAGTGGAGCAACCATGTCTTCAGCTGAGGGATGTCTTGAGGGATGACTAGACAGGAGTATAGCATAGAAGTAAGTGAAGAAGGGCATCTTCAAGAAATCTTCCTACCTGAGACAAGGCAAAAGTAGATAGATATTTTTCTGGTTCTGGAGTCTGATCTGAGAGTTAGTACAAACCAGTTTGTCAAGATGAATGCTGAATGAAGGTTACCTTTATTTGAAACATTATGACTGAATTCTAGAAGGACACAAAAATAATCACCTGTAAAATTTTTCTCTGAGCATTTATCTGCTCAAATTTTGTCTGTATCCAGATTCACTGGATGTTTGTGCAAGGGAGTTTGATAGAAATTGGAAAGAAGGAAAGTTTAAATGATAATACCCATATAAAATCTTAAGTAACAATTTTGCCTAAACCCTCATATACTTTTTCTACTTACTGTTTATGACATAAGAGACTCTGGAATTTCAAAGGTATATTTGGGCAGATAAAATCAGTTTTTCCCATGGTTTTCTGTGGTAATATTCTGTTTATTGGGTTTATATAGATTGCTTTTATATTAATTAGCTTTGCTTTCAATTTTGTTTTGGTTCCTTTACTTATAATACGTGCTTTTTTAACCATGTTTGTTAGAGATATGCACTCAAAGACTCTTTCTTTAATACTTTTACTCCACCTTCTGCTCAGAGAATTGATTCTTTCTGCGCGACATCATGTTGCTTTTTTCCGGCTCATATATCAGCTGTTTATTTTTCTTTTTTCTTCTTTATTTTATTTTATTTTATTTTATTTTATTTTATTTTATTCTCTCCCTGTCTCTTTTACCTTCCCTCCCCTTTTCCCTTTTCTCTTTTGTTTTCCTTTGTCTTCAGCCTATTCTGCAAACTTGGAGTTCTTGTCAGGCATAGGATTTCACTATTTGGTAAGGAGACCCTTGAAAAAAACACTAGCATGGCTATCACTTGGTTTTCTTTGCCATTTTTGCACTGTGTTGTGTGATGCTATGTTGCATGAATGCACGTTTGCATGGCTGCATGCATGGTTATCATAGGCCAAGTAAGGTTCTCGAGGTTGTTCATCAACAACTTTTTTTATGGTGAAATTGAAAATGATTCCTTTTATATATTCCTTCAAAATATACTACAAACAGAAGAAATTCTATTATTAAAGGGCAAATTAATGAAGATGGCAGCTTCTACTGCAATATTTTATCCCAGTAGGCAAAGCAACAATTTGGGGATACTTCTAGTACATTAAATTTGAGCTATCATTTAAAAAATTATTTATCCTTACTTTTTTTTCAACTGTTCAGGCTAAAGATTTGCATGTCTACTGCATTTAAGATACTGAAATACAAAGTAGAAGGAGGGAAGCCCAGGACTTCACTTGGCAAAAGTGACTGTTCTCGCAGCACACACCTATAGTCAGTTTTGTTTGTTTCTGAGAATTCACATAGCTGAAGTCCACATTGCCGAGCATGTGCTTCTGGACAGCATTTCAGAAAGTCACTCACTTCCCACAGATTCTTCTTAATCTATGGCACTAGGATTCTGTAGAAATTGGCATAATTTGTGTTTTACACTTTCCTGCACCTGCTTTTCTTAAGACAATATAGTAAATTTTAGTCTTAATGTTCTTTCAGTTTTGAGAAAGTGGATAATTTCAATATTGAAAAATTTGGTGTATTTATCAACACGTTTTAAATTCAAGCCCTTTTCTCATAATAACTTCAAATCCATTTATAGAAAAACTAGAAAGTTTTATCTATAAATGATACAGAGACTAAATTTATAATTCAGGGAATGTCTATAAGCAAATAAATTTTGTTCTTTGCAAAATTGTATTTTTGGAGATTTTCCACATATAATTAGTTCATATTTAACCAGTATTTGATGTTTTTAAAGTTTGTAATAAAAGTCATATTTTATATAAATTGCATAATATTTTATATTGATGTTCCAGTTTTTCAAAAATAGGAAAATTATCTTCAAGATAACTTTCAGTTTACTTTGACTTCTTTTCAAATTAGGAATATTTTAATAGAAATTACTCTGAAAGAATTTTCTTTTGCCTTCTTATAATAATTAGTATGGGTACAAATAGTCTTAATTTGTCTTCAAAGAAAAATAACTCATTATATTAAGCTCTAGTGGGGACTCAATTTCTTAGCTTCAGTGTTTGTATTTCTATTAATGAGCATAATTGTACTTTTTGTTATGATACTTCTGTGTTCTTACATATTTTTTGTTATATTTCTCTGTTAACTATTTTTAAAATATTATACATGAATATTATAAATATTATACATTTAAATAGAATACATGTTCTCAGGACTGATGCCTGTCTCTGTGCTCAGGAAACACTATTGGTGGTTCTTGGGGGCTATATGTGAGCCAGAGGTCAAATCCAGGTTGGCTGCTTGCTAGTCAGGTTCCTTACCTATTGTATTATCCCTCCAGTGCCAACCTATAAATTTTGCACATTACTGGTTACCTGACTTTCTACACTAATTTGATATCTTGGTGAGAATAATGGGCTTTGGTTGGAAAACTTAAATGTAAATTCTGTATTTGCAGTTAAATCAGCTGAATGATTTAAGCTCAGGTCTTAACACCTTTCTGAAATTTTGTTATTTCCATCTTTAAAGTAGGTTACAAATTCGACTCTACTGGTTTTATAAATTCATTGCCTTCATCACACAAAATGTGTGCTGATGAGTATTAAAGTAATAGGTAAACTGTAACCTCACAGCTTTCAAATGTAAGGTATTCCTAATCTTAGTTGCACAGAATTTATTTAGATGCATCAAATTGCCTACAAAGTAAACAAAGACTTGGCTAAAGTACATGCATACATGTATAATCTACCTATCTTTGGAACCTATCAAAAGTCATATAATGCAATTATTTCTTTATAATATATATATATAAGTTTATCCACTGAGGATTTTCCTGGAGAGAGGCATAGTAGTATTCATGCAGTGATTATAAATAATCATATCAATCCTTTAATTTTTTCTTTCATCCTACTCTTAAATATGTATAAATATGTATTTTTCTATATTAAATGGTGATTAAATGGTTTTCTCCTACAGATTCATTTTTTATTACCTAAATTCAGAATAATTACGAGAATGGGAAATGGAGATTAGCAAAGAAATACTTAGAATTGTGTTTGAGATGTAGTATAGTGGGTAGGGCACTTGCCTTGTAATTTGTGGACCCGGGTTCAATACCTGACACTGCCAATGGAGCCCTAAGTTCCAGCAGGAGTGACCCTTGTATACAAAGCCAAGAGTAAGTCCTGAGAATCGCAAGGCGTGTCTCCAAAACAACAACAAGAAAAACACAATGCAAGGAGAGAGAGGGAGAGAGAGAAAGAGAAAGAGAGAGAGACAAAGAAAAGAAATACTTGGATTCTGTGTCTAGAAGGAAAGATAAATATGTGAAAGATGCACATCAACCACATTAACTTTAATTTTAAAAGGTTGACTTGTAGAAAATAGGAACATTAAAATAAGTAGAGTCATACAATGTGTTCTTATGATGGTAAATGTAAAGAACTGTGTGTGAAGAACAAGGCAATGTGTTTTCTGAGTTGTCTGCCAAGTGTAGTAGCGTATACAAGCTTCACCTGTAATTGAAATGTTTTTTCTGACACATAGATTTTCCAAGTTCATGAATATACGTATACCTTTTATGTACTTTAAAATATGCCCTGGGGCCAGAACTATATAACAGTGGGGAGAGTGTTTGCCTTTCATGTGGCTGACCTGGGTTCCATCCCCTGGCATCCCATATGGTCCCCCACACCCTCTAGAAGTAACTCCTGAGTGCAAAGACAGCAGTAACTCCTGAGCATCACTGAGTGTGACTTAAAAAGCAAAAAATATATATTTGTATGTCCACTGTCCACTGTCATTCCGTTGTTCATCGATTTGCTTGAACGGGCCCAGTAACGTCTCCATTGTGAGACTTGTTCTTACTGTGTTTGGCATATCCAATACGACACGGGGAGCTTGCAGTCTTTGCTGCGTGGGTGAGATACTCTCGGTAGATACTCTCCAAGAGGGGCAGAGAAATCGAACCCAGTTCTGCCGGGCTGGCTGCACACAAGGCAAACACCCTACCACTATGCTATCACTCCTATGCCCTATACACTGACAAAAAAAATTAGTCAATTAAATAGATTAGTAATTATTTTATATATCATATATTCTTTTCAGACACATTTGATATTAAATGTATTTTTTTCTAAATGATGTCATATTCTATGACAGAATAGGTACATCTATTATAATCTCTCAGCAAAAATAATAAAACATATTATATGTAGGCATCATGTTTGAAATTCAAGATATTTGTTAGAGATCGCAAATTGTTCTCTTATATTTTGGAATATCAATTAGAATATGAGTAAAAGCTGTGCAAGTTGACATCAGTTATATAACCTGTTTTTCACTTACAAGGGCCCATTATCAAAAATTAAATACTACTTTTAATACACTTTTCCCCTTTACTTTTTCTAAGGAGAATCTCCAATCACTAATTTCAAGACAGTTAAAAAATACACAGCCATCCTATATTAGTCTAATCAAGACTTTCAGTCTGAGGAGAAAGCATATTCCAGTAATCAATATTCCAAAAAAAATTATGATGGTGACTCAGGATTTCTTAAGGACTTTATGTGAAAAATAAATCTGTTGCCTTAATGACATTCATGCCATGCATTTATTCAGTAAAAAAAGTTATTATATATAAGCTCTACGTATTCTTTTAGGCTCTGAGGATAGAAACATGATTTTGTTGCTTCTGTAATACTGTCCAGGCCCATTCTGCTCGTGTCTTTTATCTGTAATTGTCCAAGAGCAAAATTCATCTTTTTTACTGAATCTCCTACTACCTTTCCACACTGTGTTTCTCCAACAGTCACATTTCACAGCCAGTCTCTTGTATCATTTTATTGACTTCCCACTTTGTATATTAAAGATAAGAATTTTCAATATATTTATGTTAGTGTTTCAAACACTACCCTCTTTGTATCATTTTGCCTCATTTTCTATAACATTTTTGATAGGCTTCTCTCCATGAGGTTTTCTTTTCTACTCATGATTATTGCATATACTGTAACTGGGACCTTAGCAGTTCATCGATACTTAACAATCATCTCTTCAGTCACTCACACTCCTGAAATAAGCTGTTCATTTTTCAGATTTCAACCCAAATATTACTACCTCAAGAAAACATTCCATCGTGTCTCTGATTTTGCTCCCTAATATACTTTTATAACATGCTCCTAGCTCTTCACATCAGTAATGATGTTTTTATATATTATTCTTTAATTATCAAGAGGTTTTTGATTTATGAGAATCCTGGCTTAAGTGCTTTATAATCTATTTATGAGAATCCTGGCTAAAGTGACTTATAAGTATAATTTTCCAGTGTTTTTCGAGTTTTGATATCAAATAATCCTAGAAGTCAAAATTTAGCTTTATTAATACAACTCCAATGTTAGGTATAGGAACTTTGAATGTGTCTAAATGAAACAGTAGTTTTGTGAGTTTAGTTTGTCTTGGCCCACATGCAGAGATGCTCAGGGGTTGCTCCTGTCTCTGAACTCAGAAATTACTCCTGGAAATATGCAGGGGACCATATAGGATGTCAAGAATTAGACTTGGGTTGAAGGCATGCAAGTCAAATGCCCTACCCTCTATACTATCACTCTGGTCCATATAAAATATCATTTTTTTTGTTAAAAAAATTTCTCCCAGATGAGTATATCTGCCTTAATCTAGCACATAAATCTTAATAATATACTCCTAAAATCTTTTCTTTTGTTTTTTTCTTTTGAGGAGGAGCAGTTGGGGTTATTCACAAATGATACTCAGGAGGCCTAATAGTCCTGCCTGCCATACTTGTGCTC